TGTCCAGTAAGATTGGCACCCATCAAACATGACTGTGTATCATGTATCTTGGCTCTATTAGTGTTCCATGTATGTGAATACGACTGTAATATGAAATGGATCTTGATGGATAACCGTATCTTGCTTATCCGGAATAAACACCCAGTAGATGCCAACACTACCAGATAATAATCAGATTGGAACACTAAAAACGGACGCAGTGCCCAGATGCGGATTGAAAACTAGCATCATTTTAATGTCGGAGTCCAAGCTTTGTAGACCATGTTGGATAGTCTTGCAGTATGCAGCCAGTCAGGGTCTAAATCAAGCCAGCATCGACTCCCAATCTCATCAGTTCCGTACATGGAACAAGATGAAGTCATAAGCAAAAGGATCAACAGAGAGCTAGAGCATGTATATGGATCAGATTTAATTATGTGAGATACAGATAAATACTGTTATATCAGAGTTGCAATAGCAAATTACCAGTATAAACAGGGTTTATGTTCCACTAGCATCATCAGCAAATACATGAGCAGCAGCAAAGTGGATATTTGTGGAAACGGAATAGCAAACAGAAACAAGAATGAATGCAGACAAAGCATGTTTCTTGTATAGACAATGAGCAACTGTTGCAGTGGTCAAGCCTTTTCACCTGGCAGAGCGCAGGTTAATGTCGATTCAAAAAACTCGCCAAAATCATGGATTGTGTTTTCCTCGACATTTGATTACAAGATTTGGCTCAACCAGAACTGTTACTACGGCATGTTCTCTTGTAGTATTCTTTGGTGTCGTGACTCTTTACCTTTTGTCCGTTTTACACCCTCACATGCATTCAGGCCAGTTGGAAAACTAGCTCGCATTCAATCCTCATCGCTTGAACCATTATCAGTGCTTGTTCCATCGATTCTATTCAACAGCCAAACTCTATTCTCCACTGTGTCTTTTACATACAATTCTAATCCTAAAACATACGATTTTATCGAAATGGGTCCACAAGCCAAGATTTTAAAACCCATTTCCATCAACATTATTCCGAATGCCATCACGCCCAGAGAAGAGGAGATTCTTGAACGAGAGATTACAAAGAAACTGCGTCGGCTTTTTGGTAGAGAGGGATACCGTGAAGCTCATACCGATCATGTCATTACAGGATACAAAGAAGCAATCGTTAGTGCATGGACATCTGTTGAAACTGCAAGTTCCTCGGGTGAAAAGGAGGCCGTGGAAATCCTTGATAAAACTAAACTTGCCATGTCCAAATGGCTTGGACCAAACCGACCGGCTAAATGGACTCCGCCTCATGTGTTGGATATGCGGGATGGAAACAGTGGCATTCGCGCACATGTAGATTTTGTCGAGTCTTCTGGAGATGTCATTGGCGGATTGTGTTTGATCTCGCCTGCTGTCATTATTTTTCGGAATGTCAAAAACCCTGATCGAGACTATTTCAAACTTTTTGTTCCTGCCAGATGCTTGTATATGCAAGCGTAAGTAAACCATTCTAGATGCTTTATCCCTGTCAATTGGTAGCTAATCTTTTTATTTTGTCATCAATTAGCGACGATACTCGATACAACTACACACATGAAATTCCCATGACAGACGATCCAGCACACTCATTCAAAGGAGAGTTTGTCGAGCGACATCGTCGTGTTTGCGCAATGTTTAGAACCAAAAAGAACATTAAGCGATGACGAGGTATTCGTGATCAATTTCGAGAGCTACAGCTACTCGAGCCTTCATCTTACGAATAAATCCAAAACGGACTGCTTTTGTTGATTTGGCTCATTAATACATCTAGTTGACAATCGTTGCAAGCTGGTCACGATTGTGTCGAGCCTTGTCGGCTTTTTTTAATCTCTTGGCTTCATTCTGCTGCTCCTCTTCTTGTTTGCGCAAAGCAAATAGTTTACTTGTAGGATCAAATTCAGGATTGGAATACAATCTGAGTTTGCTGGCTACTACAGCTGCTGTAGCCTTGTTTACTGTAAGCTCCTTGGCATTGCACAAATCTACACGAATTGCCTGTAAAAGTTGAATCAATCCTTGTACTCGTTCGGGTGTTTCGTTTTGAAATCGATCTGTAATAAATGCACTGATGATGGGTGCAATAGTAGGTACATGACTTGCCATCTCCTGGATTGCAGCAAGAGCAATCTGTGAAGGCATATACATGAACAAAGCATCTGATATCAAGGACGATGTAATCAAATCTGTTGCTTGATTATAGACGGCATACAGTCGTTTTATCAAGTCTGGATGTTTCCCTCGGGGTTGTGAAGATTGTATAAACGTCTGAATAATCGTTGTAACGTGTTTATAAAATTATAAACGAGTGATGGATTAGTTGGATATGAATCTATTGCATCAATCTACAATTCTGATACCTGGATATCAAGGAAAAATCCATGCAATGGCCAGTATGGATGATGCACAGAGTATTCAAATTGAATTCCTTTGGAAAGCACAAATTCCAAATGAATCATGACGCTTGCATCTGGCGACTTGGGTACTTTGCTGAGAAACTCATCGAGCGGCATCAACGAGTTTTCTACTTTTGTGCTCAAAAAAAGACATGTCATCCTAAACGGTTGATATATGTAAGCAGCTGTTGACAGTGCAGATCCAAAACCTAAAGTATCTGCTTACAAGATAATTTTGGGATCATAGTCCATGACGGTATTGTTGAGATAGAATCTTTTAAAAAAAACAATCGCTGTAGCCTAGAAATCCAGCATCGATTGTCTAATTAGGTCAGAAAAAGATTGCAATGGTTGGATTGCAAAACCATTGGTACTTGCTTGAACAGTCTTGTCAAATCCAAAGAATTTACAGTAATCGATGATCTTGCCTTCGTAAAATCTGCAATAGTCCAGCTGTTCTTTCCATGTAACACATTCGGAACCAGGACTTGCGGAAGAATCGGTACTTTCTGACTGTTTCAACTAGAATACAAAAACATTCAAGCAAGAATGGTCATTAGCCTTTTAAAATAGCAATCTCGATGGTAGATGGGCTAGATCAGACAAAGCTTACCTCGTTTTCAAGTCTTAATGCTTCTAGAGTTCGAGCAACCCCATCAGTGTTGACCTGCAGTCTTTTTTCCATTAGTTTTTCTGCAGTAAACTGCCAATGTTTGTACTGTGAAGTCTGTTCATAAAGATGTTGTGCTGGAGTTTGGTTATTCATGAAATTGATTTGTTGGATTGCGACGAGCAAATATTCCAAAATATCATCAAGCAGTGTCCTCAGGCATTGTCAGTTGCATGAGATGTGTATATATCACTGACTGGAATGCATTGGATTGTGTATGTTGTTTCAATGGCTGAAATAAACTGTTTTGTGTTTATAAAATAAAACATTATTGAGCAGTGAATTAGTATTCAATTTTTAATATACAAAATATCGATTGAGATTGTAAAAACTACATGCTAATCGTGTCAAATGCACAATATAAAGATACCATTTGGTCATGTTGCAAGGTATGGCTGATTACGGTCATTGTTAATGTGGATGAAAAGACAGAAATGATTATATTTCAAGTCAATCTGAACATGTTTAATAGACATTCTGATGGTATCAAGCAGACTGTTGTTTTAGCAAATGATAACGCAATGATCAGCAAACTGATCGTGTCAACAAGTCAGATTGTCATACACAATTAATGAATGATTCTGACATTCCAATCAATAATCAATATTTTTAAAACAAGAATCCAATTCATCAAACACGAAAGCGTGGTTGAATCAATTTCATGCAAATCCTCCCTAAATGCACGATATGGCAATGATGATTGACAATTTCCTATTTTCTCTATTCTCATCCCTTTTATCACCGACCAAACTTGATCTAACTTGAAACATGAGTGCCTTTCTCTCCAGTCAACAGTACGGCAAAGACAAGGTCCGTTTAGTCAAGGTTACTGATCTGCCTGCCTCGACTGCTCACGGTGCTACGAATCTCAAACATCAACATGTTCAGGAACTAACTTGCAGAGTGTTGCTTGCTGGTGCTCAATTCGAGACTTCTTATACTAAAGCCGACAATCGTTTGGTCGTTCCCACCGACACTGTCAAAAACACAATCTATTACCTTGCACAAACTACTCAGGATACCCTGGAAGATATTGAATCTTTTGCCAAAGTGATAGGCAGACATTTCATCAAGCAATATGCTCACGTCGAGGAAGTGCATGTTCGAATTCATGCCCATAACTGGACTCGCATTCAAACATCAACCCTGGAACCTGTCACTGAAAAAACTTCTGGCTCACTTATTACCACGGTGTCTGGAGAGGTGCCAACACTTGCTCATCCCCATTCATTTTATCGTGCTGGTGAGCAAAAGCGCACAACCAATGTCGTTGCTACAAGGGTTCAATCTCGTGCTGATGCCATGATCAAGTTCTCCATTGCATCTGGCATCAGCGATCTTTACGTTCTAAAGTCTTCGGGCTCTTCGTTTGAAGACTATCATTTGGATAAACTGACTACTCTTCCACCCATGTCGGAGCGTGTACTCTCTACCGACATCACTGCCACATGGACCTTTCCGGATTCCGTCGAATCGCTTACCCAAAACCCGTCCAAACCTACTTTTACTCCAACATTTCATACTATCAAACAAATCACTTTGGATCTGTTTGCCAACCATAACTCACCCTCTGTTCAAAACACATTGTACAGAATGGGTGAGTTGGTTCTTGCTTCCTGTCCTCATGTAAAGGATATTACCTATGAATTACCAAATAAGCATGTTTTTGTGTATGATTTGAAACGATTTGGTGTGACAAACCAAACCGGTGGTGCCTCGACAGTGTATTATCCTGTCGCTGATCCTTCTGGTCTGATCACCGCTACTATTTCCCGCAGTCGCGCCAAGCTCTAGTGATTTCAAATATACAATTTTCCATTGTGTTGTTTGCTTTTTTGGTGTGGAAAATCTATTTGAAAATGAATCATGTGTTGGATTGATTGATATCTTAAACCCAAAAGCCAAGAAAAAAGCAATGTGTTTTAAAATCGTGTCATGGTGACTTTACATAGTTGGAATACATCAATCTGTTTTATTTCGCACGTCGTCACTCACACCTTTGTTAAAAATGGCCTGTACCAGCATGTTAAAAATCTAAATACGTGGTCAAATGTGTAAGCATACCAAACCTCTTTAAATCGATTGTGCATCACGAATATGAACCAGAAAAATTAAAACTCACTAGATATCCCCAATAGATGTGAAGAAATTGGAGTGTCCACAGCAAGTACTCAAAAGCATAGTGCAGGAAATAGGTAGGAACTTCGCTACCATCCGTCCAATAGGCGTATTTTCTAAATATTTCAATGATCAAGTGCATCCATAAAGACATACCAATTAGTATATGATCATGTAAAAATAACAATCGGACAAAGCAGTAAATCAGCTTACCGAACACTCGACGCAACATACAAAGGATACACGATCAGCCTGGTACTAATAAACGTGGTTGCATAAAGAACAAAGAGTACATCTGCCCACTACACAAGCATTAAACAAGTGACAAAAGTATTAGAATAGACAAAATCGTAAATAACTAGTACTCAATATGAACCTACCTTTTTTCGTCCAGTATACAGACTCATTTTGGCAAGTTCCATGATAGGATCAGACGCATCATGAAGAGTCAACACAACAGCTCCAGCACGATGGCAACCGTATATATAGCTCATCAATAAAAGAAAAAGGGTTGCGCAGTGATGTAAAATCATCACCATAGTATCTTTGAAAGACATACGATCGATAAATAGCATCACAAAGGTATAAAGCGAGCACCCGATTCCCGTGACATAGTATACTTTGAGATCGGCACTGCAAAAACAAGTGGATCAAAAACCAAGGATAGAGATCAATTAGCAGTTATAATGTAGTCAGTCAAACATACAGATCTATAATAGCTCAACCCACTTCATTGGATGGTTAGGCCAACCTAGAAAATAGTCTTCAGGCGACCTCCACCACGTATCTTGAGAAAGAGCATGGGCTCCAAGACAGAACGATGTACTAAAAAAAACAAATTTCCATGCAGCAGACATAAACTTTCTACGGAGAGCCATTGTATCGACAGTGTCGTGCTCGGATTTACTAGATGGATTTTTGCCAGCTTTACGCGCTTTTTCGTATATCGCAAGATCCTCATTTTTCACAGGAAACAGATAGGAAGTTGCAGGCTAGATTGTAATGTGTAGTCAGTAGCTGTTGATTTTCTGGATAATAGTAGAACTGATCAATACAAACGGATCATGCATGTAACATGACATAATCCTTTAACCGACAACAATATGTAGTCATTACTCTTTGAAAACAAGAGGATCTCCGCCCTGCTGATCATACTCTTACAAGCTATATAAGCAAATAAGTTGATGTCAGTGTAACCAACACTTGATTAGTCGAGTGTTGGTTACATATGACTACAGTCCATCATTGAGTGGTCGTTTCATTAACACTCCAAAAGCTCAATGCTTCATTAGTTGGTCAATAGAACCACATCAACAACTATCGACCAGTTTTCAAATGGACTTGCATTGGCATTGCCATCAAACTGAATTCAAGAAACCGAATGATTTGTAGACGAACAAGTGATAGATTAAAGAGCATGACACTCCTGAGTGTAGCAACAGAGAGACTAGAACTCCTACCTTGAAAACAAATACGAGCAACAGCCGATGCAATGTTCCCCAACACACTGTAGCTAAAGCAATTTCATAGATGTAATTTGGATAGATGAATGCCGGGTTAATGCGATTCAGTTGACTCGCTGATGCTGTCATTAATGGGTCTTGTTTGCGCAATAGCAGCTGTGGAAAAGGTTTGAATTTGGGCAAGTGGAAACCCATAAAATCAATACAGCCATATCGGATCGACTCGACTCAATTACTGGCAATTGCTAGCTTTTGTACAAAATATTGTAGTTGTATCTCATTGGAAATACGCTCACATATTCGCCAATTCATACCATCTCGAGTTTCAGCATTGTTCCATTTACGGTCCAATAGGCTGTTGGATTAGACTAATTTCGTCACGAGTATACCACGCAGAATATACTGCTCAATCCATCTTCAAAAGCTTTCCCTTTTTAAACACATTTTTCACTGCAATGTTTAAATTTAAAAGTAGGTGGTGGTTATGTAGTTTTTGTCAAATAGTAGTGTTGGGAGATTCAGAAACCTCAATGTGGTATTGCTATTCCCGCCAAGTCCCAATGGATATGACAAGTTGCATGTGCAATGCCTCGGTGTTTTCAGTTCGTGTATTTGTTGTAAAACAGACACTTTATTAACTCCGACTATATAGAAAATGACAAAGATGGGGCATCTAACCCAACAACAGCATCTGCTACATCCGTGGCAAAGCGTAAGGTACTGCATTTCGTCATGCCCTGATTTGCATTATGTTACCAATTCCATTTTTAGCTTTCTCAACCCAAGTATTGACTTTTCTGTCTTATGCCATCATTTTATCTATTTTGGTTAGTATTTTTCGCGATTTGAAACGTTGCTTCCCAGTACTGAGTGGAGAGTAAATACTGAGCACAATATGTAAATGTGTAATATGGCACGATAATTTGCTATACTTTTGTACATTTTTTGATGGCGTGGATGTAATTTCAATATCATGGATCTAAATGGATTGTAAATAATCACATGTAAATAGCCGGAACACCAACTGCTGGGTCAGGTAGATCTCCTTCAGTAGGCGGTCCACCAACGAGTGAGCCAAACAAGGATAATCCAGCTTCAACCGTATCAAATGCTATACCGTCCAATGTAACATCTACCTCTGCAGCATCTACTCAGTTTCCGCAAACTCTTTCTGGACCAGGTCTTCTTCTTATCAAGATTCTCGAGACTCGCAAACTAATGATGCCAGATGGGTCTAGCGTACAGCTCAGTGGATCTACTGGAAAGGATGATGGCTTGCTGCCATTTGCCATCATTGAAATGGACAAAATGGAAGTTCTTGCCAAGGCTATCGATGGCAATTCAAGCACTACCTTGGCCAACTGGCAAAGTCGCGCCAATTTGTAAGTTTTCAGTCTAAATGCATATTCCCATCAACCCCAATACAAACTGCTATAATGCTCATGTATTTTTAAAATCTAATCATTAACTCGACCTATCGATGTCTAACAAACTATTACTTTTTGAATTATGAGTATAAAGCGATATCAGCCGACCTTGTGAAGCTACAATTTCAATCTACGTCCCGGGTCCAAACCGATCTGAAGTGATGATTGGCTTAGTGCGTATCAAACCAACGTTTGTTGATCAGGTATGTTCAATGCTCCTTTTACCTTTTTGTAAACTATTACACTGCTAACATGACTGCAAATCTGCACAGAAACTTGAAGAGCACTGGTTTCCACTTGTGTCCATGAATGGGAGTGACAAGCCAGAGTCTATTGGTGAAATTCGTGTTCAATTTGTTTTTCGAGTAGCTGTATGTATACCGATGTCTGTTTTCATCTTAATTGCTTGCATATTCACTTTGGCTTCAAGCAGACATGTTTAAATCCGACTCTTACGAATATCACATTTATTTTGTATTGTATAGAAAAACAAGCATCTTGCAGTGGAAGATTTTGAATTGCTTAAAGTAATTGGTAAAGGTAGTTTTGGTAAAGTCATGCAGGTACGCAAAAAGGACACTGGCCGCACCTATGCCATGAAGATCATTAAAAAGGCTCATATTGTGGAACGCGACGAAGTCTCTCATACGCTAGCCGAACGCAATGTCCTGACCAAACTCCAACATCCCTTTATCGTTCCACTCAAGTACTCGTTTCAAAGTTCCGAAAAACTCTATCTGGTACTTGCTTTTGTGAATGGTGGTGAGCTGTTTCATCATTTGCAGCAAGAGGGAAAATTCAGTGAAGATCGCGCAAAGTTTTATACTGCCGAGCTACTCTGTGCACTCGAGTGTCTGCATGGTTTGAATATTATTTACCGGTAAAGTTTAATGGTTATGTTTGGCATAGCTGGTCATCATGACTTGAGCACTATTGCTAATTAAAGTTTGTTTTGAAATATACTCACCCAATTGATAGTGATTTGAAACCAGAAAACATTCTACTGGATTATTCTGGTCATATTTCCCTGTGTGATTTTGGGCTTTGCAAACTTAATATGAAGGAAGGCAACAAAACCAATACTTTTTGCGGCACACCCGAATACCTTGCTCCCGAAGTCCTTATTGGCCAAGGTTACACCAAATCGGTAGATTGGTGGACCCTCGGCATCCTGCTCTATGAAATGCTTTCAGGTCTTCCACCTTTTTATGACGAAAATACCAACATCATGTATCGCAAAATTCTGCAGGATGAACTCAAATTCGGCGATGATATGTCACCCGATGCGATTAATTTGCTATCAAAACTTCTAAATCGGGATAGTGCAGCGCGATTAGGCGCTAACGGTGCGCAGGAAATTAAATCTCATCCATTTTTTGCTGAAGTCGATTGGCGTAAACTCATGGGTCGAAAATATGCTCCTCCATTCCGCCCCAACGTTGTAAGATCAAACTCTATTCTCTATGCATTCTTATAGTTTTTCGTACTAATGAGCACTAAATAATGTATAGGCATCTGCTACAGATACGTCCAATTTTGACGAGGAGTTTACGGCGGAAGCACCTACAGACTCTTTGGCAGAAACTTCACAGCTGTCAGATGCTGTCCAGCAACAATTCCAAGGATTTACCTATCAGGCTACGGAAGCAATTGCCGGATCCATTGCTGCTGGTAGCATGATGGGCGGAACCAACAGTGCTATTTCTGGAAGTTATGCCCCTCAACGTCCAGCTGGTGGTATGAGAGGTGCTCGTTAAAAACCAATACAATAAAAAGACTGACTGTGAAATTGATTAGTACACCAATTATCCACGTTTTAATGGCTGGTAGAAATTTGCTCAAAGTATAAAAAGCATCAACAAGTATAATTACACCTCAATATGTATTGGATATAAAATTTGGCAGTCTTACTCCTTTACTAAGCTATTTAAATATACATCTGCACCAAGTCGGCAAAATAAGAAAATAAATCTTCTTTGAATTCAGATTGCAAAAGGCTGTTTAAATGTAAGTAAAGGTCTGAGCAGATGATTGCATATCAAAGGCGTACACACTCACATTTGATGCAGTCGTGTTAAACTATTTGATTCAAGCTCTGGACTAGAATTCGTCAGCATTTGACTCAGGTCCATTTCAAAAAACTTTTTTGAAATTTCTCTAGCAGCTCGGAGGACTTCGTCCGGATCACAATTTATGGTTGCATTTCCATCTACGCTCAATGTCTCTACATTGCTTAAATGTGTGGCTGCTCTACCACTAAATAAATCGACGGTGGCGGATGGTTTGTGTTTATGCATGTATGTGACCAGTCTCTCCAAAGTCTCCATCAGCTGCTGATTACGATTGCCATACTTTTCAATATATGCTTCACTTTCTTTGACACGTTGACGAGCACTTCGAAGTTGCGAGTTGAGTGTATCACAAGACTTTGAGCCAGCAAGATCTTTAGTAGAGTCCTTTAAACTAGCAAGTTCCTAAACAACATAATATCAAAAATGTTAAATATCTACTCATTGACAACTAAGTTGTTGGCAATTTATTCCAGAAACAAAAACCTTTTCTAATGCTTGCACTCTGATTTTCAAACTTTGGATAATCAGACTTTTTCGTGTAATTTCCTGTCGACAAGCTTTGATTTCGTCCAAAACAGTCTGTTCTGCTGATGAAATTGCTTTTGTTGTATCTTGTATGGATGATTGGGAATCAAGCTTCAATTTTAAATCCTTGATAATTGCATCTTTATGAACTTGTAATAAACTGATGTTTCAGCACATGTTGATAGATTTGATACACATGCAGTAAATAGTGTAGATTTCAACCAATGGTTTATAGAAAAAAAGCATGTTTAGTATTACAAATACAATAAAAAGTTTAACCAATAAGTTTCAAACCGATTGCACCTAATTTGTTTCGTTTTGGCCTTTTGATCACTGATTTGTTTTTCGTACTCGGCAAGTTTTGATAGTGCATCTTTTAGACTTTTATCCTAAAATCCAGTCAAAATGAGATTTGAACAAAATAAATATGCATCCACAGTTTGAAGATACATACTCGACTTGATAGATTGTTTTTGAATACAGCTATGCGATCCTTGAATGTCTTGGCTACTTTTTGATGTGTTTCACTTGTAGACTCCTGTAAAATATAGACAATGAGTTGCACCAATTATTATAAAAAACTGGAATGCACCAAAAATATATAAAAACAATACAATTACCAATTCACCAAGCTGATTTTTCAATGCTTCAATGATGCAGTTTTGTGATTCTACTTTAGAATTGGCTTTGTTGCATTCATCCTGTAGGATTGTAAATTTGGCATACATCAATGTCCATTCGGTCTCATTGTACGTATTACTCAAAGTCTCTGCCAGTTTCTGCTGGATTAAACTATTTTCTCGCTCAAGAGACTGGATTGTATGTTGCAGCATTTTTTTCTCTTCTTCGTATTTTTTCCGGTCAGCGAGCCACTGAATTTCAACAGTAGTTATTGGATCCATAGAGGGTTGTCCATACCGAGATCCATCCAAAGGTTTTACACGGTTATTTTCTTCACAAATCGTGTTATTGTCTAAATCTTTTAGACTAGCTTTCAGATGATGCACATGGACTTGGCTCATATGATGAATCACCGACTGAGCACGTTTATACTGCTGATGTTCATCATGAAGCCGATCTACTTGATCACGGTATGCATCCACTTGTTTAGCAAGCTCAAGTACTTGGTCCGAGTAGCGTGAAATGGTTTCTTTTTGTTCCTGGATTGTATCACGAGAAATTCGTTCTGTAGCCATTGCAACCTCAGTCTCACCCATCAAAGTGCTAAATTTTAATTCTAGCTCTTGGGTAGTTGAAGAGAGTTGTTTTAGATTTTTGTCAAGAGTCTTGTTTTTTTCTTGTGCGATTGTAAGTGATTTCTGAGATTTGATTATTTCAACAAAAGTATGACGTCAGATATAGCAAGAATCAAACAAAATTGAAACTGCTGCACTCATTGAACGAAGCAACAATTTATACCATACCAACAACCACTGTCGCTCGCCTAATAATTCACACATGGTTTTTTCCTGATCAGCCATAGCTTGATCACTTGCATACGTTGGCTGATCTGTTTGCGTTCTTTTCTCCAGAAAAACAGTGCGTGTGGCTAATGCGGGCTTCATGTTTCAGTTTAAACAAAATTAAATATAGTGTTGACATTTAAAAATGTATAAAAACCATGAATGGATTCAGTCACACTGTGTATACCTTTTTTTGATTGGTAGTAGATCCAACTGTAGTTTTGGTGGATTGATACCCAAAAGATTCAAATTGATTGACCTTTTGTTGTGCTTCATGCAATTGATCTCTGAGCTGAGCATTCTTTTGCAAAAGCTCAACATTCAATTTACTAGTGATTAAACTAATGGTTGTACTGTGTGATTAAATCAATAGCAACTAAATACATTAAAGTGATTGTGACTGGACAGATCCAGCATATCATGTATTTAAAAATAAACTATACATAGTATAGTGTAATTACCTATCATTGATAGAAGAATCGGTCCAAGATGTGTTTTCTTGATTCGCTTTTGGCGACATTGCTTTTTGAAGTTGATCGTATAAATGATCAATTTCCTGTGATTTAGCTAGTGCAACAGAGTTTCCCAGCTAAAACAAATCAAGTGTAATATAAATTTGAATAGAATAAAGTATAAGATACTTTTACCAAAGTCAGATATGTTTCAAAGCATGAATATACTTCAAACTTGGATTTCAATACTAACAGTAATTTGACTTTGGCAGTTGACAATTGTGTTGTTTAGTTCTTTGATTTTTGATTCGTAGGATTGCGTGCAGGCTTCGTTGGCAGCAACAAGCTCTTGATTTGTTAATTGCAATAGCTGGATCTGACGCTCTAATGACTCTCGTGGATCATGACGCGGCAGGTTGAACCTGACATTGGATCCATATGGTCTTTGCTTGGGGTTTAAACGTGCTGAAGACACAGACAAAGGTGTAGATGAATGCAATGATGACTGAGATGCATCTGATGCTGTGTCTTCTGACAATGGCAGTGATGTAGCACTTGCATCTGACAGTAGTGAGTATGTTGATGTGGTTGCTGCAATAAGACTACCTGTTGATGTTGTAGCTGAACCAGTCGGAAGTGATGTTAACGAGTCATTGCTATTATTATTTGTAATTATTCCTGTATCACTTGTGTTTTCACCAGTATGAGCATGCATATTTGATGTTAGTAGTATATAAAGAGCACCGAATAATACTGTTTTGAATGAGAATATTTGCTAAATCTATTTGAATATTATACTACTTTTGTACTACTTTTGCATTTTTCATTTCGTAACAATCGAATGTCTGATGAAGAAAACCGCTGGAAATGGAATGCATTTGTGGAAATAGGAAACAATATACACAAGGTGGTAGGCAAGGAACTTAAAACTCGCAAAGCAAAAGTCGCTCTACTCCTTTCCGATGCCTTGTTGAACGAACGCAACACCTTCATTTTAGAATCCAAAGAGCGCTACGAACTGTACGAAACTCTTTTACTCAAATAGCAGAGCATCTGGATGGAAACACTGAAGTCATTCAAACTGCTGTCAGGGAATACTTTCTCATTCAACACGGCAAGGCAGGTCTTGACGCAGATCTCTTTGATATTACATTTTCTCCAAAAAAGAGCAGCATTCAAACTGGATTCACTTGTGATGTCAACAATGGAACTCAAAGTGTTTGCTATTACATCAAGACGCATCAATACGGACCAACAGAAGACAATATAAAAAGCATCAAACCACCAGATACAAAGGAGTTGTTTGTCTACAAGATTCTGCATCATATTGGAATTGGTCCTCAAGTTCATTTTATCATCCCATCTCATGGCACCAAGAAGACTATCTACATTGCCACCAAGGATTGCCATTTGGTCTTATTGTCCAGCTTGACCAAGGATACAGCAAACAACAATGCTCTACTTCAATTGGATCTGATATCTCGCATCCTCTGTCTTCGTGATTGTGCTGACAACACTTCAAACTGTGGTCAAGTCGGTGAAAACCCAATGATTGTTGACTTTTGTATTGAAAAGCAGTCGCAGGGTTATGCCAAACTCGATATCCTGGACAAATTCTACAAAGGAAACAGCGAATTTCACTATTCTGGATTGATGGAAGCCGCAATCAAAACTACAAAAGCTGTCAAGATGGATATTATGAACAAGTCACTGCAGGAGTGAAAGTTGTTGGAGAATATCGAACGAGCTGAATTGGAGATCAATGGGTTGATTAAAAGATATGATGGCAAGATGAAATTTGAAAACGATTTACAACGATATGTTCAGGATCTCAAGACAACAGTTGCAGTTCTAATGAAATCTTGAAATAATATAAACTTTTATTCGCTTTTAAATGTCGATAGTTTTAATTATATCTACCAGGGACAAAACTAAATCATTACAAATGTAATTTTAGTTTACAGTTGTAATGTCTGTACAACTCATTGCCTGGATAGGACAAGTTTCCACTCTTAATGATACTATAATCAACATAGGATACAAGTCACTTTTGCTCCGTTTTACATAAACTCTTTATTAAGGAGTGTTTTATCGACTATAAACGGTCTTTTGATGATTCTGTCATTCAAACCAACAATCTACCAACGTTTTCAAACCAACAGCCAAGAGTGATGGTTACTGAAAATCTCTCATTTTATCCCTTTATTGGGAATATTCAAACAAATATCCAGATTGTAATGAGCGAATCTGATGATCGTACAGTGTATGGCTATGCAAAGGTAAAACTGCAAGATCTAAACACAGCAGTTCAAAACTATTGCTTGTAATCATATGATGGTCGGTATGTTTTCAGACTGATCAAGGTAGTTGTCGAGGCTTTCTAAACAACGATATACAACATCTCCAAACACGCATATTATTCTAAACATTCCATTTCACAAAGCAACTGTATGATTAGACATGGTTTACCAACCATTCAACAAACAACACGAGGATTAAAACTACGCTACTCCATATTACACATCGAATTCTCCAAAAAAACGATTCGGGTATAATAAATAATGGGCTTATGCGTCAGTAATTCCAAACACCGAGAAGCTGAGGATATTCATTGAAGCAATCAACCTGTAGTAGAAAAGCAGCAAACGTTTGGTCATTGTTTATTACAAAGCAAAATAGAGGCAGTTATTGCAAGATAAATGCAAATTCTATTGTATGTGAATATGGCGGTGAATAGTCGAAGCGGCTATTCACGTGACTGAGAGGCTACATTCCGAATACAGGCAAGATTGGTTCTAGTTGATCAATAGATATGATCTAGCAAGTAAATGATTGATGCTAGAATCTGTGTGGATATACAAAGACGGGGTGTGAGCAGATCTAACGCGGCACAAAGACCGAGCCGACTTACAGCCGTATTCACGTAAAATATAAGACTTGCATTTACCTTGCAGTCACTGCCTCTTCTGTTTTGAAATAGACAATGGTCAACTATCCATTGCATTTTCCTACTATAAACTGATTATTTTTTCAATAAACACAACGTTCATCATATGATGCTCACAAAATCAAACCATCACTTCACATTTGGTATAGTTATATACTGCACAATCACCAAGTCTGACCCCAGATCCATTTATTGCAGTTCAGATATTAGATTCGACGGTTGATGCTGTCAATACAACTTCTGTTGTATTCTAGAATTCCCAATACGTTTATACTCTAATTTCAAAGAACAAAGATTGCAAGTCTCAAGAATGCGACTATAATGTCAGCCACCAGAAGATCAGCCAGAACAATGTTTAATAAATCTGGTAGGAATCGTTTCATAAGACTGGCTGTTGATTGTATTTTGAGTGTTTCATTTTACGTGAATACAACTGTAAATCTCGTGTTTCCATCAAGTTTTCTTATCCATCATCACTTTCGCCTGTAACAACCAACTGATATACAAATGGTAACTATATTTGCTTCGACTATGTATGCCTGCACTGTATTCTTGGTTTTTGATAGTACTGGCATGGCTCTGTAATCTTCTGAACTGTTTGTTGGGAAAGTCGGGGACTATCTACTAAGGGTTTCTTTGACCTCATCTTGACCAGCTCAGATGCTAGTCTGTGCAATGGATGGCTGAAGGAGGGAGCAGATGCACTGTTGGCTGCATGTATTGATGGCGATGTGTCTATGGAAATATAAGATATGGATGCATTTATAACAAGTCAATGACTATTCGCTGCCAGCAAGATGGTATTGCTACTTTGAATGCAGCTGTTTGTGATATCGATGTGGGTGGTTTTGATTTGATACTGTTCGCCCCTGTGCGTTCATGGACATTCCTCTATCTACATATATACAGATATAATCTATATACTCCTTTCCTTTGGGTTCATGGTCTGGTAACTTTTCACAGCTTTAATGTTGTCATCTTGTAAGACTAGTCGACCACTATCAGAGGTAGTCTTACAAGATGACACTTGACTGTTGCATCCAGCGCACCCCTGGCTGGTGCGCTGGCTGTTTAAATACTTTCAAAGATGCATCAAAGTTTCATTGCAGGCTTGTACAGTTGGATTGCGTTATGCTGTTAATTGTCCAGTGCTTGTGATTAAAGCTGCTCTTCATTCTTCCTTACTTGATTGGCCCTTGTTTTTGTCTTGCTTAGACCCTCTGCTAGCCCGTTGTGGTTTTGTAGCATCTAGGATACCCGCTTTCCAATATCAATTCTGTTGGCATTTGAATTTTGAGCCGTCTATGGGTTATTGGTGGCTTATTTTTACAGCTGTATTCACGCAAAATGCAAGACTTGCACTTACCTTGCAGTCACTGCCTCTTTTGCTTTGGAATAGACAAATATCCGTTATTTTCCTATTGGAAACTGATTTTTCCAATAGTCACAGCACCCATTGTATGATACTCATACAACCAAACTATCCATTTCTTCTTTTTTGGCATAACCATAGATTGCACAATCATCAGATTTGTTCATTACAATCTAGATATTGAGATCAACTGTTGTCAAACTTTTTGTGTATCTTGAAATATCAGACACGTTCGCGCTCCAGTTCAAAAGAACAGTGATTGCACGCCCAGGAATGCAGCTATTGTTTTCATACTGGTCATGCAATGCTCATTTTGGATGAAAGGAGCATCGAACAAGTGGGATTTGTTGAAACTGATGTGAACATTTGTTCAGTGTTGTATACAAAAATATGCAAGGGAAATATCAGTCAAGGAGTCCAAAGGACACAGTAAATTTGATGTGAATTACTATGTGTTTTGATGCCTGCTATACGCTGGGCAATGAGCAGCATATTACAAGGAACCATACCAATACTGGTTTTGTGCCTACCATTGATTTTTCAGATTCGATTCCAGTTGTTTTTTGTTGATTTTTATGCAGTCGGCATTTTTCCAACCATGATTCGTATAGCCAATCTAAGCCATTCCATTATTCTCCAATCCTGTCTTTAATGGGTTAACTAACAGTGCTAGGAATCTATTTTTACTGCTTTAGGCTGACCAACTCACTGAAGAGCAAATCGCTGAATTTAAAGAGGCATTCTCCCTGTTTGACAAGGATGGCGATGGAACTATTACCACCAAAGAGCTCGGCACAGTCATGCGTTCTCTTGGCCAAAACCCTACAGAGGCTGAGCTTCAAGATATGATTAACGAGGTTGATGCCGATGGCAATGGCACCATTGACTTCCCCGAGTTCCTTACCATGATGGCCCGTAAGATGAAAGACACTGACTCTGAAGAGGAAATTAAGGAGGCATTCAAAGTCTTTGACAAGGACGGCAACGGCTTCATTTCTGCTGCTGAACTTCGCCACGTTATGACCAACCTTGGTGAGAAGCTTACTGATGAGGAGGTTGACGAGATGATTCGCGAGGCAGATGTTGATGGCGATGGTCAAATCAACTATGAAGAGTTTGTCAAGATGATGGTACGTTTTTGCATCTTTTTGGTCAATGACTTTCTGCACTGGGCAGTATATATACTAACATTGTTCAATTTTACTTTGCACAGATGTCTAAATAAACATCACATTTCTTTCCACCTTTTAACATGTTTCCTTTGCTTGGAAACAGAATTTTGAGCAAATGAATCAAATGCCGTCTATTATGTTGCTGGCTCTCAATTCTTCCTTGAATAAAGTAGCTTTTTTCAACTTTTTCCTGCTGACTTGCATTTTCGTTGACAGTATCAAGGTGTCTTGAATCTTGAGCTTTCGAGTCCGTCTATCACTATATTGGGTGTAAATTGGCTAATCTGCATAAATGACCCAGTTGAAAAGCAAAAGTCGTGGTATTTTTCCAGAATACACTGCCCAATGCTGCTGATGACACTATTGTAGATGGTCGAGTCACTGGCTACAGTCGAGTCCAATGTATAGACTGCAAATCTAGTAAAATGAATTATGCGTGTCGGTTGCAAAATAATGATCGTCGACTGCCACGATTGCTAATCAAACCATATCCATTTTCTTGGCCATGGAGAATGAAAAGAATTGCATATGAACCTCGTTTACAAAGAACCGATTAAATCAACTTTATTTTAATAACATTAACTAGCAGTTGTGACGGCAGCAGTTACTAACACTTTAAAAATTAATCCATGCATTTGCGTTGATTTATTTCTTGCGAATATTCTGGCTGCGTAGCTGCTTCTTTTTTAGTCGTCTGACTTTTGCAGCAGAAATCTAGTCGCATTTCAAAAAGTATATTAAAAGCACTGTTGTATCCAAGATATATCGAATATAACCCAGTTTCCCAAAATTTACCTGCTGGACCACATCAGCCTTTTTTTCGTTTTCCTCTTTACGTTTTCGGCGTTCCTCGGCATTTTTTTTCTTGAGCTAAGGATAGTCGAGTAGAAACAGTGTTAGAAATCTTATGTAGATGAGGTACGTCAAGCAAATCCAAAGGTAGACCTACGTCTTTTTCCTCCTTATGTCGTTGTTCCATCTCTGCCTTCATTGTTTTGAGAATATCTAATTGCTTCCTATCCTTTTGCCTTTTTTCCCATCCTAAAATTGAAAAAATGAATAAGCTGGCTCGAATTCGTCAAATCAACATAGACATGATATCCTGTCAATGTTGTGATGTACAACTATACAAGACCCAATCTACAAAACTCGGCATACAATGCAGCAAACACTCGATTAGTCAAGCCCAACACTCACCCATCTTTTCTCCGTTTGATCGTTTCTGAAAATGAGCTTTAGTTTGAATACTTTTCCATACTCTGCCTAGATCATTTACAATTGATTGTATAGTGTATGGGAAATACAATTCATTAGCACTTGCAAGGTTCCAGCCGAATCAGCACTTTAGTTGGCAGACAAAGTTGATATTGCATGACACATGCTAGTTCTATGAATCAGCTCAAGTCATTATACCTGAAGCAGGCACTCTCCGAATATTAGCTACTGATGAAACTGGTTCCAATGACTTCATGTTCAAGGAATCAGTCGCTACATTTGTATCTTGAGAGGGTTTTGAATCTATTTCTGAAGATGGCATTTCTGTATTCTGTGCTAATGATTCTTCTTCAGATGAAGCTTCTGCAGCAGATGTGGTTTGACGATAAGCTGAAGACACCGTGCCCATTTACACAATAAAAGGGAAAGTTTTTTTACAAGGGAAAAGTTTTTCATCAAAAATCCAGCCGTAGTCACGTAAAATATAATTTATATTTATCTTGCAGTGATTGCCTTGGAATTGATAATGGTTGAATAATTGTTGGAAATCAAAGTGTTTAGAATAGACTTGCTGAAACTAGCGTAGACATGTTCAGTTTTTATGCAATGTCTAGTAAGTTGACACCCATCAAACATGAGACTGACTATTCATTAGACACTCTTATTTAGTGTGTCATTTTATGTGGACACGACTGTAATGAATGCATTAAAGATGCTCAACAGACTTTAGACTAGTAACGATTGACACTTGATATCAAACATTCCAACAAGAAACGCTCATTGAGAATTGATCGAACACGATCAATGTTTGAATTGTTTGAAGATTCGGACAAATTGTTCAAACTATTCAACAACTCTTCTTATAACAGCAGGTGGCATTGGAAACTCATTGTGTTAAAAACAATGGGGCATTTGATTCAACTGGATGTAGAAAACTTCAAGTCCTATAAAGGCAAACAAACACTCGGTCCATTCTACAACTTTACTGCAGTTATTGGCCCTAATGGATCGGGTATGCAAGCTGTTCAGGATTCCTATTATTTAAACTACCGCTTGAGTTGTTTTATGTGTTTGCGTAATTATTCAAACAAGAATATTGCTTATAAACGATCCAAAGATTGAATCATTGCATTCATGAATGCCTAGAATCAGACTGTTTTAATCGCACACTTTAATGAACATATCAATGCTGGTCTACTAATCACTCACTCGTGTTGCATTGCCGTTTTATAGGAAAGTCTAATCTGATGGATGCAATCAGTTTTGTTTTGGGAGTCAAGTCGAGTCACTTGCGTTCTACCCAATTGCGAGATTTAATCTATCGAGCTGCAGGAGATAATTCTGATAAAAATATGCCTTTGGAATCAGACAGTGCAGAACCCCATTTTAATCGCAATGCTGCTTCTGTGACGGCCATATACGAGACCAGTCAAGGCAACCAGATCCAATTCACCAGGATGTATGTCCTAATTGCATTCTATCTATTTTTTGAATCTATACACATCAATAAATGGGTATCCATTACGACATGGACAATCTTTCCACTGTTGACTACTAATCAATTGATTTTGAAAATGGCTACATTTTTCAGCATCCATTCCAACGGATCAAGCGATTACAGGTTGGAAGGACACACTGTCACGTATCAAAAGTATTTGGCTGCATTGAAAAAGGAAAACATTCTGGTCAAAGCACGCAACTTTCTAGTGTTTCAAGGCGATGTCGAGGCAGTTGCTTCACAATCTCCAAAAGATTTGACTCGTCTTATTGAGCAGATTAGTGGGTATGTCCATCATAATTGGAACTGTCCAGTGACTTGCACCATTTTTTTGATAAACTGCCTTTTGAATTAACTCGAGTGTTTTTAGGTCTATTGAACTCAAAGACGAGTATGACCGTCTTAAAAACGAACTGGAAATTGCTACAGAGGCATCAGCACAGAATTTTTCACGAAAGCGAAATGTGAATGCGGAAATGAAACAATTCAAAGAACAAAAGCAAGAGGCTGAACGATTTGAGAAGCTCCAGGAGTCCAAGGTAATCTCGAGATACTTTTATTGTCCATGTTTCATCTTATTTACACGTATTACAGATGTACCTAAAACTGACTGGTTGCTGATGGTTTGCATTACATTGAAAACGTATAGGACAAGCTTGTTCAAACACTTGCACTTTGGAAACTGTTTCATCTTGACAAGCATGCAGAAACTCAACAGGATTTGCTTGTTATGGATCACAGAGTGGTAGCGGATGCTGATACTCAGCATGTTGAGATCAAATCACGATTAAAAGGTCAAGTCAAGGCGCTTGCCAAAAGTCAAAAAGATGTAATCCGTCTGGAACGAAATGCAAAGCAACTACAGCAAAAATTGGACGATTTGAAGCCTGATCTACTGCGTGTGGACGAACAGATTCGCCATTGTACAAAGAAGCAAAAAATTGCCATGAAAAACAAGGACGAAACCGAGGTCGAGCTCCTCAATCAGGTAAATGCCATGATGTACATTATACTGTGTTTTTTTAGCCAACGCATTGTAACGCCATCGATATGCTAGTCTGAATTGGTAAACATGCTTAAAGAGGATTTTGGCAAACTGACACGAGCACTGGATCAATTTGAAGGTTGGGCAGCACTATTTCAGCATTTTTAGATTTAAACTTTCTATAGACATGTTCTAACATGTATACTTGTATAGAGAAAGTTCGCGCTACAAAAAAACAGAGCAAATCGCTTGGAACTTTGCAACTTCAAGAGTATAAGCAAATGTAAACACCACATTGCAAAGCATATCAAACTATATTCATTTTGTTTTTTCAAATCATTACAAACACATTTGTTTTTATCAATCTACTAAATCGATTAGGCGAACCAAAGTTGATACACAGCTGTTTGCCGAGCGCCAATCGCTTTCACTTTTAAAAGTACAGCTTCAAACTGCTAATGAAGCAAGTAAACGTTTACAAGAAGGTCTTGAAGAGCTTCAGACAAAAGAATCGATGCTACTAAACGACCAAAAAATACACACCCAGCGCAAAGAAAAGGTATAGAAACAATTATTTCATGTGTACTTGACTATAAAACTCTTGGTATTCTTGCTCTAACTACTAATACATTTTAAATATTTCAAAGATTACAGCTCAGCTTGGTCAGGTAGATGACGAGCTCAAGGCATCTAAGAAATGTCTTTTAGACATGGATACTGATCTACGTCGTCTAAAGTATGCTATAAGGGTTCAACTGGTACATGTTTGATAGTAATCTGAATTCTGTCGGATACTTATATTTTAAATTTCATTCTAGTCAAATTGAAGGCGAAATTACTGAAAAGCTCTCCGAAATCTCTTCTCGGTTGCTTCAAGAACGTGCTGATCGACATGAGTCGGAAAGAAACAAAAAATTTCGTGATACTCTTGAAACCCTTAAGCGCTTATTTCCAGGCAAATGGCAATACTGTTGAATATAACCATCATATTGCTGCATACGAATACTAACATTGGTTTTATTTTTGGAATTAGGTGTTCACGGGAGATTGTTTGATCTCTGTCAAACAACACAGAAAAAGTATAACCTTGCAATATCTATTGTATTTGGTAAAAATATGGATGCGATTGTAGTGGACACGCAAAAGGTTGCAATTCAGTGCATCAAGGTACATTTGATCAAAAGTTTTTGCAAAGTGAAACAATCAAGCATTGGTTCTAATGTGTTGATGTATTGCTAAATTGCATATTTAGTATATGAGGGAACAGCGAAGCGGCGAGGCCACATTTCTCCCGCTTGATACGATTCAAGCCAAATCTATCAACGAAAAGTATCGCTCGTTTGCAAAAGGAGCGCGCCTTGCTATTGATGTTATACAATCTGAGCCAATTGCCGAGAAAGCTTTGTTGTATGCATGTGGAAATGCATTGATTTGCGATTCTATGGATGTTGCAAAATATATCTGTTATGAACGACATCAAGAAGTGAAAGGTAAATTGACCCATTTCATCAAGCGTCTCAGCTATTGTTAACTCTTGGGCTCACTTTCCAACTTGCTTTGGCATTTCTTATTTTCAATTAGCCGTCACATTGGAGGGAACTGTGATTCACAAGACTGGCATGATCACCGGTGGCTGGTCGGTCAATTCTGACAATGGCAAGCGCTGGGAAGAAAAGGAAATTCAAGGTAGCATTGATCCATTTTTATTTTCAAATTTTGCTACTTGATATATTTAATACATACCGTGGTTTATACATTTAGATCTGAAACGCTCGCATGATGAACTTACTGCTCAACTAATCAAAATTCAAAAGGAAAAAAGAAAGGCATCCCATGATGATCATATCAAATCTGATATTTTATCTTTAGAATCTCGACAGACAGGCTTGGCTGATGAGCTATCAGCAGTGAATCTCCGACTAGCCACTATTTCTACCGAATTAGAAAACGTTTGCATTTTAATCAACAATAAGTCTTTGACCCATAAAGCTGTATGTTATAGTTGTCTGCTAATACCTGTGCAATCTCGACACTATTTGCTTGTTTTGATCATGAAACACTATTTAGCTGCAATACTCATACCTGTTGATAAAAATATATTGTCTACTTAAATCATCCTATTAGGCGGTTGCTAGTGCCAGTGCTCTCTATGAGCAAGTTCAAGACGCTGATAGGAAAATTATGGATGTAGAGCAATCTGTGTTTGCAGATTTTTGTCGCAAAATCCATGTTGCCAATATTCGTGAGTACGAAGAGAATCAACTTCAAGCGTTGCAAGAGACGGCCGAGCATCGTTTGAAACTGACCACTCAGCATGCCAAACTTGAAAGTCAGCTTACATTTGAGCAGCAACGTTTGTCCGAGTTTACTGCACGCGTTGGTTTGCTTTCCGAGACTCTACAGTCGGACACAGTGTTGCTGTCTGAATTTCAAACGAAAAAAGATGCTATTCTTCATCAGTCCGCCGGGCTCGAAGCCCAGTGTACTTTGACCGATCAAGGCTTGTGCAGTGCTCGCGAAGATATGGAAAAGCATATTGGATTGGTTACAGGAATCAAAAAGGAAATTACCGAGCTTAACAAAAATCATGAATTAGTTTCTAAAAATATGGCAGCCAAGGTACATTTTAACGACTGATCTATTATGTTTATTTTAAGCAAAGCACGGTTTGGAGTGTAATGATTGACTTGTGATGCTGAATTGATTTATAAACCATGTAGGAAGCAGAGATTGAACGGTGCATAGCTGAAAAGATTTTAGTGCTTCGTCGGTGCAAAATGGAAAATACTCAAGTTCCACTTGAAGGCAGAAAGATGAATGATGTTACTTTGGAGGAGCTGGACGTGAGTTTGTTTTAGTGCTGCTTTGTTTAAATTGTGACTTTATTTTTTGACAATATCATTTTTATAATGTATTAGAATTGGGAAGCAGATGCCAATGTAAACTCGGAAAAAGACCCTAATCAAATGGATGTAGATATGCAAACATCTGGAGATAGTAGTGGTACCAAATATATGACTGCCAACCGCTTACACCGTATTCAAGTAAACTATAAATCGCTGATAAAGATGTATCGTGAAAAGAGTGGCGATGAAACAGAGCAAGAATTTCTTGATCAGATCAAGGAAATGACAGCAGAGATTGAACGAATTGCACCAAATGTTCGATCGACCGATCGGCTTGATGATATTGAAACAAAATTCAAAGAAACTGCTGATGAATTCGAACGGGCTCGGTTGGATGCCAAAGAGGCCAAGGACCGTTTTCAAGAAATCAAAACTCAAAGGTAAACTCAGTTGTTCTTGGTAATTACAAATTTGATTTGATAATCAGACCGACAACTAATCTAGTATCTTGTTTGGCTTTAAACTAGATTTGAGTTATTCCACAATGCTTATTTGCATATTGAGAGCGTCATTGATAGCATTTACAAGGAACTCACCATATCCACCTCATTTCCAGTAGGTGGTACGGCATACTTGAGTTTGGAAGATAGCGAGGTAAACGTGTTTTATACAAATTATTTTTTCAAACTACCATGCAGCTGAACATTTAAACATTTTCATGGATTGCTTACACCTTATATTAGGAGCCATATCTAGACGGCATCAAATACCATGCCATGCCTCCCATGAAACGATTCAGAGAAATGGAGCAACTTTCTGGAGGAGAAAAAACAGTGGCAGCACTTGCACTCCTGTTTGCAGTACATAGTGTATGTCCAGCACCATTTTTTGTGTTGGATGAAGTAGATGCAGCTCTTGACAACACCAACGTTGCCAAAGTGACCAACTACATTCGGAATCATGCGTCCGATACGATGCAGTTTGTAGTGATCTCACTCAAACCGACCTTTTATGAAAATGCCGAAAGTTTAGTTGGTGTTTACCGAGACCAAGATCAGTGTAGCAGCAGAGTGCTTACTATGGATTTGTCCAGATTTGAAGAATGAATTTACATTTGCAATGTTGATAGTTTACGTGAACCCGATAAAAATCAAAATGTTGGATTGCATCGACCCGACTTGACGCTGTTTTAATTAATACAAAAAAATAACAATCGCAACAGTCGATTGCTGTATTGCTTGATTGGTCAACTAAACTTGATCTTACAGATGTTTCCATTAAGAATAAACTCAACTGCTGCTTTCTTGGCCACCAAACCCATTCATATCTATCCTCGATCTTTGTTCCGAGGACGAATACTGACTGTAGAATCTGGACAGTTTCTGTCTAGTTTGAAGGGATCATCTCGTACTCTCACACAGACTGCATCCACTTCTGACGATCCATTCAGTGATGCTGCCGTGCGTCCATATAAAACCAGAACCACTCCAGAATTAATCAATTCCATGACGGTGTTTACAATGTGTACCATGCCTGGTCTAGTGAATGCCGCTCCATCCATGATTGAAACAGCTCATAAGCTCGGAGTGAGTGCTCCGCTGAATGCACTGATCAAGGCCACTTTTTTTAAACACTTTTGTGGTAAGTGTTGCTTTGCAACAGTCTGGTCCAGTCTGAAGACTGTCCTGCAACTCTGCTTTAAAATCCACTCTTGTGTTGTTGCTTTGATATGGCTCAATCCTTCCCGCTATTGGTTTTAAATAGTCTGGATATAACAATCTTGTTCTAATACATTAAACCATCTTGGATTCTTTATGTAGGCGGTGAAAACCTCAACGAGGTACTTCCTACCATGCATGCATTTCAAACTGCTGGGATCGGATCGATCTTGGATTTGGCTATCGAAGCAGATCTCAATGCTGTATCCCTTTCTGGGGCTGCTGCTCATGACTATGCCAAGAATATGGTAACGAACATGAAACAGTCCATAGATATTGCATCACATCAACCAGAAAGTTTTATTGCTGTGAAAATCACTGCCTTGTTTCCTCCCGTACTGCTTCAGCGATGGTCCAATTCTTTGATTCATCTCAAGGATGCATTCTGTGCTGCAGATACCGACAAGGACGGCTTGATTGACATGAAACAATTCGATTCTTTAAAAACAACTTTTCCTAAACTTTCTGAACAATCTACACATTTATTTGCTACTATGGATACCGACCAAGATGGAAAGGTGGATTGGATGGATCTTACAACCGCGTTTTCTTTGCTTAATGTTTCCAATTCCAGACTACTCGTTGTAGATCAACCCACGAACAAATCTTCTCAGCTAGAAAACCAGCCAGCTACAATGGATGATTGTGATACGGCCGAATTGGTGATGCATGAAGTTGACCAACTCTGTGAATATACCCAATTAAAAAACGTCAAGATTATGATGGACGCAGAGCAGACTTATTTCCAGCCTGCAATCGATAATATTGTTCTTGGTCTATGCAGAAAATGGAACCCTTCAACCATAAAGCAAATGACTGAATCTGAACGGGCTGCTGGCTCTAAAGGACCACTTATTTTCAACACGTATCAAATGTATCTTTGCGATGCATACTCTCGTCTTGAAAGAGATTTAAATCATTCTGCACGTATGGGGTACTCATTTGGTGTCAAACTGGTTCGCGGTGCGTACATGGTCAGTGAACGTGAGCGTGCAGCCGAATTGGGTATAAAAGATCCTATCCAACCCACCATTCTGGACACACATGCCAATTATAATCGTGGTGTTGCATTCCTAATAGAGAAAATTAAATTGGCTGCTACTAACGGATCTATCAAGCCTATTTCACTTGTTATTGCTTCTCATAACAAAGATTCCGTTCGTGCTGCCACAAAGTTGATGGCAAAGCATGGGATTGCTCCAAATGACGGATGTATTGCATTTGCTCAGCTTATGGGTATGCAGGATGGTACTGCATACGCACTCGTGTCTCATGGATTTAAAACATACAAGGTATTTTATTCATCAATGCATGTGTCATGCATAGCCATTCTAAATCAATTCAAAACTAATACTGTTGTTTTTTGAAAATGTGATCCATAATACTTGAAACCATGTCGTAACTTGCTTCTTATACTCCAAACTGTGACGTATGGTTTTTTGACATACAATGGTGCAAATCTCAACATGCTTTGATCAACATCAGTATATTCCATATGGCCCTATTGAAGTCACTGTGCCATATCTTCAACGCCGTGCACAAGAGAATTCATCTGTTATTGGTGGTGTAGGCGAAGATAGACGAAACGTTTTATCTGAACTCAAGATTCGCATGGGTCTTCTTCGCGCCAAGTAGATTGATCTACTATTCAGTATGTTTGCCTTTAACTAGCGCTTGATTTCTATCATTTGTTCACGAATATGGTTGTATTTTAAGCAAAAAATAAAGTTGGATCTATTTTTGGTTTACATTTAATGAAGAGCATAATATAGACATGCAGTTGATTGTGCTATACTGACAGACTAGATGCTGAATTATCGGATTGATTTTGCTTCAACTTGCTCACTACAAAAAAGCATAAATTTAAACCAACCAGCATATGAAAATAAAATAGCAGCTTTTATTCAAAAGCACAGTAAGTCACAGTGGATCACTCATTTTGATCACTGCAATAATGATTCGAGTGCGTTGCAGCATGATGGATTGCATTCAACATTTGATTTCAGTCAATAGTAGTTATTACTGGTGGAAACACTGTTTAAATGAACAAGGTTTATTTATACTCTTAACCTTGTCATTTATTTTGACTATAAGTTGCGATTCGAGATGGTTGAAATGAGATTACAAGTTTGCCAAATATCGCGAAATCTTGATATTCAAGAAAGCGAGTTTATTGCTTGACTACCTGGCCAGATTTGTTAATAAAAGTCAGCAACAGCAAATACATGGTATGCTTTATATCTACCATACCTACTATTTCTTGGTATATTATCCACAACCAAAATTGGTACATTCTGTACAAGCACAACTTTTGCATTTTTATCGTAAAATATATTGACCATGAGTCTACAGTGATGATGGAATACAATTCTATCAGCCATGTATTGTAACTACTGAATCATCATTACTTGTACTCTATGGTTAAAAAGTATTTATGTCCAGATGCCTGATCAGGCATTCTGACATAACGACTAGCCTCCATTAGGTTTATAAACCGTGATTTCAATACATTTGGTTGCCATACAGTTGGGTTTAAATACTTTCAAGTACCTCAGACAAGTGTATATCCCATCTTTATCTAACGAGTTTGCATCGCTTGGTATTTTTATAAGATATTGAAGTGGTAGCTTATTTTTGTATACTTTTTTAAACTAACGTGTAGTCTACCGAATACGAAGGTCTTACTGCACAAGAAGTAGCAGAGTTTCGTGAAGCCTTTGCGCTATTTGACAAAGATGGTGACAACACCATCACCACCAAAGAGCTTGATACAGTTATGCGCTCTCTAGGACAAAATCCTACCGAAGCGGAGCTCCAGGAAATGATCAACGAGCTTGACGCAGACGGTAATGGCACGGTCGAGTTTGACGAACTCATGACAATGATGACGTCGAAAATGAAGGATATTGATTTTGAAGAAGAGAGAGTTGAAGCATTCCGTATGTTTGATAAAAACGGAGACGGATTTATTACTTCAGCTGAGCTCAAGGTAGTCATGGGCAACATTGGCGAAAAGCTGACGGATGAAGAGATTGAAGAGATGATTCACGAGGCTGATGAAGACAAGGATGGTCAAGTCAGCTACCAAGAGTTTGTTAAAATCATTGCAAGTATTTAAGACTAGATTTAACATGTTGATATTTCCTTGTCGATCTAACATTGAAATTATTGATTCAAACTGTTCAGATGCCACAATTCATTGAATCCGATGCAGAAGTTCCTCAAACAACGATTGTTGAAACACAGTGATTCGTATGTAAGAAAACTTGTTCAACAACAACATTTTTATGTGCACAATCAATGTTGCAGTTTGGTTGAGTCGTCAACCAACTTCAAGTTTTCTGCAGTTGAAAATAAAAAATTATTTTGTAAATTTAATTTGAAAAACTTGCATATTGCCAATTGAATTATCTGCAATAATAATTCGATTTATTCCTGCAACTTGAATACATTATCATCACTTTTAATCCAAATCACTATATGCTTCATAGCAAGTCATTTGTACGCAAAACTAAAAAAGGGTCTGTTATCAAAGTCATCAAAGAGCATTATCTACGAGATGACCTGTATTGTGGAGTACCCAAATGCAAGCATTGTCCTTCCACTCAGACATTGCTCAGTCCAACTCCTCGCACTACAACAGTCGTTTCTAAACAGCACTATGTAGTACCTGATACAAATATTCTGTATCATCAGGTATGTCAGTGCACTTGTGTTATTTTCGTTGAATCAATCTGTCAATGAAAACTGGATTTCCTTTAATCAACTCTGAATTACTATGCCAATTGGATCAAATTAAACCAATGGGGTATTGCATATATTTACAATCAACTTGGAATCTGAGTTTATTTTTTGCAAGTGTACATTATACTTGTTGGTTTGCCAATGCATATATATATTGAATGACCACATGTCAATTCCAATTAGCATATTCACTGTTTTATTAAATGTTTTTTAGATTGATGTGATGGAACACTCTGCATTCGTTGATGTGATTGTCTTGCAAACAGTCCTTGATGAACTTCGTCATCGCAGCACTCCAGTTTACAATCGTGTGAGAGCCTTGATCAACGAACCTACCAGAAGATTTATTGTATTTTGTAATGAACATCATCGGTAAGCAATAGGCGACTCCATTGTTTTTTGCATTATTTGCCAACCCATGTGTAAACACCAAAGCATCACAATTCTAACAATTTGAATCTTTTAGTGAAACATTTATTCATCAAGAACCAAATGAAACACCCAACGATCGCAACGATAGAGGTGAGTTGGACATTGTGTTTTATTTCAAATATTGCTGTTCAGTTCCAACTCAAATGTTAACTTTAACCTGATTTATTAGCAATTCGAAAAGCGGTTGAATGGTATTCATCACACATCAATTCCACCTATGCTGTAGTTTTAATCACAGATGATAGAGATAATCGTAACAAGGCTATCGAGCATGGTCTTTTGGCACTATCGCTTCGTAAATACGTCGAGTCTATTCCAGGATATCCTGAACTTGTAGACATGGTCTCAACTCGTGAAGATGAGGATGAAAATACAATGGAAGTGGATAAAAAGTTTACGTATACTGAACATCTCTCACCCATTCAACTATCTGCTGGGTTTAAATCTGGCGCGTTTCATCAAGGCGTGCTTAATATTAGCACACACAACTTTCTTGAGGTGTGTAGTGATTGCATTGACTACCGCATCTGAACCTTTTTGCCCAGCTATTTATACTTTAAATTTTTGGATTCAACTGAAACTGAAACTGTTATATGCGATTGTTATGACAGGGGAGTTCTATGATTTGTATTGATGGTCAAGAGACGATTGTGCAGATTGTTGGTCGAGATCACTTGAATCGTGGTGTTCAGGGAGATGTTGTTGCTCTCCAGATTTTGCCCAAATCAGAGTGGCTTGCTGGTATATCATTAGTGATTGAAGAAGAGGTGGTGGAAGCAGACGATACAAATCAAGCCGTGGCTGTTAAAACTGATAGCATGATTTTGGAAAATAACAAGTTACTGGCTTCGACTGAACCCGAAAGCACGGCTAAACCTACGGCTCGTGTTGTGGGTATTATCAAGCGCAACTGGAGACCATTTTGTGGCACTATTGAGTCCACTACTGTTCAGACTGCTGCTGAATCCATCAATACTCAAATGCAATCAGTATTTTTTTGGGCGTTGGATAAACGTATCCCAAAAATTCGCATTCGAACCAGACAGGCTCAGCATTTGGTAGGAAAGCGTATTGTAGTTGCCATGGACTCTTGGGCAAAAAACTCCAGGTATCCATCTGGCCACTATGTTCGTACTCTTGGAGATGTTGGTGATCGTGCAACTGAAACCGAAGTGTTGTTGTTGGAGCATGATGTACCCTATGCACCATTTTCCCCACTTGTGTTGCGATTTTTACCTGAAGAAGGAGAATCTTGGGTTGTTAGGGATGAGGAACATCTTGAAGGACGTGAGGACTTTCGCACATGGGATGTCTGTAGCATTGATCCACCTGGTTAGTTCAAGCACTATTTTACATTTAATTCTTATTTGATTGGGATCAGTTTGTTCATTGCCAACTTTTATGTAATTTACATTGTTGTGCTTCAGGATGCACTGATATTGACGATGCGCTGCATGCAAAACAATTACCAAATGGAAACTACTCTGTAGGAGTTCGTAAGTTTTTTACAAACGTGATGCTGGTTGTTTTGTTGTATTTTTAGTACTAGCATTAACAATATACCAAACTATTTGCATTCCTAAATGTCACTGCGTTAGATATTGCTGATGTGAGTCACTTTGTCAAGCCTGACAACGCCATGGATCTCGAGGCTCGACGACGCGGAACCACCGTGTATTTGGTAGACAAGCGTATTGATATGCTTCCAAGCTTACTTGGAACAAGTAAGTTGACAGTGAATTGTGTGCTAAATGTCAAGAGATTGTATTTAGTTTATTTATCATTTTGCATCATTATGTCTAGATCTGTGCTCTTTGAGATCAAATGTTGATCGACTTGCTTTTTCGTGTCTATGGGAAATGTCGCCTTTGGCTGAAGTTATCAGTGTCCGCTTCACCAAAAGTGTCATTCGATCAAAAGCATCTCTCACCTATGATGAAGCGCAAGCAAGACTTGATGATGTGTAAGTTGGCTATTTAAAACGACTGATATACGAGTGTTTATGCTGTCGATTTTTTGAAAAGTTTGAATGGTTTTGGGGTATTGACAGGTGGTGTTTTAATATTATTTTATGCTAGGAAAATGACGGATCCTGTATCTACTGGTATCAGAATACTTAATTCTTTGGCCAAGCAATTGCGGGCGAAGCGAATGGCAGCTGGTGCATTGACTCTTGCCTCACCAGAAGTTCGATTCAAGATGCAAAATGATTCACAAGATCCTGTAGATGTTGGTATGCCAAAGTATTTTTATTTTGACTGTATGGGCAAGTGATTGTGGTTTGGCTAACGTATACCTTGAATATCTACTATAGAGCTAAAGGAGTTGAAGGATACAAATGCCCTTGTTGAAGAATTTATGCTTCTCGCAAATATCTATGTTGCTCGCAAAATATATGATAGTTTTCCCGAGTGTTCAATGCTGCGGTATGCTCATATTTGACTTGCATCAACATGAATTTTTTTACAGATACTGATCATTTCATCCGTTTTTTGAATTGTATACAATTATATGTGTGCTTGATTTTCAACACTGGACTGAGTAGTCGCCATCCCAAACCTCCTGCAACCAACTTTGAAGATCTAGCCAAAGCACTCGAGCCTCTCAATATTGAGTTGGATCCTACAACATCAAAGACGCTTGGAGACTCGTTGGATAAGGCTGTTGTGCCTACTGATCCCTATTTTAATCAGCTTGTGCGTATTATGACCACGCGGTGTATGATGCAAGCTGTTTACTTTTGTTCTGGAACTGTTGCTCAGCCCGATTTCTGGCATTATGGTCTTTCCACTGATATTTATACGCATTTCACCTCGCCCATTCGTCGGTATGCAGATTTGGTTGTGCACCGCCTGCTTGCTGCATGCATTGGATATGATAAGACATATGCATCTGAGCTAACTGATAAATCCAAAGCCAAAGAAATGAGTGATGGTATGTTTATTTTATTGTAAATATTGGATGTCCGTTTGCTATATAGTTTTACTGTGAACACATGGCTGTTTTAGCATCATGGATTACAGATTATTCAATTTTTCCCAATATTTTGTACCAAAACTCGATAATATTTAGTTCTCAACTATCGTGGTCGTATGGCTCAGCAAGCATCACGATCTTCTGCAGAGCTTTATACCAACCTTTATTTCAAGAGTAAGAGTATTGTTGCAGATGCATATGTGATCCGCGTCATGAAAAATGGTTGGTCTGTGCTGATTCCGGCCTATGGCGTGGAGGGTCTTGTGTATGCCGAAACTAGTTCAGCTCCAGCCTCTGTAGAATTAGTAACAACCAAGAGTAACAAGAGAGCAAAGACCAAAGCAACTACAGCCAAAACACCATCTCCACCTTTGACTGCAAATCCTATTAAACTGTTTGATCGTGTACGTGTACGTGTATCAGTTGAGGAAGCTGGTGTAGCTCACGCACAACGCAGTAAGTTGGTATTGAGACTTGTATCAGAATCTGAAGCCATGGACACGACTGCTTAAATCAACAAATGAGTATCTCGTTTTAAAAACCAGCAATATTTTTGTAGTTTTAAATGAAACATTCATGAGCCAATTGAGTTGTATTGCATCTATAGCTGTTTACATGATTTTATTGTCTATCGAGTTGATTTAGATTCAAGCATATAATTAGGAAGAATATAGTTTGGGTATACCAACAAGGGTCATGAAAGATTGGATAGTTTAAAGATGGAATTGTGTTGATCTTGATTACACTTGCATTTATTTCACTTTAGAATAAACGGTTGAATGATTATTCATTGTGTTGGATAGAAATTGGTATTCTTTATTCCAAATCAATATTCATGACATGAAATTATGATTTGGAAGATTGTACAATTATCAAGTTTAAAACCAGACATTGAGGCTGACTGTATGAATATCTTAAACTTGCACATGTTTTAAATCTAGAACAATCTCCAAAACAGTAAAGGGTTTAAAGAACACACTATTCAGTAAACCAATCCAACATGACTGTTGATGAGACACCCTTTTTCAGTTGTATTTTGTATGAATACAGTCGAGTACAATTATTGGCCAATTATTGGTCAATTTGGGCAATTTGGCCAATAATTTCAATCAAGAATTTTGAGCCAAAAATTGCCAAAATGCATTTTTACCGCTTTCACTCAACCCTTGCAATCACAAACAGTAACAAGCTGTAGCAATGGCTGGACGACTCAATGACAATGAAGTGGCTCAGGAGATGAACAAGATGGTCAGTTGACTACTTTGACTTTCGAATGTGCAATATATTCTTGCTATAAAAGTGCTCGTTGAACTCTACTTTTTCAAATCATAGGTCAGCTTCGATGTCAATTCTTGGCTTTAGTCACTTGTTGGCATCAAGCTTTTGTCATTACTGTTTCATGCATTGCAATTTTTCTAGTATAAACGTCACATTAGAGCATTCAATATCCTGTTGATTGGATACAACTCATCATTCTATGCATTGCTGCGAAAAGGGTGGTCGCGCTTATGTGCTGATTGCTATTCACTAGTTCAAATGCTTCTACCAGTTGGATGGTTTGGAGCTCTAGATCACTGGGATTTGAGTGGTCAGTTTGTATCCATTTGTATGGCTTAATATGAACTCTAATGCTTTACGAGCTGTTTAGCGACTTTGTTCAGCTGAAAATAGTAATGTTACATGACGGCCACCCTTTGAGCACGAGCATCATTTTTGAAATCTTATTATCATCCCTTGCTGAGGACCACCCTTTACCTCAAAACAGCTGATATTCTACAGCTTGCTTTTTCGCATCTGATCCGAACCCTGCAATCCTGCTAATGGTTCATATAACTCCGAGTGTATTAATATAAATCATCGTCTATTGGACTGATTTCTATTGATTGCAAACTCTCGACTGTTTTTATTCATTTCATTCTTTTATCGTTGTGATCTACTAGGTTGCCTTTATCAAACAAGAGGCACTTGAAAAGGCTCGTGAAATCAAAGTCAAGGTAATTCAATCATTGATTTGATACGAAATACATATTGGTTATACCCACGTCATATAAAGATCAAGAATAACCGTACATTTATTTTAGGCCGATGAAGAGTTCAATATCGAAAAGGGAAAGTTTGTTCGTCAGGAAACTGTTGCCATTGAGGCATTCTTTCAAAAAAAGTTGAAGCAGGCCGAAGTTTCCAGGAAAATTGCTCAATCCAATCTCATCAACAAAAACCGTCTGCGTGTTCTTCAGGCACGCCAAACTGTTCTTAATGAAATGTTTAGCGAAGCCAAAAGTGCATTGAGCAAAATTTCCGAGGATAAGGCTACCTACCAAGAGCTAATTAAGAATTTGTTGTTGCAGGTGTGTTTTGATTCTAATTGCATGCATATTTGAAGCTGGTTTGAAAACTAAAAATGCAACACCAATATTTTCATTTGGTGTAGGGTATGTTTCAATTGATGGAAGCCAAGGTTACGGTGAATTGTCGTACTATAGATGTTTCGCTGGTCAAGAGTGCCATTGAGTCTGCCAAGACAGAATACACCAAACAACTCAAGATACCTGTTGAGATTACTATTGACGAGGCTAACCCACTTCCCGAATCCAGGTGAGTCTATCAATTGATGTGGATCTATGGATCAGACACTGTATGGTTAATTTTGATTTGAAATTCTTTTTAAATACTACTTTATCGATGGGTTCTAGTCACGGTGGTGTTACTCTTTCTGCTGTGGGAGGTCGTATCAAGTGCTCCAACACCCTCGAGAGCCGTTTGGAACTTTTGCAGGAGCAAATGCTTCCCGAGATTCGTGTTGTGCTTTTTGGACACTCTGCCAATCGTAGGTTCTTCAACTAAGTCATTTTCATTTTTTCAGAACCATCAGAGAAACCATGGTGCATTTGGGTTAAAATGGCATTCACTGCTAGTCAAAGGTGCTACCACTAGCGAAATTCTTGCTTTTTTATCATGGGCATTTTTCTTTTCACTATTTCCAAGACTAATTCTCAATGAAGCAGATTTGAGTAGATTTGTTTTGTCATTTTGCACTGATCATGCTGTTTTTGGTTTATGCCAGAGTTTAAAGGTGTACCATTTGATAGTAGATGATGTTGAACATCTTTTTTTATTTAAAGATAAGTCTGAGTTGAGTAATGGGTTGATACAAAGAGAAAGTAAGCAATCTTGTCAGAAATCATAATGAATAAATGGAAATATAGATCTTACACAGCATGCGTTGGTGCTCTTTGCAGTTTTGTAAAACATTCGGGATTGGTCAGAAAGTTGTTCAGAACGAGCGACAAGATCATCCAGCTTTTCTCCACGTTGCAACAACGAGTCCAGAGTTTTGTGCTAAATTCCGCAAAAGACGAATTAAACTATACGATTTGAATGCAATCTCATACCCACACCATTGCTAGTTACCATGACAATCTTTGTCTCGTCCAGTTCACGCTGAACTCGCATAAACGGATCAGCGCTTTGCGGATCCTGTGCCTTGACGAGATGATCACGCAGTTCAGGATAGACCTGGGGAGTCTTGTCTGGAGAAAGATTTGCACGTTTTGATGGTGGAAACTTTTGGTTAAACTCATCCAAGAGCCGAGCAAGGATAGAAAAGGCAACACGAGGTGGATACTCTGCGTCCGTCACGATGACAGAAATAAGACCTTCGTAGTTGGCATAAACGTGGCCAGTATAGTCTAATTAAATAGTATTAGTTTAATCAACGATGCCATTGAGGTCTGAGTCGTGGAGATTTGGCTTACTATCTTGTTGAACTGTCTGCCTGGTTCCAGGTGCAGTTCGCTCAGCAATAGTCTGCACAAAAAAGTTGATGGCTTCCTTGACACTAGATATTGAATAAAAAGATGAACAGAGATACAAGAGCCATAAAGTATCATGTGTTGTATAAAAATGGTAAGCATTGACATATGAAAGAGTCAGTCAAGTTTAACGACAATGTGGCATCACAATCGTCCAAGTTTTGGAATTGCACGCAACACCACGCCAGTGTTTGAAACAAGGACGAATGCCAATGTTTGAGATAAGGATGAATGCCAGCAACTGCAGTCTGTCATACTATTCTAACCCTTGCAGTCAACCACTGCAGTCCATTCGTGGCAATACGAAGCAATGGCAAGCATACGACGCACCTTCCACGCTGATAAAACGAAAATGACGACAAGTCCTGTTCCAGAACAAGCAGTTTCGGAGGGGATCCTTTTTGGCAGACTGTAAGCGATAATACTTTCATGTTGTTAATAAAAACAAAAGTTACAGCCAGCAAACTGAACGGCACCACGCGCACGTCCTCAGGCGTTGGCTCAACTGTTTCATGTTTTCAACATATTAAGATTTGGATTCCAAACCAAGTGCAATTTTATTCAAAATGTGGTATCAAAAAGGGTCAAAATTCTTGAATTGGAAATATCAATCAATTGGAAATATCAATCAATTGGAAATATCAATAGTTGGCTGGTAGATGGATCAATATTACCGCATTATATTATCATTTACTTGATGCTAATCTGCAATGAGTAGTTTCAGCAATCACTACGACCAAGATTCAACACAGATGAACGAGTAGTCAAACTTTATCTGAATCGCAACAATTGATTTCAAATGAGAAATAGTTTGCATTATATAATGAACGCTGTATTGATTGGAAAGACTGTCATTTTTCAACAAGTATAGCAAATATTGGTTATTTTAAAGAGTTGCATTTTACATAAATACGCTTGTATTTTTGATGAAAGCAAACTCGACTATTGCCGCTTTCAAGCACACTACACATCTACACACTAGATAGTCAGTATCCAGAAATGTTGCCTTTTCATCAACAGCAGATTAGACACTATCAGCAAGTTAAAAAACAGGATTCAAAGCCTTTGCTGTTTTCAGTACCAGAGCCATCTAATTTCCCACTGCCAAAACATGAAGGTTCAAGTAATCATGATGACTACAAGACTGGACGCAAGAACATAGAGGTAATTGTATCAACTAATGGCTGTCTGAATTTACAATCAAGTCATTTATTTCGGATGCCAGTGGTTGCTGATATTCAGTAAATTGTCAATTTTATTATCAATGGTTGGTTAGCATGTTGGATCAAGCAATAATAACCCAGCTACTCATCCTCAGCAACTGTTTCAGAAACAAATCAAACGGAGAATTCACAATGTACAGCCAAATCCTATTGCTGTTTTTTCAAAAGGCATAGACGACACGACACATAGCAGCACCGATTCTATGAGTGATGTTAGCACCGATTCCAGCAGCGAATCTAGTGATGATGAGGGCATAGATTTAGAGTCTGAGCCAATGACCAATGCAAATAATACTCACCAGTCTCTTGACCCAAAAAATATATCATTTGGACAAATTCAAAATGAATCTCATAAAGCCTCGCCTGTACTGGATCTTGCTTTGGAAGCTCCTCAGTTGGATGAAAGCGAAGCAATTGATGATATTTTGTCTTTTGATTCAGATGAAAGCTATCAGTCTGCCGCAAATGAATCATACTCTTCCAATGATTCCCTAGACATTTCTCGACTGCCACAACTACCACCCGACTTTGATTGTAAAGCTGTAAAAATCCCAGATGAGCATGTAATTCTATCCGACTATTTGCTTCTTGAAAAACCTACCATGAACGATTATGTTCGAAATTACTTGCATACTCGAGATGGATTTAAAAATCTTGTTGCGTTTCTTACCTTGCCTGGCACCACCGATCCACCAATGTTTTTAGAGAATGATGATGGAGACATCACCAAGGATGTTTTGTTGGAGCCGAGACACCAATCCACGGCTAATTGGACTCGCGATGAAGCACAAAGAGGATGGGCAGTAGCTAATATCCTTGCAGATTCATCCCTCTTGACAAACTCGAGTGATGCCAAGGGTGACAAGGCTTGCATCAGTGAGTGTAGGCGCCTTTTAAGCATCTTGGTTTAAATTTCCAGAATATACTTGAATCATTCAACTGACATGATGTTTAATTATTACTATTTATCGTGTATTGCAATACAATTTCATAGTACGTGCACTGGTAAGAATTTGTGAACCACAGGCGCGCGGAAATTTCAAGTAAGTTGATTTATAATTGTGCATAGTCTATTTGGCATGCTCATGGTACAGTCGTTGGTAGCCATTTGCAAACTTGTTTTTAACATTTTAATTTTTACATGTAGGCATTTAAGGTTGGCTAAACTCTTTATGACTGGATGTGTTTAATTTTTGAAGTAATCTAGTGTTGCATTTCATAAAATGTAACCCTAGTTTATTTGATTTCTGTAAAACAGCAAGGCTTTTTTAGGATTTGGACGAGAACAAAGTGACATTTTGGCAATCGCAACGTTGAAAGTAGCCCATCAACGGCCACTACTACTTCAACTTTTACGGTAGGTAATGCATGTTGGTTTTATTTATAGATTTAATTGTACATGCACTATGTCTCAAGCGTGTTTGATTAACGTTGATTGTATTTTTTCCCATCAAACTATTTATTGATTAGATGTGTAGTACAACCTGAAGTGACTGATTGTTTGATGCTACTTATGCGCTGGGGTCCTCCAGAAAAGCCAACGATGCGAAAACAACTATTTGAGCACCTTTTTCATATCCAGCTGGCAGACTCTATATTGGATCTTGTATGCTTTAAAGGTGGTTTGAAAGTATTCATTTTTCATTATTTTTTGTTTGTCGGCACATATTCACTCAAGTTTATATTTTTAACGATACATTGGAAACAGAACAACCACAGATTGCTATTGCCGCATCAGAGCTATTTGTGCGTCTCTATCGCCAATGTTTAAACATTGAGCATTCAAACAGAATGTACATGACAATTGGTGGTGAGGGAAAGCGGATATCACGACTTCTTGACAATATTGTCGAGCTTCTCCATTTAAACTTATCTGACAAAGCATCGTTTGAAAGTAATGACCTTTTGCCAAACCACTGTCATTCCAAAATGCTTTCGGCATGGCTGGACGTAATCGACTGCATAGTTGTTCCGCGGAAGCAAAGCATTGTACAAACCAAGATCATTGGTGCCATATTGGATGTACCAGTTTCACCAGAGCCACGGAACAGTGTGATCAAAACTGTTCGAAAAAGATTTCCTCGATTGTGCTCCGATATGATTTTAACAAGGTAAATATTTATTCACAAGTACTGGTATAGTAAAACTGGGCAAATAGAGTCGAGTAAACTACACATTTCTGGTAGATTGAATTCTAACTTTTGTATAAATCTAGTGCTATGCCCGTTGTTTCTACACTGTTAAAATTGCTAGATATCATTCAGGGTGTTGTTACAAACTACAAGGATTCAGAGGACCTGGATCAGATTTGCAAATACATTCCGTGGAAAAAACTGACTGATTGGTTTTTTGGTCGATTCAAGTAAGCCTATATTTATGGTGTGAATCCATTCTTTCAGTATTGACAATGGTTTAAATTTCACGTCTTTAATGGTTTAGGGAAAACAATATATATCATACATGTTACTATAAGCTGGTGTATCATATCATTCACCAACATCATAGCCCAAGTTTAGACACGCTGTTTTATAATGATTCTATTCTTTTTTTAAATAGACTGCTGGCTAATTATAATACTTTATCAGGTATGATACTGTGTTTTTATTATAAAGTGCTAATTTTGTGAGAAAATGTCGACTTTGAGTTACTTGATTGGCACTTTTAATATCGTATCATCTTTGCTTGCATGGCATAATTAGATATACAACTGTTTATTGCGAATGATGTTGATGAAAAAATAATCATACTAAACCAAGTTTTTAAATGCTCAAAATATGTTGTCAGCCAATCGCGGCTATATACGAGTGATTCTCAATATTATTCGACTGCACATTCAAAAATATCCTTTACTTCAACCTCAAGCAAGTGCGTCAACAAATTTTATTGGCTTAACATCTTTAAGTCATCCGACTGAAAGAAATGTTTACAATATTGAGGACACGTTTGGTCTTGTTTCTTTCAACAATACCTCTGGGTATTTTGCAGTTCTTACGAAATCGCATCAAGATTGGAATGAAATATTACCAAAACTTGTGTTTGACACCTTATCAAGTATTCGACGATTAGGCAAACCATCTGCTTCTGTGTTGCTACCTCAGCCACTAGCAAATCCAATATCAACTGCTCCTGGAATGTGGTCCAGCACACCTAATTCTCCTGAGCAGACACCTATGCATATTGATACTATCACGTCCATGCGAAATGATCATTCGAATAATTTGGAGCTTACTCTGCCAATGTTGACACCTAGTTCAAAGACGTTTCTTGGAGGATCACATTGGGCAATGAAAACAGCCATGCTATTGAATGGTCCATCCATGCCAGCATCGGGATCAAGTACAGATTCATCATTTTTGAGATTCTCGACACCCATCCAAAAAACAGATTGCCCCTTGCTTAAAAACGGTAAGACTCATATCGAATCTGATCAAAGTATCAACACGCTCTACTTTGTGACATAGATTTGAATCACTATTCAATCCATCTAGAAACCCAACTAACAACTATTTTATATTTTGATGACAATAACTTCTTCTCATGTATTGGATCACTTAGGACGTCAATCCACAGATGCTTTTCAACCTAATTTGGTGGAACCTAGTTCTCACGACCAACCCTCGAGGAATACTGATGATGATACGGACAGCGACTGTACAATCAGTGGAAGTACTGATAGTATGGAATTAGAGTTTGATTACGACTGTGGAGGTGTTGAACTTGGCTCCCCATGTAAGACATTTGACTTGTATGCATTGCAAATTATTTGAAACCGTGAGACACATGTTATGGCTTAAATGTGTGATGAGCCAGATCTTGATTTAAAATACAATGCATTGATGTTGCATTCAGCCAGTGGGTTTATTCGACTATGTCTGTGTTCTAATTTTGATATGGTTGTTGGTTTCCACATCATTTAGATGCAAGATCACTTGGGTTTTGACCTCAATTATCATGCACGTTTAGCCAAGGTTTAAAAAGTATAACGCCATCATGAACCAGTATGTTATTTTTGACAGCCAGAGCATACTATATTACTCTTGATCAGAAACATTTCAGTCTTGTTAGATACAGAAACTTATACAATAAACATGCCTTTCTTGCCAAGTCTTTTAAACACTATAATCCGATTGTTGATAGGATATTTATTGATTGTTTCCCGGTTTAGCCCATATGAATAATGGGTATTATTATAGGTAAAAATCAAAAAGTTTAGTTTAAATGGTATGACCTGAAAAGCTAAGATACTAGTCATTGAGTAAATGCATATCGCATCCATGAACTGAAACAGCTACTTCTGGTCGCTACGTGTATGAATTCTTACACCCTGTCTAATAAAGTGTTTGCAAAGCAAAGTAGTCTCTGCATTAAAACAAAGAGATGTAAAGAGGTAGTATTGAAAGAAACTAGATAAATATGGTGTTTGATATCCTATGCAAAACAAAGAATATATAGCTAATAAACTTACCTGACATTCCTGGAAATGCCTTTGGAGTAAAGACTTGGAATTCGTTACTAAATATCTCATATACAGGTCGCATTCTTGGTGTTGCTCTACATTGTAATCAGTTCATGGTAAATGTACAAGAGTGAGACTTGGTTGTTTAGTCAAATGAGAAAGTACTATGACCGACAAAGATAGCAAAGAGATTATGGCAATGAAGCACTTTTGAAACAATTGAGTGTGTACTGGCATAGTTGTAGCACCATCAAGCTGCACATCAATGGAGAAATACAATCAACCATCATAAAGTAGGTATACCTTCTTAAATCATATAGCGAGATTTGTAACCGAAAAAATCCCGAGGTTCTTATACTCAAATCTGTAAATACAAAGTAAAGGCCACGCTCGCCAGCGATATTTGTCAAAAGCTGGCATGCTACAACAATAGAACCAAGAAGGATCTGACTATTTCTAGATTTTGGTGGGAGGTCTGGAGCTGGTGCGGTACCGGCTACCAAGTCACTAACTGGCGCAGAGGCTGCAGTACACAGCTCTGTATGCATATCTCTAAATGAGTGCAAAATGTGTTAGTGTTACCACTTGGTCGGATTGTCCAGCATACACAACACTTTGAACACATAAAAATAAAATCTATAGATATCCAACAATGATGGCCGATACAGCAGCCATCAGTTTATAATATACATAGAGCTGATGCAATCAAACTAGTAGACGCTAGTAAGCCAATATACTTACGGTTTCCATAACGATGCTTGTGCAACCAAAAATGGTGAATCTTCAAAACTAATGATGGGTAATAGTGCATAGATTGAGGTATAATTCAAGCATTATAAAATGATGTAAGCCAAAGAACCATTAAAGCAGTTTACAAGAAAGAGTTGCTAGAGCAAGTTCAAAAAGCCATCAATATATAAACTCGGTTGAAAAACAAGCATCGGTACCTTTGTAAATCCGAGATATCATCTGGTACTACTACTTGTACTCTGGAAATATAGTATTTGATAGTACGAAGAAATTGGATTCGCATTTTCAATTAATAAACATCAAGTATTAGAGCAATTATGTAATCAGGGTTAGTTTAGTAAAGCTGAGCATACAAATGCATTGGCTCTACGACAGTTCACTCATTTCTTACATGGGTGTTGGGTCCAACGGTCGTCTATTGTTTTATTATGATTGCACAATTATGGTATGAACGGATATTGAGTTTGCATGAAATAGACTTAGTAACTATAAAACCCATTGCTACGGTTTTAGGCAGGCGTGCACAAGTATGAACATTTCGCCATAAGCTGCACATGTGATCCAAGCGTGGGGAAATTTCAGACAAGTCTGAACCTACCGGTCTCTGATGCTATAGCCGCTCATTCTTGCCTGTAACGGATGCTGAACAATACAAAGAGTATAGGAAGTTCTGTATAATACAGTATTAGCTTACATGCAAATGACAAGCAGAGTTATTCCAGTGCGTAGGAAACGTGGTATTTGATGACGGCATACAGAATCCATCCGTCTTTTACTGCCATATTCATGTAAAATGAAACACTAGACAAGGATGCCAAAGTACACAATAAACAGCCAATACCATGGGATGATTGAGCAGTTTCTGCTAAATTTACTGGACAGCATTGTGCCGTACAAACTCCTTGATGAAACTTGCTAGTATTTGCTCATTTTTGTATAAAAAAGTTGAGCAAATGCTCACATCACAGCTTTGGTCAATCCCATATCCGACACTTGTTCAATTTAAACTCTTTTTTGATCCAAATCAAACATTGTGGCCAGCATGGAAACAACTATTGCATTCCTGAGACGTGCAGCCTTTGGTTTCTTGGACTAGAGCGCGAATGTATCTGACATTAGGATACAAAAGGAGTTTGTACAGTTGTATTGACAACATCAAAAATAGAACCAAACACCCGGATTGCAATAAACGAATCCGGTTTTAAATTTGGTGATCGTACAATGCATGACCGTATCAAAAAAGGAGAAAAAGACGATTCAAAACCATGGTCGATTATGTGCATGATACAATGGATGCTGTGTTTAGAAAGAGATGATCATGTCTATTAAAGAGGCAGTGTAGTCAATTTATAATAGGAAAGCGTAGCGAATATTTAACCATTGTCTATTTTCAAGGCAAAAGGCAGTAACTATGATAAATACAAAAAATGTCCCATTCTACATAAACACGGCTGTGATTAAACATAATAAACAAGCCAACATCAAGGCTTGTGACCAATAGCTGTTTTCTACTAGACAGCCTTGGAGTCTTCAACTGTGGTGTGCGGACATTGCAGTTGAAGACTTCAAGACTATGTTTCGATTGCGGAATAATAACAAATTGACTAGAAGAAAAGCAGCCAATATCTGCAATTGATAACTCATTACATATAAAACCTCACTGATAGAGGATACCGGCTTGGTGAGCATTAGCCAGATTAGTGACAATCCTATTATTACTCGCCTACTGACCAGCCATTTTCTCAGCTGTTCCCGCTGGAACTTTCGCACAATTCATAGTTTTTCTCATTCCAAAACTTACGTAGTAGGGCTTGTAAATGAAGCCAAAAAGTCGGGCGGCATCCGTCTGTGTGCCTGTGTGTCAATACTTTCCGGTACTTGAGCAGTTTGGGTTGCTTGTTGAGCAGGTTCTATTCACATGCCAGGGTACCATAGCCAACAAAGTAGGGATCCAGTTAGTACAGCAGAATCCAATCCTAGTATGGTCAGAGCCAACATACAAGTCACCTGTAAATTGTGAAGATATTCTTTCATCCTTATTGTATATTACTGGCTGCTCTGAAGCGGTTAAGCTAGACATGTCATGAGCATGTGATGGTGAATCCATCGAATTAACCAAGGTAGTAATTGGCTGTATTATAGGTGGTAGTTGTGTGTGCAGCAGTGGTTGAGCAGATAGAGTTACTGGTTCATTCGGCCGTACTCTTAAAGCCCGATCTATTTGGATAATGGATTAGTTCGGCCAATAGTTGATTTTTGATAAAGTTGGAGGGCAGAAACTTGGTTACGCATATACCGTAACTCGACACTTTCACCACACATTGCTAATCAATTGTTCAACCAGAAAAAGCACACATGATATTGATAACGATACTTGTATGAATTGAATCCATCCACACTACAAGTACCTTGCTAAAGACAAATGACTAACAAAGAAAGGGGTATCAAACAAGATGGTCTGGTGGGATAGCAAAACAAGCAAAAGCGACAATAAGGTGGTGCACTTGTTCTGCTGTATTTGCTTTTGCAAAGCATTGAATAGATCATACACTATACAAAGCATTCTTGCTACCAAGCATAGCCCCACATTCTAGCAATTCAATTGGCTGGCAAAAATATCAAAAGTGAAGAAACCAAAACAGGTATCCCCACCTCAACCGATCCAAATGCATACTCCAAGCAAAACTCGTACGCTCAAAATATTGCATACTATAGTCAGTAAAAAACCAAAACACTTGCCTTGTATAGTATGCTGGGGTTCGGAAAATAGCTGCTTTGAATGGCCAGAGTCCTTGACAAAACTACCCTCCAAAACCGGCCAATCTTCAGCCGCTGCATTATGGTTAGTTGCCGGTGGTGCTGAAGTGGATTGTGGTGTGTTTGTGTTCAGCTTTATTTTCTCATACTCATGAGACATGGTTGATAAAAAAACGAGAATTGTTTTGAAAAGTGATCAAAGCCGTTGAGCAATGGATTGTCGCTTGATTCAAGGGAGTCTTGGTATGTATAGATTTGTCAAATCACAGGTTTGCTTGGTGTGCGGGAAATTAGACTCTGGTAGTAATTCAATGTATATGGGGATCTATTTTCGATAGTTTGGCGGCGGGGCAGTGTGAAAAGCAAGACGAGACAAGAAGGGTTAACCGCTGTTAGATAAACACAAACGTAGCTGTATGCATATAGCTATATGTCCTGCATATATAGAATTGTTGAGCTATCATCTATAAGCTGGATCATTTTACTACTCTTACAAATGGTAGATATGAAGCAAGAGTGGGCAGTGATGCCAGGGTTTTGAATAGGTGCACTGTAGATTATGTAGAAAGTGTGATGGCAACAATGGGCAGTTAAATGGCAGCATTTGCTAGAATGGTGCTATATAACATGGAGAATATTGAATAATAGAGTTCCGAGCGTGTTCAAATCAATGGTCAAATAATGCATGAGCAAGAGGATGAGGATAAATAGATGGCCATTTCAACATGAATAAAACAGTATTTGTAGCTATAAAAAGATTATGGCTTGCCCATTAGCCTTGCACAAATCCAGGACTCCCTGGAATGTGATGATAAATATTGGGCTTTGCTTGATTCCAAAACGGGATGAGTATTGATAGCAACTCTCATCGCAGACATTCAAAGTCGATTATGAAAGATACTAAGAAAGTAGTGGAACAATTATAAAAGTACATGACCGGGTAATTGGTGTTGACTTGAATGAACCTATTTACCTCTAGAACAAAATCGCTTGGACGATATGGATTTCCGCCGAACGCCAAATATTGATGACTGCTTTATATACTTATTCCGTGGTTCGAATTGGCGTTGAAAAAAATGAAGTCACGACCATAATGCGAAAAGGAGGTTTATTCAACAAAAAGCAGAAACAACTAAAATTAAGGGACTCTAGTGATGGATCGAAAAAGAATATGGCCATCGCTGTTGATATAGTAAAAGCTAGATGCCATGGCTTCGATGAAATCATGAAAAACGACTATCCAATTATTTAAAAAGCCTGGCCAAAGCAATCAAGTATTGAGTGAATAATACAACAATCGAAAACAACCGAAAACAACAGAAATAAAGTAATGGGCCATGTACAATTGACATGGCTTATTTAGGTATGATTATGTCACGCACAATCTCTAGACTGTTAGATATTTGCTGCAGTCGTTCCGAGATAAACATGCTTAAGCTAGATAGTATACGTAAGGTTGCAAGCCAACATGGGTCATTTTACAGATGGATGCAAAATGCCAGCATACTAACATACTAAATGATATACATGATACTAGCAATATTAGTGATACTAGATTAGATTAGATTAAAACTAGAGCCAGGGCTAACCCACAAAATACCAGTAGCAACGGTAACACATCTAAAACATGAGTCATCAATTCAGATGGCCGAGTTCTAAATAGTATTTTACCGATAGTTGGCATCGTTTTTGTTGGATAAACATGGACACCTTTTAAAGAAATATAGACAAGTTTTTAGTGATACTACTGTTTGACTGATTGCTGATAGGCTCATACTTTAAAGCTATATCTCAAACAAGATTCAGTTGTATAAACAATAGCTGAGCGTTTATATAGTTTATAGCAGCATAACGAATCGATGTTGCTAACGTCGAAACCCATATAGTATGCTTTTACATTTGATATTGGCACTTACATTTGAGATTCCCACAGGATGTTCGAATTCTCGAAAGCTTATAATCAATTGTGCTTTTCAAGGTCTATCTTTTCAACTCAATCGACATGTAATAATTGATTAAAATAACAATACATGAGAATCATGCATGTAGTGTTGCTTAGGAGTCTCTAGTTTTCAGAAAGCTTATTGCTGAATCCATGGCAAAATTTATAGATTGCATCAGGTTGTGGCATGATTGAATTTTGAGATGCAGCACAACATTCGTAACCAATGCCTATCGAATAGCTTGACAGCTTGAAGCTATTGAATACAGATTGATAGCTTTGGCTAGATATTAAAGTACATGTCAAGTATAGTTTCTAGTAGTAAATTCAGGTTTTATTCAAGCTTTGTGCTGCAGATTCAATTCAAGTATTTTGAAATACTTTAGTAGATGACGACTTTTCTGCTATTAGTTTGAAGCCTATGCAAGTCTACTAATATACAACAAACCTCAATATCAATAGATGCTAGAGTCGACAAGATTTAGGGACCATTAATCGCTGGACATTAATGGAAATACAACGAGAGCTGACTTGATATTATACGAAATAGTATTCGTATAAAAGGTTCGAGATGACCATAATAAATACAGACTGCATGGATCTTTGCAAGCTATAGACAACAAATAGAAAAGCCGTGAAATCTAGTCTTTAAACCCATATTCTTGAGACTGTACTAGACCCTTTCAAAGAGTATTATTAGCAAGTGTTTTTCACTTGCAAACTGCTTGAGACGGAATTTAGAATTACTTATCATACCATGACTAGTACCAAAACGATAAAACTGTAGAAATTCAATATAGCTTTTAGCGGCTTGATCGTCGTATAAATCAAGTCTTTGAGTAAATAAGGCAGTGCAGTATTGAACTAGAAAATGAACTTGTTCATATTGGTAGTTTAGCAAAAAGAAGCCTAACAAGCACAATGAGTTATTTTTGACTGACAATGTTGTTTATTGGACCAGCTATAAAACTAGTTTAATAAACAAAACAAAAACTGAATCAAATGAATTTCTAAGCAGCACAAAACGGCATTGCTAGGAGCACAACATAGCATACCAGAGATGAATATTACATCTCCATGAGGCTTAGAAATAAGCAGACAGGTGAGCAGTTGTTTGAGAATTAAAAGGGTATGTCAATATGTCAGTAGCAAAATGCAAGGGGAAAGCGGGTCGAATGATTTGTAGACGCGTCAACTGCCCTGAACAAACCTTGCATTTTGGCCCAACCAGTCTGGATCATTTGGAACACGAGTTCCTTGTAAACCCCAAACATCACATGGCTCTAATTCAATAGATTACATGTCTCGGCTGGCATTCATCAACCACTCCATCCTACTTTCTGTAGGTGAATAGGCAGCTAGAAGGTGCTCACCACAAGTATACTAGAAGCCAGAAGTGTAAGCTGTCATTTGTTTATTCCCATAACACCAAGATATTTTTTTAAATATCAGTATACAGTCTGCCTCGTTGAAATCTGGACAAGCTATTACAAGTGTTGCTGCTCAATTAACTTGGCTCAACAACAGGTATATTCAAATATAACTCGGTCTGAGTGATGTACTGTATATTTGCGGTTGTTATTCATGTAAAATATATCACTAAACAGGGATGCCGAAATGCATATAAACAGTCATAACATGATTAATGTCAGTTTTGTGCCAATCTTACTGAACAACATTGCGTTTTCGGAACTTCTTAAAGTTGATTAGCCTTTCTTTTGGTGACCGATATGAAAACAACTGATGTATTTTGAGATGTTTAATCCTTATTTTCTTAAACTAGAGTTCAAACGTATCCAAGTATTTAGGATATAACAGAAATGGGTGCGTAGAGTTGTATTGACAACATCAAAACAGCCAAACCCAGTATCTGAGTTGTAATACATGAATCTGGTTTCAATCTTGTTAATCGTACAATGTATGGTTATACCAAGAGCATAATTTCGACTCGAAAAGGTAATTTCAGTTAAAACCCATAGGCTGATTATGTGTATCATATGATGGACGTTGTATCTGAAGAATTGATAATGTCTGTCGAGTATGCAGTTAATTCCTAGTAGAAATGCAATGAATATTTAATCATTGTATATTCTAAAGAAAAATAATCACTGCAAGATAGATACAAGTATTTTATTTTACATGGATACGGCTGTAAATAGAGCTAGTCCGACTAACCCCAAAAACAAACACTAGTGCCTTGAATGACAACTGTTTGAATATAGTCTAATCTTTTGAAATATCTAGTTTGAATCTGTATACGTATTTATAGAAACGTTGCATTAATCGTAGATGCCACAATAGTATGCATCTGAATCATTGACACAAAAGTATATCGCTTACCAAAAATCCTTTAGAGTTTATGTAAGATTTTAAAGTATTTTTGACTAGTCTATTTTTAACTTTATAAAACTCGACCTGATTATGCTTCATGTAGTTTCTGTACTGAATGTCAAGCATGCTAAATTTCTAAAATCTGTGATGCAGATTATGGATTTGAAATAGACTAGCACGCTATTGTAATCTCAGTTTAAAGCAAGTATAGTGCAATTCAGAGTATAAGCACAGTATCTGCTGAAAACCCATGTCTTGGCTTTTTTACTGTAAGAGTTGATTGTGTCCTTGCTTATATTGTTTAAATACAACAAAAACGATGCCAACTATCGGTAAAATACTATTTAGAACTCGGCCATCTGAATTGATGACTCATGTTTTAGATGTGTTACCGTTGCTACTGGTATTTTATGGGTTAGCCCTGGCTCTAGTTTTAATCTAATCTAATCTAGTATCACTAATATTGCTAGTATCATGTATATCATTTAGTATGTTAGTATGTTGGCATTTTGCATCCATCTGTAAAATGACCCATGTTGGCTTGCAACCTTACGTATACTATCTAGCTTAAACATGTTTATCTCGGAACGACTGCAGCAAATATCTAACAGTCTAGAGATTGTGCGTGACATAATCATACCTAAATAAGCCATGTCAATTGTACATGGCCCATTACTTTATTTCTGTTGTTTTCGGTTGTTTTCGATTGTTGTATTATTCACTCAATACTTGATTGCTTTGGCCATTTACAGATTGCAAAATTTGATTAAGCGATCTAGACTCCAAACTCGATGGTGATTGCACCATGCAAATCAGAAACAACACTTGCTTTATCCCCTTCTCGAGATCCCGCGCCGGCAGCAATATAAATTGGAATAAAATGCTCCACACGAGGATGTGCCTTTCGGTAAAAGGGGTGAGTTGTGACTTTGAGTAACTTTTCATTGCGCTCAAAAGCCTAATGAATCAAGCCACATTGCAATTTTGAGTGTCATCAAATTAAAACATAAATGACTATACCAACATTGAACTTACACTGACAGCATGTGTCACACCAGATTTGATTTGATTCTCAAAATCAAGGTAGCCTGGAGAGGCTGTAAGCGGGTTCCATGCATCACCATCTTGAAATGTATGGATGGTCAAACCACCAGAAATAATCAAAACATTCTCATCCCTATTCAACAAAGTGAATCAGCAGCTCAGTTTTTGAAAACGTGGTCCAGTCAAGTCTTACCGTAAGGGAGCCAGTGCCTTGCCAATATCCAGATGTTTCTCTGGATCCAAGCTGGCATCGATTGAAACTTCAATAATTGGGATATTGAAATCGTTGGGAAACATGAGTAAAAAAGGTACAAAGACACCATGGTCAAGACCTCGTCCATTGTGTAGTTTTTCAGCCTTGATGCCATTCTGGTTTCAAGCGAGTCAATAGCGACCATGTTAGATTAGCGGATAAATTATTGCAATAAACTTTTGAATCTCAATACAGTAATATACTTTGGTAAGCAGCTCCACTACTCTGGAAGATATCTTGGAAGACCCTTTTGATTTGAAATGCAAATTATACAATTGCTCAGGAAAATTGTAGTAATCGTACAGAAGCTCATTCTCTTCATTATCCATGACCTGGATAGCATCCTTGGTTTCCCAATGAGCAGAAAACACAACGATTGCTTTGGGTTGGTACTTTTCAAGAATATGAGGGCCATAAGTTTCAAGAAACTTGCGATGAGGACCCAACGGACCACCAACTTCACCGGGAGCTGGAGGTCTTCTAGGTATTTCCTTTGGCCAGATAAGGCCTGGAGAGCCATGCGCAAGAAAGATTGCAGGAAGAGTAGTGGATGGAGCCGACATTCGCTTTTTTAAATAGCTGTGCTAAAGACTGGATGACAATCATCAATAATTGCAAATCATTATATAACATTGGCATCATAAACCTATATCTGTCAAAACATACGTTCTTGACAGCTTTCTGGTAGAAATGTTCCAATTAGTTGCCAATTCTGACAACTCTAAGAAGGGAAAAATATATATTGACCTTGAAATATGTTTTTTATTGCCACCAAAACTTGTTAGACTTGAACCCAAATACCCTGCAAAGCGATTCGCATAAGCGAGCATAGGCCACATCATGGGAAAGTCATTCATTTCATCAAGCGACTGAAGATGCAAGTTAAAACCTAGATTGCCCACATATCGTTGGGAACAGGCTGGCCACACAATGCTTGTGGTCAAGTACTTGAATCACCACTGCTGGCGACAATTTCTCATTTATCTCCATTCTCGCCCTTTTTCGCTAGCCGTAATGAAATGGTGCCTGAAATAAATTGTCTTGAATTATGCATTGCTTTTGACTGACCCTTTATGTTGATCATCAAATTTACTCAATGCTTTCTGGTGCTGGGTTCAGCCATAGATCTCATCAAAGGGTTTTATACAAGTCTCACTGCTGGCTTGAATTTAGTCTCATGACAGATACAAATAAGGAAATATCAAAGCAGGCTTGCATACCCTTGTCATTTATTGAAAATGTAACAAAATCAAGCAATGAGTCCAAACAAACGCAGGCGGCTGATGCCACCGTCAGGATACATTACAACCCGAATATGTGTGCATGTCCTTGACTTGTCTTGTTGCTTCTCGAGATACTCGGGAGTGTCGAAAAAGTGTTCCTTATGCGCGCTCAATGGTGATCGTGGTAAAACTTGGAACCAATCAAGCTTTTGAGAAGCATCAGACAGTATTGTCACGGCATCTCCATCACACTGCGAGAGATCCACACCCTACCAATCAACAAACGTTAACATAAACAGTAAATTGTTGATTCAATGATGAATGAGATACTTGACAACATACTTGAATCTCGCAACTTTCGGGATAGTTCCCTTTGTAATGGTTGGTATCTACAACCACTGTTTGGATTACACCACGTGTACCAAGAGAAATAATCGCCCATTCAGACCCAGGCATCACAAGCATCCCGTCTGACCCCATTACGTATTCTCTTGGTCGCTGAGGGTTACGTGAGGTTTCCCACCCGTCAAACATGCCAAGCGAGCGAGATACGGCTAGTAGCTGTAGTGGCGAGCCGTAGTGAGCATTACTCCATATCAATGCCTTTCCTCTAAAGTAGACATGCGCAAGCAAGTTTAAAAGATAGATATATCAGCCAATTATCAAAAAATGCAAACAAATAGTCAGATCAGTAATGTCCAGCCACTAAACCAATCGTGGATGCACCAAACCAATAATACTTTACCCATTTGCAAGAGATCCAAGATCAATTTGGGATTTTGAAGACAAAGAATGCTTTACAGAAAGAGTAGCCCAATCAGGAACTACAGATCCATACACTCTAAGGCGAGCTAGTCCTCCATCAGGATGGATATTCACGCGTAAATGTGTCCATCTTTCAGCATGTTTGGCATCCTTGGAACCATCAGTAGCTGGAAGAGGAATGATATTGTGTCGTGTATCAGGATATCCTGAACCAAGTGGAGTGATGGGAAGAATTGTTGTCCATTCATGGGATTTAAGAGCAAGGGCAGCCTTAGTCTCGTCATCAGTGGCCTTGGATCCCATTTCGGATCGTCGGGGAGAAAGCACAACTAGTCATGATTTCCCAAGCAATAAATTGGTTGAACATCAATGCCCAGCATCACATATCTTTATAACCATGAACACACTGCCGATTTACAGATGATCTCATGATGGCATCAAAACCAAGATCTCACCTTGATGATCAGTTAAATTGGCAGCCTGGAGAGAAATGGCAGGAACGTTGTTTCCTGTAAAAAATGCCGTATCCGCATCAATTGCAACAATCTGACCAGGGAGTCCAAGTTTGATAATGCACCAATCGTATCCGAGAGTGCGTTTGCGTCGAGTTTCCCATCCTATAATAACTGTAAAGTTTAGATAATGCCGTCAACATGGAAACAACCCATGTCATCAATATGATGTAATTATACTTTCCATCCATCCATTTGCCTATACAACAGGTTTAAATATATGCATGCGTGAGTTGGGTCGTTCTATCATAAACTTTGTTGGATCCAATATTTGAGCCATAGACTTACCAAACTGGGTGTATTTGGATTCGTCCCAAATAGGATCAGTCTTGGTAATCATGTTTTCAGCAACAGCAAAAAAGTCATCAGTTGCAAAGAGGATCTTGCCGCCATTGGTGTCTGCAACTAGGTCTGGATAAGACTTGTAGGTATCCTGAGTTGGCTGAGAAGCGGTAGTAGTAAGTGGCATTGCTGAAAGTCGAACCAATGAAATACTACCAAGTTTGCAATAATAAAGTTGAATTCCTATATATACTCACAGCCGTATCCACGCAAAATGAAGCATTAAATAAAAGTGCCGAAATATATGATAAACAGCCAATCTCATGAAATGATGGATGCCAGTTTACTAGACAGCATTATGTTCTGTGACAAAGTTGAATGGGGTTTTCTGGTGATTGGCATGTATAGTTGCATTCCTAAGTAATTCATTGTATTGAGCTGTAGCAAATACTGGTTGAGGGACTGGTCGATTATCACTGTATCGCTGGTACTTTTGCTCCTCTGCGAATGTTCGTAAGAGCCTCTGTACATCTTCAAATTCATTCACTCGAGTTTCTGTTGATTGTCTCCTATTAGTAGTTCTTGGTGCTTGGTATGAATCATTGGAATCATGGAATCCATTCTCCGTCTTCTATTTGGGACAAGTTCATTTTGTTGTTCATCATCTTCTTGTTGATTGTTTTCAATTGGTATGGTCATATCCAAATCATTTGTATCGGGATGAGGCAAGTCAGGTCCAGATGACGAAGGAACAGCTTGAGTAATTGGAGGACTACGTTCTTGTAAACTGGATAGATTAAATCCAGACCAAGGAAAGTACAGGTTGTTTGATGATTGTTAATAGCAGGAATGGTCAACAATTGTTTTTTTGCTGTGGTCGAAAGGGAATTGTACTGAAGCATAAATTGTTCTGCTGTCATCACATCTAATTCTCTACACCAATTTATTAGTTTAGCAGCAGGTCGTCATTTCATAGTCGTAGTCGGACTCCATTTTTATCAAGAAGTTAGTCGTGGATATACCAAGACAATGAAATTCATATTTCAAATGTGAATATGATAAGAGTCTCCCATTAAGCATCAAGCATGAATCTGGAACAGAGACTCCTAATATAACTAACAAATTTCCCATTATTCTGTTTTAAGCTTTCTGACCCAGATTGTGGCGGTGTTTTCACAGAATGAGGTTTCATATTTCTTTCCTAAAATAAAATGGACTTTTCACAAACAAAACTGTTGCTCCAGCAATATTACAACATTAACAGTGAATACATTCCACAGCAAAGGGAGAAATCGAAATGGAAACCTGAAAACAACTTTGGTTTCTTGCTGGGAGTAATTGCTTTTGGAATGGCTACTCACAGAACTCAACTCCACAGCTTACTGGTTTCTAGGCAATTTAAAGACCAAGAGAACGCTTTTATCGACTCAATGTTTGACTATTATATTCGGCCTTTTCACAAGAGCTACATTACTGATTCAGAAATCTGCCACACTCCCTTCGCAGTTTCTTCAGGGACTCCATCAAGAACTAATTCTGCAGAAGATTTAGGTGGTGTGCCAGAAGAAAAGGAGTTGCTCCACAAGGATTTGAAAAAGGCTGTGGTCAAGAGGGATGTTGTTTGCTTGTTTTGTTGGGATACATTGGAATGCGAAGGCGCTCATATTATTGCTCAAAAAAATGTCCCAATGGCTTATGACGAAGATTCCCTATTCATACGAGCTGGAATAACACAAAAACACCAAGTGCAAAATGGGTTGCTGTTGTGTAACAAGTGTCACGGTCAATTTGACAAATTGAAGCGATATGTGGACGTTGCTGATGATAAGCTTGTGGTCAAGGTGGTCAACGAGACGAATGATACAACAAGCAACAAGCACAAAGAATGGAAGGACACTGTTCGGGTATTGAAGGGTAATCGTATGCTGTGGCAGGAGAACTGGACTGATATTGATGACCGACAATCAATGGAATCCAATGGAGAAATGGCGTTGTATTTCGTCCAAAACAACCCAACCAAATTACCAAACAGAAACGCTTTGGAATTCCACAAGACAGCCTGTATGATTTGGCGAATGGCTGGCGGTGCCGAAACAGATGATGAATACTGTTCGGATGATGATGATTTGGTTCCAGTAGACACTGCTGCGTTGAAAAGACGGTTTAAACTCCAAGATTCAGACGAAACTCTAAATATCGTTTCTTGACTTTTAATAAATGTAATGCTGTTTATATTGTATAATTTTAGTAAATACGATGCCATCGCTATTTAATATGAATCAAGTTAAAATACCAAGTATGAATCTGGAACATAGACCTCCTAATATAACTAACAAATTTCCCATTATTCTGTTTTAAGCTTTCTGACCCAGATTGTGGCGGTGTTTTCACAGAATGAGGTTTCATATTTCTTTCCTAAAATAAAATGGACTTTTCACAAACAAGACTGTTGCTCCAGCAATATTACAACATTAACAGTGAATGCATTCCACAGCAAAGGGAGAAATCGAAATGGAAACCTGAAAACAACTTTGGTTTCTTGCTGGGAGTAATTGCTTTTGGAATGGCTACTCACAGAACTCAACTCCACAGCTTACTGGTTTCTAGGCAATTTAAAGACCAAGAGAACGCTTTTATCGACTCAATGTTTGACTATTATATTCGGCCTTTTCACAAGAGCTACATTACTGATTCAGAAATCTGCCACACTCCCTTTGCAGTTTCTTCAGGGACTCCATCAAGAACTAATTCTGCAGAAGATTTAGGTGGTGTGCCAGAAGAAAAGGAGTTGCTCCACAAGGATTTGAAAAAGGCTGTGGTCAAGAGGGATGTTGTTTGCTTGTTTTGTTGGAACCGAAAATCTCTTACAGGCGCTCATATTATTGCTCAAAAAAATGTCCCAATGGCTTATGACGAAGATTCCCTATTCATACGAGCTGGAATAACACAAAAACACCAAGTGCAAAATGGGTTGCTGTTGTGTAACAAGTGTCACGGTCAATTTGACAAATTGAAGCGATATGTGGACGTTGCTGATGATAAGCTTGTGGTCAAGGTGGTCAACGAGACGAATGATACAACAAGCAACAAGCACAAAGAATGGAAGGATAATGTTAGGATGCTCAAGTTGGTTCGTTCTGGCTGGCAGGAGAACTGGACTGATATTGATAACCGACAATCAATGGAATCCAATGGAGAAATGGCGTTGTATTTCGTCCAAAACAACCCAACCGAATTACCAAACAGAAACGCTTTGGAGTTCCACAAGACAGCCTGTATGATTTGGCGAATGGCTGGCGGTGCCGAAACAGATGATGAATACTGTTCGGATGATGATGATTTGGTTCCAGTAGACACTGCTGCGTTGAAAAGACGGTTTAAACTCCAAGATTCAGACGAAACTCTAAATATCGTTTCTTGACTTTTAATAAATGTAATGCTGTTTATATTGTATACTTTTAGTAAATACGATGCCGTCGCTATTTAATATGAATCAAGTTAAATGAATCTGGAACAGAGACCTCCTAATATAACTAATGAACTTCCCATTATTCTGTTTTAAGCTTTCTGATCGAGATTCTATCTCAGATAAATGGTTGTTTTTACAACTTTGGACTTGTGACTGTCGTTTAAGAAAACTGAAGAAGCAATCTCAATGAAAGGAGCACTTAGTATGAGTCTGGCACAAACTAAACACCACTAATCTTTGCTCATACAACTGCCCTAATAACTCAAATCAAAGTTGATGCCACAGGCAATAATCATTTCAACAACATTCCCTAGGTTTTACTATGAGATATAGGCTAAAATACCTGATATCATTCGGTGCCTTATCTATACTACTAGCGTCGTGTCTATTGAATAAACTTCTAGTAGGAAATCACAACGAATATTCAACTATTTTATATTTCTAAACAGTTACTGCAAGATCAATACAAGTGCTTTATTTTACACGAATACGACTGTAATGCTTTGACTGCGCAATAGCTGCAGATCATCCGCTATCTCGAACTTGTCCCATATCTAGTCACCACTGGAAAATCAATGTCAAAGAGCCCAATTACAACCCATGTATTAGACACTGCTAATGGTGTTGCTGCGGAGGGTGTGCGCACAACTCTCCACGTCTGCAACTCTATTGATGGTCTTTCCGATTCGTGGACGGAACTTGGTAGTGGGCAAGTCCAGTCATTTTGCAAGAGTTTGATTATGATTCCCTTTTATAAAGCTCGGCATATTATTTACACTCATTTGTTTTGATGGATTGGATTTTAGATCTACTGATAAGGATGGACGATGCACACAGTTGATGCTCCAAACTAATGGGACTTACCATACATTGGTGCCTGGAGTATATCGTCTGACATTTGCCACCAAAGACTATTTTGCTAGCAAGGGTAGCAAGTGTTTTTTCCCATCTGCTCAGGTATTGCAATCTGTAGCAGCTGATTATCATTAATGGCTCAATAGCTGCTGATCTAACTCGACTATATCATGATATGCTTGAATGTTGTGTGATTTTAGGTCATTTTTGAAATCTCGAATCCCCCTCAAAACCATTATCATATTCCACTGCTACTCAGTAATTTCTCATATTCGACTTACAGAGGAACTTGAAATCTTCATTGGTATCAGAATAAACTCTTGGCAGAAAGTCGCACATATTGACCATGTGTTAATCTACGAGATTTGCATACCAGAATTTGAGACGCTTTAGAGTTGAATAAAAACATTTATAGTGCTCAGTTATTGATATTGTCTACGTCCATCAATGAACAAAAGCTTTGGATATGTTGCTGCCTTTTATTGATTACACTTTTGTTTAAGCAGTAAAACTTGCGATCGAGCCTTTGCGCGGGCAGTCATTAACTCCCGAGATGTTCCTGGCATCTGACTGAATTCAATAGCATCAAGTACATCAGCAACTCCTTTACCGTCTTCACCTTCTCGAACCATAGCCTCGACCAACAGCCCATAAAATATTTCAGTATCAAACACCAGATGGGTCTGTAGGTTCTTGGCGTGTTGGATGTATGCCAAAGCACCTTTGATATCTCCAGCATTTTTAAAAGCTAATACGACTTTACGATGAGCAGGAATATGGAGTTTGTATCCCATTTTGACACACTCTGCAAAAAGAATCAAGACTGATTTGGGGTCTCCAGCAGTCACATATCCTTCTGCAATTTTGATCAATGCGTTTTTGAATATAAATTTATGTGTTTTGGCTGCAATTCGAATATCAAAGATAGTAGATGGTCGTTTTGATTGCACCGCAGATCCAGAGTGAAGTGTGCCAATGAGCTGATCGTGTCGAATAGCCAGCGGACCCAGCATTTTAGATATAGCCAGCAGGGCTCGATTATGGCATGTTTCCGGAAAAAGCAGTGCTTTGGAAAAACATTTCCATACTGCGTTGCAATTACCGAGTCGAGCATATGCTACAATTTCTTCACTAATAGCAAGAGATTCCACTTTAGAGCCTAGTGGAATGGTTTTGCGTTTAGCACCATGCTCACCTATTTGTGAACTGGCTGTAATGTGTCCATATGGTGTTCCATTATACATGTCCGATAATGTGTGTAGTGCCCGATTATGATCGCCCAGTTCATTGGAAATGACTGCATCGTAATACATAAGCAATGGAGTGACTTGAAATCCCAGTTTGATAGTATTAGGTAAGTAGCTGGAGATATACTGGTCTAGATACACTCTAGCAATATCATGCTTTCCTTTATCCAGAAAAAATCGACACAGGATCGACAAGGCTTCTGAATCCACTGCGCGTCCAGACTGTTGCAGTGACTCGAATACTGCCACCAAAGCGTCTTCGTCGTCATTCATAGCATATGCTCTTGCAATGCTGTGGTAAGGACTTGCCGATTGTTTATCAATTAGCAGGTGCTTTTCAAAATAGGCAAGACCAGTAGATTCATGGCTAAAAATAGATGCTTCAGAATGTGCAGCAGCCCGAATGTATGCTTTGGAAAGGTGGCCGATGGTCTCTAGCGTTTTAGTCTTGATTTGCTTTTGACGCATTGACTCTAATAAAATCTCTAAAGAGTCAATATCACCTTGATTGGCATATATTTCAATCATGTAAAAGTAGGCGCTGTCAGGAATATTTCCTTTATGCTTGGCTTGATTGTCTAGCATGATTTCAAATATATCAGCTGCACGTTGGCACCGTTCTGCAAAAGATAGCGACAGTGAGCCTGGAGTATTTTTCATTGCAGCACGCATAAACCATTTAAGCTGAAACGGTGTGAGTAAAGCTAAAACGGATGAATGAGTGTGCTTGATCCGATCAAAATGGATTAATGCGTTTCGATAGTCACTGGCTATAATACTACGACGAAATGCAGCGATTGATTGTGCTGGATCTTGCTCAAGATTAGATTGATTAGGATGGATCTCATTAAGGGATGGTGACAACATCTTGTTTTCGATGGTCTTAAAGTCAGAGTGTGTGGTTTCAATAGCATCTGTACTTGATGTTGAATTTGATAAAGTGCAACGAGGTTGAAGATAAAGACGTTGTATATATTGCTGTCGATTATTTCCTGTTTGTAATTTGGCAAGTGCACTTGTAAAGGATAAAACAGAGTTTCTTCGTATATGAAATATTCGTGCTGAAAGGAATGTCATATTACTGCATGATGGCACAGAACGCAAAGCTTGTTGCAGAACAGAGCAATGTTCAAGACTGTTTATGAGATTTACCATATCTGTCAGCTCAAACGTTTTCTTCAATTCAAAATCTGTCATTAACATCACGTGGTGTTAATGTCATTTTACAATTGTAAAATGGGAGTTTCTTTATATCTTGTAGTGACTGATTCCAAATAAACAGTGATTGTGTTTGCTGTTTTTTTACTGCAGATCGACATGATCAATTCAATAAACACGACAATCATCATATAATATTGTCTAGTAAATTGACACTCGTTGTCCGAGACTGTTTATATACTCTCATATCCTTGTTTAGTGTTTCATTTTACTGAATGCAGCTGCCATATATATGCAGGTTTATTATTGTGTGCATTGTTAATCAAGTGACTGAAATCCTATGTTGGATGAATCTACTATAGCAATTTTAACACTCCCATTGGTTGTTTGGGCATATGCAATGATACTGATTAGCTGGTCAATCGTTGGGAATGAGTCTAATGCACTAGAAAAGCGTGTACTATAAGTTAGAATCGTTACATTGAATGAATAACAAACTAAATCTTACTGAACACCAACTACTGCAAAGTCCGGCGTTTTCCTATCCGATTTTTTAAACTTTGGAAGTGGTTTGTACACATGCCACAATATACAGTTTCCAGTACGATCACCAAGCCAAGTACAAGGAGATTGTGGTGAAGATGGTTCATACTTGATTCCATTTAAAGGATATTCCAGTTTATGATCTAATACGACTGTAATAATGTGCAGATAGTATTGGATAGTCATTAATACGATTGTAGTAGACCAGATAAAAGTAAATGACAACATACCAGCTGATGATCCAATGAGTCTGAAGATGAGCTGTTTGATAGATTCCCACCATGAGATTTGACGTTTAGAATGAGATTGACTCTTTAATTGTATTCTTTCTTGCTTATGCTTCTGTAGGGTTGGATTATACTGCCCATCACAACGAAACGTATAGAATCCAAGTCGTTTAAGATATGCGTATACTTGATATGCTACCAAGGGAATCTGATGAAGTTCGTTTCCAAGCAGCAATGAGTATGCATGTTGAACAGTGACTCTACCTCCATGCCATTCCAATACCAGAGCACCTTGATCAATCAAAAATAAGGTTTCTTCGGGAAGCAACATGATCTTTCCAGATGGCAAGGCTTTGCCAATGCTTTTGAAATGCAGTCCTTTGATTGTAGAGACTTGTGCATGAGGAAACTTGTATTGCAGACAATCTGATTCTAGCATCTCTTGGTCTACCCATGAAGCCAAACAAAGTTTAGATCTATGCTTGTTAATTAGAATGGAAAGACAGTCGCAGTGACATTCCAGAACCCATTGTAATGCATGCTCAAGACTCAGTCTAAACATTCAACTACACTTGATGGCTGCAGTGCTCATACCTTGGAGTACGTCGTTCTACAGAAATAGTCTGCAGCATGGCATGATCAAACCTTTGCAGTTCATCCAAGACATCAAATGAATGGTTTAAATCAATATGTTTGCTGAGAAAGGGAAGAAACAGACGATAATCTGATGCATGATCGATATCTTCACTATCAGTACTGTGACCAGAAGATGAATGTTCGCTGCTATTGCATTCCGATGCTCGAGTCATGTCAAGGTTTTCGAGTAAATTGAAAAGTTTCCTTAAATTCAACTAGCATGACTGGTCAACTCTCTCTACAAGACTCGGCTGCTCCAAAGAGGTTGGTTGACTCGCTATTATTCTTACAACTGCTTGACATGCTGTTCTGTCGTTTCAAACCTTACAGAATGTTTTGACTTGCTGCCAACCTCGTAATAACTAATACCATCACAACTACTTTTAGGAATTCACTGATTACTTCTTTTTTTAAACCTGCTGCCATCATCGATCTTACTTATTCAGATCCTGACTCAGAACCTGCTATATTGATTCAAGATAAAAGCAAGTGCGACTCTGGTAACCATGTTGACTGAGTAAATCTGTAATCTATTGCTTTTCTAATGAAATTTCGTTGTGTATATATTGCTATTTCTACCTATTTCAATATTTTGAATAAACTTTAGTATTAAACTCGACTCAATCCTGGACTACCATTCGACCTACTCGAAGTAACCAATCCTCCACAAAACATACTTCTGGAATTCCTGTGGTAAATCGATCATCCACCACCATTAAAAGCTCGTCAAATACTAAAATCGCTGCAATTTCTACTCAATGTCCGGACGATCTAACCGACCCTTTTGCTGCTCCAGCTAAATCTGCAAAAATGGCATCCAAGAGTCAATCTACACTCCTTAAATCAACTTCTACCACCGCTACATCTCGATCCCAGTCGATCTTCACCCGTAATACCATAAATACAAGATCGAAAGCCAACCAAACCACTCTTGGTCAACAGTCCAAAAAATTGCATTCATCAATACAACATGTAAGAATGACTTGCTTTTTTATTTGTACATTGTTGGTTTACAACCGGACTTTAATCGACAAGCTATCGTTATTTACTAAAACCCTTTTTTTGAAATTTGACCATCTAGCCATCTAAACTACCAATATTGAGCAAAAGTTTAGTAGATGAAATAACAACTGCGTCCCAAACAACCACAGCTTTTTCAAAAAAACAACCAGTCACTGAACAGCACGCTTTGCCAAAATCTAAAATGACTTTGGCTACTAAAAATAAACCAGTATCAAGCGCCAACCACTTGAACGAGAGCACCAAGGATTTAGCCAATCGATTAAATCAAATACACCACAGCGATTTGTTGGTAGAAACAGATTCCGCAAAACCTTCAAAAACTTTAGTTCATGCACGTAAATCACAAGAAAATACTATTCCCAACTCATTAAAATCCATGGGCTCACGTAAACGTGTTGCTATAACTGTTCAGCTTCCTGCAAAATACCCCAGTTTTCAGGTTCAAAAAACTGCTTCCAGTCCAACTATCAACGACCTTGAACTTTCATCGGTTCAAAATGTGAGCCAAACTTGCTCTTTTCATGGTGAATCAGATCACTCGAGTCTTACATCGCATTCACCAAAAAGCTCAAATAGTAATTTATTTCTTGAAAAATCATCCCATGACTCACCAGATACGGTTACATCAAAGACCTTGTCAGCTTCAACAGACACAAATACAGTAGGAGATGTACCTTTTTTAAAATCTGTATCAGCTGATATGTCTGATCCCCAGTATCCTACTCTTGATCAAAACGAATCAACAGACACTGATGATGATGATTTACTCGGGTCAGTATCTTCTGTCAAGAATCTACCCAAGCGCAAAACACATGTAAAACTTGATGAATCCGATAATACACCAAGTGGGCAAGCAGAAGGTAGCAATGAAGCAAATCTCCCTGTTGCATCTTCAAGCGAATCGTTGACTATACACAGTTTGTCTAATTTTTCTAGTAAAGCATTGCATATAATCGAAGATACAAGCTTAGAATTTAACCCTGATCCGATCGATGATGCTGATTACTTGCCTAAACTCAATGGCGTTGTTCCAGTTGCAAGTCGTATAACACGCAGTGCTGTCTTCAAATCCACTGGAGCTCATGTTCATTCTCCTTTACTTTTTGATAAAAAAGAAATGACTAGTTCTCAGTACGATCTGTTTTCTAAAAAACAGCTGCAAAAATCCATGGCATCTATAAATGATTTGGACGCATTGATAAACCAGCAGCTTCATAGAAAAAACACAAACTCCAAATATGTGTCAATGTCATGGCAGTTACTATCCAAAAACACTACAAAAGACTCCAATGTAGAATCAAGCACAGATATAACAAACGAAACCTTTAATCATGATATCAAACATATGGACTACAACTCTGATGAGGAAATAGACACCACGACCAGTAAAATCTCCAAGGTAGGGATATATTCCACTGCGTTATCTGTTTTGATCACGATTGGGATATTTGCTATAACAACTTTTTGTTTCAACTGCTTTTTAAACATAACCATATAGCTCGCTAACGCCGTTCCAGTATTACCACCGCGTGAGGATGCTCTGCTGATTTCTCTGTTTGAAGCCAATAGCCTATTGGAGCAAAATCTTTTTTTAAAGCTGCAAACTTTACTAGCAGGAGTGAATCTTGATGGACTCACACTTAATGAAGCATTTTGGTTTGTAACTGACATGCGGATTTTTCATATAAAAGTAAAGGCCGGGAAATGCACTCGGATAAATGTTCTGACTTGGTTGATGCAATTTGGTTAGTATTTTGGCAGTTGTACCATTGCCTATTTTTAAAAACAATTTGTTTATCTTGATCTAACATGCAATTCTGAATCAGCAACCGTTGTAAATGACCAAGTACTGCTAGATAGGTGCTGCAAAACTATTCAATCAATTGTTGACATTGTTTCTCATGTAAGTTTTATGTTGGTATACTCAACTTTAATGAGCTTCATTTTTGAAAATGATATCATGATTTTTCGATTTGAGCAGGATTGACATTGTACCTTTATACTATATTTTGAATGTGATTCATCAAATTTGACTTTAAACAGCCCTTACGAGTAGCACTCCCATCTTCTTGGATTGAAATTTTAAAATCATTGGGAATGCCCTGTGCGTTTAATGAATCTTATGATACTTCTTTTCATGTTGCTTCGTATGTTGAGTATGTGCCTTTGGACGAGCGTGGCAAAACCAGACATCCGCCGCGGGCATTTATATCTCAAGAGCATTCTATTCGCTGTGTATTAAAATCAATGGCATATATTGTTGAATCAGGGTAAGACTAGAGGATATTCAAACTTGATCATGGTTTTTGGTACTGGATATTTACTTGCTGTTTATTTAAATTTCAACTATTTTCCCTATTTTGAACTGCTTAATCATCTAGGTTTTTGAAAATATCGTTGAAACAGCGACAAAAATGGATCAACTGTATTGTTATTGCTACTTTAGATTGTAGATCAAGCCCTTTCTACAAAGAAGCATCAGCACTATTTCACCACCTTGTAGCTACATGTCCGCGTTCTGAACTAAAAAAGCTATGCATATTTTTTGATTTGATGGGATCTAGTATTGTTTCTTCTGAAAATGGCAAAGAACAATCTTTATCCACAATTTCTAGTAGTTTACTACATCAGCCATCCGTCAAATATACCGGATTTATTCAGGCAATCCAGTGTTTGTCGTTTATGAGTATGAATAGTTTTTCTGAACTAAAAGTTTTGTGGATTCTCCAAAATTTTGGACTGCAATTGCTTGATCGGATATTGAATAGACATGAATCTCGCGGCACTTTTGAGGTATGTAGAGTGCTGATACTGACTGCAATGTGGTGTTTTTTTGATGAGTGTATTCTAGCAGACGTTGATTTTTGATGATGTAAACTACTAGTATACGGACAGTGTAGAGTCATTTACTGATGGGATGAAAGAAGCGTTGAACATTCTTCATCAAGATTCACTGTTTTCAAAAACATGCACTGATTTTACTCGACTGGCATGCGCTTCTCGAATATTAGGATACGTAGTAGTTGGACGAACCGTCATATCAACCCATTTGGTGAGCTGGTCGTTTTTTTGTAATGATATATAGCTAGAGCTATAGGTTTGACTAATGCTTTTGGATATGGTGCTGATTTAAATGACAGGATTTTGCCAGTGATTTTGCCAAAACTGTGCGTGTATTACACAACAACATAACCGATTCGCGTGCTATTTCTTTAGAGCGAACCAAGGTATACTTCAAACCTGTTCATTCATACTGTTGTTCCTGTTTTTGAGTGTATAGGTTGGAGCTAGCCTTATACTTTTGAAGCATTGGCTTTTTTGCAAAACCCTGTTCATTAATGATTGGTACTATATACTACTTAGGCAAAACACGAACTGCTGCACCTTTCAACTTGGATCAGGCTGGTTATAGATGCATGTTCAACTGAACGTCAGCATAACATTCGCGATTATTTTTCAAGTAAATAAAAAATGTGCTGATTGTTGAATGACTGCCTCGGTCTTTTAAATTGTGGAATTTGGAAACCAAACCCGCTATGCCCAATGTACGACCATTCATAATCCGTATCACATTTTCAAGTCAATCAGCGATGTTGATCCAACACTATACGACTAATAAATAAAATAACGGTTGCTTTATTTTTAGATGTTTTGAATAAACTCCATTTTATTATCTTCATCGATGATGGCCATGCTCGTCGTCTACCACATTGTCACAATCAGAATCGTCTTGACCTTTTCCAAGTACGCACACACCCATAACAATCACTGCAATCCCCAAAATAAGGCATATCAAATTGATGGTAGAATACACACCAAAAGCGTCCAGATATACCATCGAATTAGCTAATGACAGACATGTAAAAAGTGTATAGAATATAGGTATAACAAGTACAGGCAAACAGTAGTGTAGGGCTTTGTTGAGAGAGTAAAGCTAAATTAAAAATAGATCCAATCAAGTTGTAGAGTCAGTTTTAAAGTTTAGTGAAAGCAATCACATGGTATTAGCAAAACAGTTGGTGTCAAGGCAAGCAATATACTTGAAGAAATATAGTTAGGGCAAGCAAGGCCAACAGTAAAAATGAAAAAGCGCCTTGAAACTGGTTGTTTGAACCAAAAATGGACATCACAATCAACTCCACACTGAAATGTTGAAAACATAATATTTAGATTAGAATGACTTGACATGGATATCCCATCATTTCTTTAAAATATTGTAGATATGCATTTAAACTTGCCCGCTTTTTGTAAGCAACAGAGTCTCTGATGCTGTGATGCCTCCAACTATTGCATATAAAACACCAACAAGCGACGTGAGTTGGCCACGCTTCACTTTAATAGTGACAGATCGCATAGAAACCGAGTCTCGCAGCGTATTACGCCTATGTATACTTCCATTCAATAGCGGTCTAGTTTCATCTGACGACATATGACTAATGGATCTACCATATCGCCGTGAAATGGACCCAACGGGAGTAAAATGATCTTGGTGGGTTGAAACGACGGGATCCAAGGTAGAAGAGTTGAGTAGCTCAGAGTTAGTTACACCACTATTCACATTTGTAGAAAGTCTGGGGGATGGTCCACAAAAAATGCTGACACTTTTATCGCCTTGATGGACATTGGTATCTGTTGGAAAGTGATCCAAATCATTGATGGAGTCAGATACAGTCATACTAGGGTGAATTGGAATGCTGTCCATCTGGGGAGAGTCTGTCCAACCAACCCGCCGTTGCGATGAAATAAGCTCTGGTGTAATTTCTGCTGAAAATATAGGTTCAAAACGCTTGAGCTCAGGCATGCTTGTAGAGGATACCAATTCTCTAGATGCAGAGCCAATTTCATTTTCCGGCAAGGTTTCCGATTGATTGCGTGTAGGTTGAGTGTGTTGATATAACTGAGGTGATGGAACATTAACAGAAGTCAATTGGGATGCTCCATTCAAAGCTGATAATGAGGATACGGATGATCGTGATATTAACGAGCGCATTGAAAAAAGATTAAATTCGAGGTACTTTATCAGAAAAAATGTACAAGAGACCAGAATAAGTTGAACAGAGAAATATGCAATGAAAGCCGGCCTTGAGTACAGTCTAATAAGATCTTCAATAGATTGTCCTAAATAAAGTTATACACGGTTAGCCAATGAAAATCCATCAATGTTCAAAGTAAAAACACCGACAGGCACTTTCAATGAACTCAAAACTATATCGTATCAATACCAATCCAAATTAAGCGGGACACATCAATCATTTCAACTTACGACTGTCAGGCATACTCGAACCAAACGTACTAACAACTGCGCAGCCAATAACAATCAAAACTGTCCCAGCCCAATCATACCGAGTGATTCGTGTTCCAGCAAAAATACTAGAGAATAGAATATTGAAAATAAGACCAGCCGATCCAAGAGGAGCAAGAATAACAGGAGAAATAAATCCAAGAGCCACCACTGATCCAAATAGTTGACAAATTAAATACAAGGTGAATCCTGTAAATATATGGAATAGCATCAAGAATAAAAACAGCCAAACTAGTCAGTATATAAATAAGGCATTAAATTAAGATCCAATTACAATAAATTCAAAAGTCAGCAACGTTGGCATACAATGGCCAACTCGAATACCGCACTTGCCTAGATACCATTGTGTACTGGCATATAGACTTCTCCACAAATGTGATCGCTCTCGAGTCGTGAGCATGCGCTTCCCAGGAGATGGTTTAGATTGCAACAACAAGACCAATATTTCGAAAATACTCATTTCCTTGTTGCGTGATATGGGCGATGCTAGCATTACTGGAGTGATTGCTGATGGTCGCGCTGTAGATACATCTGCAGATGTGGTATCTACTGCATCCACATGATTCTCTCTCAAGATACTAGTTTCTTTGGGAATCATGACCGAGTTCTTGCATGGCTTGTAAGCCATCTGAGATATTCCAGATATTGCAAGTTTTTCATTAGAGTCCATTTCGTCAGATGTAAGGCAAGGAGAGGATCCAGCAATGGAATCAGGACCCGATACAGGTGTAGTTCCAGCAACTGCAGGCGGCATCAAGTTAATAGCTCCTCCACTAAACGATTCATACGTGTCGCCCTGTACAACCATCCCATTTCCCTCAAACTGGCCTGGAAGTGGAGTTGGTGAAGACCGCATGAATGCAAAGTCTCTCCCATCCGTAACAGCCATACCATCCGACACCGACTCACGGAACAGGAACTCATCTTCTTCAGCATCCATGTACAGACCAAGTCTTGAATCTAGATTCCCAAGAACAGAGTAGGATGCTGCACCAGGCACAGTTCCACCACCTTCTGCCAAAGAAGTTGGACTGACCATTGCATCCTCAATGAATATCAAGCTATGACGAGACTCTGCAACCAGGTTGATCTCTCGTTGGGCCTTGAGAGCCAATGCTTGCAGGTTAACACCCAGCGATGACAGGCATGCTGACAATAGAGCTACAGAAGCTCCAATCAAGAAGTTGGCTAGATGAGCCTTGTCTTGGTCGTCTTTTGTAAAAAACTCCATCTCTAATTGAAGAAACTCGAGTTGAAGCGTATGCAGTTTAATCAATACTGGATGTTTAGATGTACAGATAATAGAACCACAGGATGCTGTGTAAATAGAATCTGGCTTATATCGGATCCCAACGACCAGCAATTACAAAAAAGAATTCTTCAGTTGAGCGGAGTTGATTGTTCTAAACACTAACTCGCCATTCATTCATATTATATCAAACATGTCAATTCAGAAAATAGATTCACTCTGGCGCTCGAAACTGTTCCAAGCGTCGATTGACCTTTTATTCAATCGTGGTGTACACTTCGTCATGATAATAGTACTTGGGGATGATATGGAATTCTGCTAGATGGAACCCAAAGTGTTTCTATTTCATCAAAAATACGATTTAGTAATCTTGTGCTTTAAAATCAGGACTCGGCAGCTTCAAAAGTAAACTGCATGAATACGTAGATATAAATGAAACCCATACCAGCAAATGTGCTTGTTCGGGTGTGAGCGTAGCTCCCTTTTTGCAAATGGTGTATGGTGATGCCAACTGAATAACGCCATTCACTAGCATTGTAGGCATACCAAGACTACGCAGATGCGGCTCCATGTTGTTAGGAAAGTTTAATTCACCACGCATCACTGGACCTATTTTTCATTAAGCAAATTGGTGCAATCCAGCATTTGATGTTAGCAATCCAATTGAGTCTGGCCAGTAAACTATCAAGCAACTTTTTCATATTTCAAGTGCAGTAGAGTCTTGGCTGGTACTTGCCTTGGGGAATGATGATCTCGCTTTCAGCAATCGTGCCACTTCTAGCATAGTCGGATTCCTTTTTTCCTTCAAAATATCTATCAATAAATGGTAAATCAAAGCGAATGGTAAGCGTACAGATCACTCGAGTGTTGTACATTGCAAAGTGAAAATAATTACTTTTTTACTTCTTCTGGAGTAGAGTTGGTAAACAGGAGACCAACATCACCAACAAGTTTCTAAATGATCAATTCAGCAGACATTCCATTCAATAGTGTCAGTATATTGTATCAAAGCCCCAGTTTAAATTTGAATATAAAGTTCAACTTACCAAGCTCAGCTCGCGCAAATTCAACTTGTATTCAGATTCTTCAGTTGTGCCCAGAGCCTTGGCCATCACTCGATTGCGTCCAAGAAAAATTCTAAATGATGTCAAATAGCATTTCAAAACATTAGAAATGGAATGCTGAACGTTAAGCCCTTGTACTATTTTGGGCATGCCAATACCAGTCCCGTAGCTAAATATGTTCAATAAACCAAATATTTTACCTGCTTCCGGACCAGTCATTGCGAACCTCTTTGAGATAAACGTTCCGCATGTTCATAACCTCAAACACATAAATGTATGCATATTTATCTACAGACTCTCGAATCTATTATGGAGTAATTCAACGATTGGATGATTAATAAACTTGAATCTTGGCAGGTTTAAAAAAATTTGATATGCAGAGCGGAAATATATCCATCAGTCAAGCAGAATAAATGCAATTGCATTTAACAGTTGTGGGATTCATTAAAACTACAGTCATGTTTTTGATGCTGCTCAAAACAAATACATTTGCAATCTAACCTCGTTAAACAAGTTTTCCTTTGCAGGCTTTCCTTTCTTATCAGCTTTGGTAAGATTGTCTAAAACAAAAAATAATTCACAAGGTCAGTGATCGAAATGTAAATACAGAATACTAGTATAATCATGCATATGCCGTACAAATCTTTGATCTCTTTGACTTGGGCATCTTGTATAACTATAATATAGAAAAAGAGAATATTTTCTTTCAAAAAAAAAACTGCTCAACACAAGCGATTGCATAGATCACGTGAAATACAATTGGTGTTTTGGATATGCAAATGCATTTATTAATTCCCTTCACTTATTAAGCACGCTTGAGGTGACCAAGAACAACTAGATTTCCAACTTTCATTTGATGACAACTTTGAACTTTTCAACCAAATGAATTGGTCTCTTGATAGATATAATGAATCGTAAACCTGGTTTACCAGGATCACAATCAGTGTTGACCACTATTCCTTCTGCACCATTTAGTTTAATGTTTAGTTTTTTGAATCAGGACGATACTATTCTTCCATTTGATTATGCTCAAATACTCCAGTTCATCCTCTTGTTGATTCCAGTTACTCAGTTTGTCCATAGTAAAACCAGCTTTCAAACCACGATAACTCTCCTCCAATCAACGTTATCTCATTGATACTGGTTCTGTTTCTTGTTAGAAAAAGCAATGGAATCCTTGATTGGAAAATAATATTGTAAATCAATTGCCTGTAATGGTTTACTCCAGCAAAGTTGTCGCTTATTATGAACTATGACGAGAAAACGTTTGATTTAGTCGAATCAAATAAATGTTTAGATTCTAATTAGAATCCAAATTGCCAGACTTTTCTATCTTGAATGAATTTACCATACATTCTGGTAGATGAAATCTCATCGACTTTTGAATAGTTTAGCCAGGAGTCTCGCCTAAAAAAACTGGTATCATTCGGTGCCCTACATATACTACTAGCATTGTCTTCTCGACCCTTGACGAAATTGACTGATCTTTTGTACATTTGTATAACTGAATGAATGCTTACATTACAATTTAGTAAATCCTATACTTGTTCAATGTCCAAACTCTTAAAAAACAAAGATTGAATGACCAACATGTATAGTTGCATTCCTGGACTAGGACGCGGATGTATGAGATTAGGATACACAAAGAGAAGTTTTTTTGAAACAGGTGAAATCAGTATCTGGATTACAATGAGTTTTGCAATCATACAATATACGAGTATTATCAAATGGAGAGAAGTTTAAAATGAGAATTCCAGTTCAAAACTATAGTTTAAAATGAGAATTTGAATTGGAAATGTTTAGTAAGAAAAACAAGAAAGATTCAGCCATTGTTGATTCCCAAACAAGACAAATCCAAGTTTTGTTTTACGTGAATACGGCAGATTGCAGTTTGGTGAGCATAAAGCTCAGTTCACATTTGGTCGAGCTATTTTATTCAAACTTTCCCACAAATATTTACTTCTATTGCTATCCTTGTCAAAGCAAACTTACTATCACAAGAATCATACATCGCTCTAAACATGTCCAAGCCAGTACAAGTACAACAACAGGTCGACGAGGTCGTCGGCATCATGCAGGGTGAGTAACACCATCTCTTGTTTGGATCCGATGCATGGCTTATGTGTCTGGATGCATGCCATTAGACTTGTATTGAAATGGATTTGGCATTGCTATGGGCAGCTCAATAGTATGCTCATCTGTATATCCTACTACCCCGGATACTATCCAGGAGTTGCACTACTGAGTGTCATAGGCAACCCATTTATGGGATGGCTTTCCAATTGACAACCAGTATGATGCTGACTGTATCTGAATGCATGCATTAAGCATCAGGTTTGCATATCCAAACCAAGTGTTGAGCTGCTAGCCTGGACATGGGTTGGGGTATGCTGACAAATGCAAATATTTCAAAAGTCCATCTTCACTGCAGTACCATTTTAAAATCTTATTGAAGCCACTTTTGGCTTCTAGTCCATCACATATCCACCAGACTGCGAAGCTCGGTGGAGGCGTTTAAATCTACGCGACCTTGCAAGCATTCAGGGAGCTTGCAATGATGTCAGGGACTGATTTGAAAAGCCTGAAACCTGCATTTCTCGATCAATCCATGCCTAGAGGCATCTATGGATGCACTGCAAGTGTTTTTACAAGGTCCCATATACTCACTGTATTTTCAACTCTATTGCATCCATGTAAATCCAGACAATATTCACAAGGTTATGCAGCGCGGAGAACAGCTCGATACTCTTCAAAACAAAACAGGTGACTTTATTGATTCTTATTTACAATTTCAACTGCTGTGGTGACTGAGACTTTTGTGCTGATTTTTCCAAAACTTTGCTTGGTTGATCCATAATCGTAATTTCAGAGGATCTCCAAAATTCGTCATTACAATTTAAACGTGGTGCAAACCGTGTACGTAAAGAAATGTGGTGGAAGGATATGAAACTCAAGTTGATTATTGGTGGTGTCGTTGCTATTGTTCTGGTTATTATTATTGGTAAGTCTCAATTGCTCGGGCTCTACCAAACTTTAACAATGTATTGTCACTTTACTTACTTGCCAATTGAACCATTATGTAGTTGCTGCTGTTAAGGGATCTGGAAAGTAAATCTATTTGCAAAACACCTTAAATATTCGCTTACAGCTCTAGAGAACATTTATGCCCGTCTTTTTTAAATTAACGGATGCTTTCAATTTTAGTAATTTTGGATAACAGAGTTGGGAGTTGGTGAATTACATGAATTGAGTCTGGAAGTAGTCGTAAAATTGCTTTTTGAATTTAGTCCAATTTTTCTTTTGTATTTGAATTCCAACTCAAGATAATGTGGAGATCTACTTGCAAGACATGTGCCATCAGAGCATTGGGAGAATCAAACAGAATGCTAGTTGTTAAACTTTCTCAGAATTCAGTATATTCTGGTTTCAAACCATCTCTGAGCACAGCACCTAAAGTCTTGATTTTACAATCGCATTTGCATTCCAGTTCAGCTGTAAGCAGTCGGGCTATTGCCGCAAATTCCAAGCCAGAATCCAGTGATCATGTTTCCAAGGCACTCTCTCAGGCTTCTATAGACCCAATTTCAAAGCAGTCGTCTTCGAATGTGCGAGCATCGATAGAAACAGGCCTAATTAGTCCAGTACTGGAATATGTAAGTGGGTTAGTTGGCAGTTCAATTTCCCAGTTTGTTCAGCCAGTTCTTTCGGATATACATCTATACAGCTTTAATCTTATGCGCTAATCTATATAGGGTACATCAACTGTCCAACTGCTCTCCAATCTTGGATACTGCCTTTCTCTGTACATGAGTGTAAAGGAAAAAGGACAGGTTTCAAAACGAGTGGACATTCGTCATTTTGTTAGGTAAATTGGATCCACAATGAATCGATATTCATCTAGAAAGATACTAACAGCTGTATTGACCAATGTTGAATATTGTGACTGTAGAACAAAACAAGATTTTGCAACTCTCGTTCCTGGAATCATCTGCCTTGTGGCTTCAAAACTCACATCACTCCAATCTGTCATGACATATGCGCCTTCATTGATTCCTACAGTTTTTTACAATGTGGAAATTTGGGTGAGCATTGCTGCTGATTGCTGTTGATTCACTAGATACTTATTTTATGGACTATTCACTTGGTAGGATGCAAAGGTAAAAAGTGCTGAAGCTTTAAGGACCAAACAATCTCGCATTGTGCTTGATCAAGTTATCGCATCTTTAAATGCCATTCCTGCTACCAGATTAAAGAGCTCGCGCATTATGAGTGCTGAGCGTAAACGTACTATGTTGGTTGAAAAGGTAACGGAGTAATTGTGCATAATCAACAATGGGATGCTAAACAAGTGATTCACGACTAATATCATAAACCATGGCTTATTGATGCTTGGCTTTTAATCTAAAGCTGTCGGCTCCTGAAAAAATCAAAGAGTCTGACTTGCTAGACTTGTATCCTTTTATTCATGCCCATTTTAATATTGCAACAGCTCCATCATCACTCATTTCCTCATTTGGAAAACTACTTCATTTTACAGCCCCTGCACTTTTACCACGATCAAGACTACTTCGATGGGGTGACTGGATGCTAAAGGACGATCTTCTTATCAAAAAAGATGGTGTTGCATCTCTATCGTATATTGAGGTGTTGGAAGCCATTTATGAGCGTGGACTTGCCTTTGACCAGGTTGATTCGAAGCCAGCCATGGCAAAGGCTCTTGTTCAACACGCTGCGTTTTCTGCTCAGTTGATGGAAAGTGCTACTTCTCATAAAATACGTATGAGTTCTCGCAAAGTATCCAAGAATGCCAAGTCAGATGTGACGTTTGCTATCATGGACAAAGCAGTGTTTGATGCACAAGACATGGCTGCAATCACCATGATTCTTGCCATATCACGAGCAATAGTTTGAATTAAAAACATATTATTTTCATGGTCGAGTGTATTTTTTATTCAAGCTTAGATTTAGTGTAGAGTTGTAGAGTTAAGTTTGTATAATTAGACTGGAATGACTACAAACCAACGAGCCATTCAAGTACTCGATTCGAGCCCGATTCCCATCCAAGTCGCGACTGCATGTTTGTTCTTCATCAGTCAAGAATCGCCCGAGTTATTTGACATTACTGAGCATATAATCCATCTGCAATTCTTCCAGCAACCCAGATTTGATAGTCTTGTTATAGTTGATACCATTTTAACAGACCATCAAGTTATTCTTTACAAGCCTTTTTCCCCTGGCTTAACAACTTGTCAAAAACTGGATAGCAAGCATTTCCATACTAGAAAGCATTCATGAGTGGGTTGGTAGCAACACTGCAGAATGACCTGGTTGCTCTTTCCAACGAGGCCAAGCGAAAGAATCCAGAAATCAAAGAGGTATGATGCGACCAATGCATTACCATGTTGTCTAACATGACTATCAGACGTATTTAAAACGAGATAAGGCTGATATGGTTATTGTCAATTCATGCATTGCTACTCGTTTTAGGCTGCAGAGAGGTTGTTGTATCTTCTTCGTTCGCTCAAAGATCGACAGGCAGCTTTACCTCCAGGTGCTCCGGATACATTAACAGCAGGTAGGATTTCTTCATATTTCTAGAGCAGGTGGTATTCAACGCAAGTGTTGGGTTTATATGCAGTCACGCATTGACTGACGTTTAAATGGTTGATGCGCTGTTTGATGTTCTGGTATGTTTAAACTGTCTAGATCTAGCAAACACTGATGATACAGTCAAGCCATTCATCATGTCGTGCGATACTAAAAATCCAAAACTCATTCCGATTGCCATCAGTTGTCTTCAAAAACTGATTTCACATCATGCGGTGCCGGAATCCTCAACCTCGCTGATTTTAAAAACACTTTCGGATCAGGTTGGCAGCACCATGGAGCTTCAACTCAAGATTCTACAGACTATATTGCCTTTAATTACGAATTATCACTCGGTCCATGGAGAAGTTTTAGCAGATGCCTTGTTGCTTTGCTATAGACTTCAAGATACAAAAACTCCCGTTGTCAATAGCACGGCTGCTGCTACGTTTCGTCAGTTGGTGATTTATGCTTTTGAAAAGCTGAGTATAGAAGATTTTAAAATCAATTCACCTGAACCACGTCCTCTATCTTCCACCGCACACAACGCCAAAACACCCACGGAACGTCTATCAAACGATATGACCAGCACGCCTTTGACATCAAACGCACCAAAAACTGAGCTGTCTTCAGAGTATGCACAGTATGTCACTGATGCATTTATGATCTTTCAAGATCTGTGTCTTTTAGCATCTGGTGAACAAGGCACGTTTCTGCGAGTTCATACCATGTCCAAGGGGTTTTGTCTAGAACTGGTTGAATCTATTCTTAGTGGAAATCACGAAATTTTCACTATACATCCACAGCTACTATCCCTTTTAAAAGATAAAATATGTCCATTGGTTATCAAGGCATTTTCAGAAAAAAATGATTTTTCCATGACAGTGCGTCTCATGCGCGTACTACAGGTTATCATCAAGAATTTTCACCTCGTGCTGGTCATGGAGTGCGAAATTTTCATGTCACTATATGCTAAATTACTAGAATCCGAAACCATAGCAGTATGGCAGCGAGTATTGGTTTTGGAGGCAGTTCATAATCTATTTAGTGATGCCACTTTGCAACGATCTATTTTTGAAATGTATGATGCCAAGGAGCATTCGACTCGCATTTTTTTTGATACAACTATGGCAATTGCAAAATTTATTTTTGCAGAGCGCGCATATCTTGTTGGCGCACCTAATGGAAGCGATGGGCCAAAAGGAGATCTTGCTATAACCCCTATAATTGATTTATACTCTGTTTCGATGGCGTCTGCTAGTCTTAAAATTCAGTGTTTGGATCAATTTGACAAGACTGAACCGCCTTTGTTTCCAGAAACATATCCCCTATTCGTAGCAATGCAATGCATTCTTAGCACCGTGGATAATGTAACAGGTTTTGTACTTCCTGTACTAGGTGCTGAATCAGTTGATCTTCCAGAACTTGGTTCGATGGAGTATCTGGGTGGGTCGATTTCAGAAGTAGCTTCTCTTGCTCCGGTTGATGCAAATGCACTATGTTTAGATGGAAATGATCGAAAGTCGTATTCTACATCCAAGAATGATCAAATTTTATTGTCAATTGAACTCGTCAAGGCATCAAGCCCAAGTTTATTGGCCATTTTAACACTTTTGTCTACCTCTTCCATTGACGATGATCTATTTTCATGGGTTCTACAGTCATTTCAAAACTACACCGTAGTCGTTGGATTGCTTGGACTGACTTCTCATTGTGATGCGTTTTTGAGTGCCATGTGCAAAGTGTGCATTCCATCCTCTTCTAGTGTCAGTTTTGATTTTGCTACTATTGCCAATGATGTAACGCCATTCAATCTTGTCTTGCTGCATGGTTCTTCGCGCAGCACTGGTCCAGTACTTCTCACTGACCGCAATGTAACGTGTTTGCGCGTCTTGTTGGGTGTAGCCGAGTCTATTGCGCCAGTTATGAACAGTCGTACCTGGCTAATTGTATTTGAAACTTTGCAAATAGCCGATGGACTCATGTCATCAGGAAAGATGGGCAAGCGAATGGAATCCAGTCCTGGGTTTTTGGAACTCACGTCTTCTGTGAGCACTAGCACTGCCAAAGATTCTCCAAGACATAGATCTACCACGTTTTCGAATCTTTTGCATTCTGGAAGCCCTTTTTCTCCTACAGGTCTTTCTGGAGGACACGGTGTACCTGGAAACACGCCAGCAGTTACCAATGTGCCCAGTCAATCTGTAACGGTAGAAAACAACTTTGCTACATTTTCAGCGTTTGTCAAGCGCGTATTTGAACGAACAGTGAGCATGGAGCTTAAACATTTACAAGAGTTTATCCGTGCTTTATGTCGTCTCTCGCACGATACAATGACTGGGGTCATTGCAGCACCATTGGGTGGTCCTGCACTTGGTCGAGAGGGGGGAAAGACAGTCGATGATAAATTGTTTGCTGTGACAAAACTTCATGACGTAGCCATTGTCAATGTGCGTCGCTTGATTACTGAATCAGATTTTGATGTGTGGGATCTATTGATTAGTCAATTGATTCAAATGGCACATACACAAAGCTGCTCTTCTGCAATGCGAGCCCATATATGTCATACGTTTGGTGAGATTATCATTGCTGCTATGCAAATGGCAGATTTGTCCAACCCTGTTGTGGAAATGAAACTGCTGGAACCTATTCGAAAAATGATGGCTGCAGAAATGGCTTTATCTGATCCACAAACCAAAGATGGCGTACTGACAGAGGATCGAGTAGAGAGACTTTTAAAATTGTCATGGCTTGTAGAAGTGCAAAAAAGTGTATTGGAAACACTAGAGAAACTACTGCAAATTGGTGGGCAGAATTTACTTGATGGCTGGATGCTTGTATTTGACGTTTTGCAAAACGTGGTGCGACTTTCCAAAGTACGTCGCGCTCTACGTCCAGGTGGACCTGGAGTCATTTCAAATGCAGAGACTCCAGCAAAACTAAACGAATTAGGTCCATCATCACAGCAACAATCTAGCTCTGAGACTGTGCAATTTGGCACTGGATTTGGTGATACTCCTATGCCATCCCGATCATCTGCTATTGTGCGAATTGGATTTCCGTGTATTCAGTTGATTTGTACCGATTTTTTGGCGCTACTGAAACCAGCCATGCTGTTGCGCTGTATTGAAACAGTGACAACCTTTGGATCACTCTCAGATGACTTGAATATCAGTCTGGCTTCTGTTGGTCTACTTTGGACTATATGCGATTTTATTTTAACCAAACGGCAGGAACTTGAGCGCTTGGCTGTCTTGGAATGTAAAGAAAAGAGTGCATCTACGCTAGAGCTTGTAAAAGAAAATACTGCTGTGAATTTACTGTCTGCTTCTGATAGTGAACTTGGTATGATTGCAGATAATCCAGCAGTTACAAAAGACACAGTTGCACCTGAAAGTATTGCATCAGATAAATTAGATTTGCACATGCTTTCTGGAAAGCTTACAACAAAGACGTTGGATACGTTATGGATGTATTTACTTGAAAATCTGTCTGAGCTTTGTTCAGATGAGTGTCTAGAAGTACGCAACTCTGCCAACCAAACACTATTTAGGACACTGGCAATGAACGGTCAACGTCTTACATTAATTGCGTGGGACCAATGTGTATGGCAAATTCTGTTTCCACTTTTAGAGCGAATTCAAATGTCAAGCACCAGTTGCGATATGGCTCTAGGCGGAAATCTGCTATCAGCTGGATTGATGACATCAACCACTATGAGTAATATTGATCTTAAACGCGCTATTTCTTCCACTCCCATTGCATCGGCACAAAATACACATACAGCTATTGGGTCAAGTGTGGATCCATCTAGAGTCACCTCTCCACAAATAGCGCCACGAACGCCAATACAAAAGCCTAATTCCAATCCAAAATCGTGGGATGCAACCAAAGTTTTAACGTTGAATGGGGTCACAAAATGTTTTCTCGACTTTCTTCACGTTCTTGTTAATCTTGGTGAAAGTTTTGACAAGGCGTGGATTCATATACTTGAATACATCACCACCACTTGTCTACAAGGATCACCTGAAGTGTCAATGGCTGCTTTGAAAAATCTACGACTTATTATTCAGTACGCTCGCCAAGGAGCAACAAAGCCTATTCCAGAGAATGTCGTTCCAAGAGTGATGGATATGTGGCTCAAAGTATGGCAAAACTGGGTTGATATTGGAATGGGTATTATTGAAAGTGCCGATCACATAACAGCAGATATTCCTACTGGCAATTTACCTAGTAATTTCGTAAGCCAGGAATATTTACAATCAGTCGATGCACCTTGTTCAGCGACATCGACTTTATCGCTAGCCCAGGTTAATATTGCATGCAAAAACAATTTGATTATCAACTGGAGCGACGGATCTACTGCTTATCTTCTCAATGGATATTTTACACAGGAAACACTGACTACATACATGTCAATTTTTGTCGACCTTTATGAGATTATTAAGCCAGAGTTTACTTTGAACCACCTTTGTCAGTTTTCACTTATTTCTCGCAAGCTGTTGATATACCACTCAATTCCCATTTTGGGAACATCTGCCAACAAGATTCGAGTAGACTTTGTAAATGATCAAGAAAATCTTACTCCATTGCAGGCTTCAGTTTTGGATGTTATATCTGAAACCAAAGTTAATTTTAGCACAGTTGAAACATCGGTAGATATTCTTCTTTTACTTGTGGCGGATATCCTGAAAATGCCGTATGTGTCTATGTCTTTGGGACTGAATGCGCCATCGACAAATCTTTCAGGAACTACTCCTAATACAAATGTATTGCTTTCACCGGTTATGAGCACAACGGTATCTCATGCAGGCGCAACAAACATTTCATTGAAATTTTTCACGTTTGTAGCGTTGACTAAACGCACCATGCAACTCTTGGTTTTAAATTTTCAGACGCATGGCTTGACCCGCCGTAGTATATATCAATCTGGTGCGTTTGAGATGTGTCTCGATGGTTTGCACATTCCGATGCAACTCAAGTATGCTTGTCCTAGTCCAGGAGTTAAAGATTCTACACCAATTTGGAGGTGTGCGGCTACTGCTGCCATGACTATTATTGGTATCGGTATGCAGGCGTTGAATCAATATTCTAAAGGTACATGATATATTTTACAAGAAACGCTGTTTTCGCACTTTTTCTATTTATTATGCATTTACATGAAGCGTTTGATTTGAAAATGGAATCACACTGTTAAAGAATGCTACTGACTACAGTTTTTGTTACATACCACAATGATAAAATTTATGTTGTGATACCTTTACGGTTTGCGGTACACGACAGATTTGGATGCCATCAAACTAGACACTATTTACAATGCTGTCTGGTCATTATTAGGAGACTTTTTGCTTCAATCAAGCTCGCCATCTGCTTCAGTATCATCCGATGAATTGTCTGCAGACGAGGCTTTTGATGTATCTATCATTACCACAGTGGAGCAAGATATTCTACAGCATCTTTCGCAGCCACATGTTTCTGACTCACATATTCTACGACTGCTGGAGATATTGAAAAGGGGATCGCGGTTGTACGTATACCCCGCAACCACCTTTTCAGGTATTAATATGAGCATGTCGCCATTAGCTTTACCCGAGTCTGCTACCAACGATGTCTCGATAGTTTTGGATACTCCTCTTGGTGAGGATAAAGGTAAACCATCAGTTTTGACCGAGGGTTTAAATCCAGGTGCTCCTACTTTAGGGTTTGACATCAAAAGTCAAGGAAGAGAAAACTTTGCTTTTAGCTGTTTAAAAGTTTTATTTTCTCTTTGCAGTAATACTTTGTCAGGTAAGCTTAGACTAGCAATTGGTGCTTTGTTATTCTCTAGAACAAACTGAGTTAATTTCAAAAATCCTGTCATGACAAGACGCCAATACTATAGATACAGATGAAAAACGAATGCGCATTGCTGAGTTAGCTGTGCCATATCTGATTGATACCTGCAAGGAGGTGATTCAGTCCTATTGCAAAGACCGTCCACTGTATGGACAACTTCCATTACCGAGGTAAATCTTTCAAGTATAATGCCATTTGATGTATGTACTGATATGCAATTGTTAATCATACGTACACTGAATTTTGAAATAGATTACGTACTACAGAGCTTAAATTTGTATTGGAAAGTATTGGTAATCTTCAAATGTCGCCTCGAATCCTGCACAAGTATTACGAGATTGACGAATTAGGTACGTTGTTACTTCAATGTATCGTGCCTGCTGTTTCAACTGGCTGCTTATCAACTCAATTGCTTTGACGGGGTTTTATATAGATGTTGTCAAGTGGAAACTTCTTAGTGGAGAGTCTGCGCATATATTTATGCTGTATGACCAGCTTTGCGATATTCTAGGAGTTGTTTCTGGAATTTCGTTTGGAATGCCGAGTAGTCAAGCTGCTGGTAACCACATTTTGACAGAATCCGCATTAATAGATATCATCAAACGCTGTTTGAAACGTATCAGTCAAGAATTCTTGGCAGTTCCTAGAATTGCAACGTAATAGTTTAAACTGGGCTGCACCCATTATGAATTTTGAAAAGCATATGGTTTGAGCCCACGAGGTGTGTTTAAGCTGATTGATTGCAAGCCTATTACAACCGTATTCACGTAAAATAAAACACTAATTAAAGGTGTCAAAATACATAATAAACAGTCAATCTTATGGAGTAATGAGTTTTAGTTTACTGGAGAAGATTATGTCAAACTGTTTGACAACGTTGATTGGTCTTTTTCCTGGTGATTGGTATGGAAACAGATTTGCATTCCTAAACAGAGATTTGGTTTCTTGAATTAGAGCGTGAATGTATAAAATTAGGATACAACAAAGATGAGCATCATACGATGGACGCTGTGTCTATTGAAAAGGCAGTGCAGTTCATTTATAATAAGAAGCGCAACGAATATTCAATCATTTTTTATTTTGAAGCAATGACCACAATAAATACAAGTGTTTCATTCTACATGAACACAACAATATTACTATTTGATTTGAATATTTCTGTGCACTGTCATCTCAACAAACGGATCTCTAAAACCTATACTTTATTATCAAATCGTTTATTGACGCAGGCTTATACAAGCAGTATAAACCATGAAAAAATAATTGAAAGGTTTGAAAACCAATCCATTCTAGAATTGCAACATTTAGCTTTAGTCATAGAGTTGAGCAATTTGCGAGTTTTCTCCATATACATCTCTTTCCACATTGACTAGTGCAGCCATAAAACCAAGATTGGGACTCACACCTTTGCGTATCTTTCGAACCATTTCATAAGCACTTTTAAGAGTATATTTAGCTGTTGTTACCAAGTATCCAATGACTACACTAACTGAGCGTGATCGACCAGCCTTACAATGGACAAATACCACAGCTTTTGGGTTGGTGTTGATTGCATTGGCTATTGGGTTGAGATCAACAACATATAAGTGATTTATGATTAAACAACCCTATCTGTTTTTTGTTCATATAAACTTAAAGTAGGCACTTACAGATAAACTCAATTGCCTCGGCTAGAGGACCATCCATATCTTGCTCCGTGTTGTCAAGCACTGGAAGCCATTTGATACTAAATCGTGCCGACTCGACCACAGCTGGTGAATTTTTAATCTCTGCCGCCATATTTAAAATATGCGTCACCCCCAAAGCAGAAAGTTGTTCTACTGCGTTTGAGCAGAGTGGTAGCTCATCAGAGCCTAGAATAATGTTTGGAGTAACAACTGAGTATGGGTTAGATGGCGCGGCATTATCGTTGGGTGATGTCATGGGCGAATCACTTTGCTGATTTATTGTATCTTGATCAGAGTATTTTCTAAGCCGATCTGTTGAATCGTATTTTGTAGATACATCCGTCAAAGACGTGTCAACATCCATATCAGTCTCATACGATTGTATCTTGGGTAGGTCTGAACATGATTGTCCGTCAAAACCATTTTTTACAATTGGAGATGCGGGAGCTATATCTATAGCTAGATTCGACTTGTTTGGAAAAGAATTGTTTTTGCTGGAGCTGGCTAAATCCAGAGTAAGTGGGGGACGCTCTTTTTTAGTCAAAATGATTCCACTACCATTTGAACTAGCAGTTTTTGACATTGTCGACGAATTTGACAATAAAGATGACAAAGGTTCCACTTCAGGAATGCCCTTATTTTTCAATGCCAATCGTGGCTTATTTTGACTACGAGAAGCGTTGAAGTTGTTGTTGGTATCCTTTCCAATGGAAAGAGACAGTCGTTTGGAATGCACCTCCGGATGGTATGAAGCTACATCAGATATATTTGGTGTTGCTGATATATTTAAATCTTGCACCTGGCTAGACATTTGGTCGGATTTACCACATTTTAAAAAATATCGAGTTTCTGGATGGTTCAGGAAGGCGGACATACCACCAGCCATATAGGCAACTTCAATCACCACTTTGTTGGATTGATCTTCAGTTATTGTATTGTCAGCATTCTCTACTGAAAAATCGGTAGAAGCGGTAGCTGTTGAGTTTTGTGTGGGGCGGTACTTGATCAAATCAGCCGACATACTCTCTGCTAAAACACTTGCAAAAGCCCACGCCTCACTATCCGTATTTAATGTGGACATGTATTGATCATATATAATAACAACACATCGCACATTCTTGTCTCGATTGTCAAGTACTGCTTGCCGCCACTTGGCATAAATCTCGCACGAGTCATTGCTAGTTAAAAAATTGCTGAGATTAAAGTTGGATACTGCCAATCGTTTAAAGCGTTTAATTAGAAGCGCTGGAAAGCTTGCATGAACAGAGTTTTTTATGCTTATCTTTTCATTTTCTGAATGAGAGCGCATATCAATCAGTAGAGGAATAGCAGGCTGTGTCCATTCATTAGATGCATCAGGAATACAGATTTCTGGCGTAGAACTAAGCGGTTGGTTCGCGTTTGATATAGATCTAGCCTCTGCCATACGCAAACAGACAGCAAGATCGGACCAAGTAATTGTTTTCAACTTTCCGGATTCAATTAGCCGTTGTGGGTTCACACTTGTTGTTGAACTGGAATGTGCAGCCTGTTTGCTCAAACCCAAGGCACTTTGAAATCCCGAGGCAGTATTAGAAAAGGAGGTATCAGGTGCAAAGCTGCTGAAGGATGCAGATGCCGGGATATTTGGTGCAGCAGTAGAAATATCAGTAAATGATAACGTAGCAGAATCTTGAGTTTTTACTTTATGGCTTTCCAGATACGAACTGTCGATTTTACTGGCTGATTTTTGATTCACATATTGATTTTTGATTCCTTTCAACAAAAAGTTGGGTGATTCATTCATATGTACGGCATTATGTTCGGCCAATCCAGATTTTTTTTCAAACTGCGAGGCCATTGCGTTCGCGAGAAATGGTATGCCGTCAGATCGAGGCGGAGTGCCTGGAGCAGAACCAGGGGCAGAAGTAGATTTGAAAGACGCGACCGAATCTTTAGCATGTAAACCTGCTAATATACTGCCTGCCTTGGCAGTCATTTTTGACTGCGTGGATGTTGCAGTCATTGCATGCTGCTGCTGTTGTGGTAAATTACTTGGTACAGGAAACGTGCCTGATGAAACCCTAGGGATGGTGATGCCTTCTTCTTTTAGGTTGGCTATTGGAGTATCTGCATCGGGAAGTCGTTGGTGGGCAATATCTAAAGCTGGTTGGTCCCACATTGTATATCAAACCCGTTCTTAATTTTAATACTGGAATAAATTGTCTATCGACCTAGAGTTTCCAAGACAAAATAGCAGCTGTATTGACTTTAGTATCAACGTTTTACAGCCGTATTCACGTAAAATGGAACACTAAATAAGAATTCCAAAATACATAATAAACAGCTAATCTCATGAAATGATTGGCGTCACTAAATTTACTGCAGTGTTGACTAAACTTCTTGAAAAGCTTCGCAAGTCTTTCTCCATGCTCATTTTTGTTCAAAGCAACATTCACATTACAGTTTCAGTAAATTCCATGCCTTTTCAATCTCCTTTCCTACAAACTGAAGATTATGACATTAGGTGATTGGTATAAAAACAACTGTTACACTTCCGAGACATGCAATCCGTGTTCTGTTGGACTAAAACGCGAATGTCAGGGTTAGAATACAACAAAAATGAGCTTGTGCAGAGTTGTCTCGAAAACAATACAATCTAATATCTGGATTGCAATCAATAGATTTGGACTCAAACCTGGTGACTATACAATGTATGGCTATACCAATTGTGGAAAAGAAGCAAGTTCAAAACTATACTTTGTGAGCATCATATGATGAACATATTGGATTAAGAATGTATAAAAAAGCCAATTCTCAATAGGAAAATACAGCGAATACTTGGCCATTGCATATTTCCAAAGCAAAATAATCACTAAAGATGATTACAAGTTATCCAATTCCAACAGAACTTTAACCATTTGACAATTCAAGACGGCTTTGGCAGATATGGCAATTGGACATGGGTTACTCATTGGTTCTACCGTTGCAACTATTTTTGGCATACTTTGGTTCTGGATAGTTTCTTGGGACTCTACATCTATACCACAAGATCGATCCACCATCGCTAATCATCGCTTGCAAACTTGGATAGATCACATCCAGTTGGTCCCTATGGTTCTTGCTATTCTGGTTACTGTATGTTTGATGGGCTGGATCTGGATAAACCGTCGTAATTTAGGAAAGCTTCCCATAACAACATCGTCTGTATCATACGATCATGGTCGCTATGGTCGTATTCTAACTTGGGATAAATACTCGTTCTATCTGCACGGAAAGCCAACCTTGCTAATTTCTGGCGAATTTCATTACTGGCGACTGCCGGATCGAAACCGATGGAAGCCAATGCTGGAACAGTACAAAGACGCAGGATTAAACTGCATTCGTATTTACTTTCACTGGGGGTTTCATTCTCCAAGTATCTATTTTGATTTGAACTCGACCACCCATGCATTTATGAAATTTGTTTTTGAAGATCATTGACTAATACCAATCCTAATATCTATATTTATTAGACCAAAGTACATACATCTTTGACGGAAACAGAGATTTGGATTTTTTACTGTGTATCTGTGAAGATCTTGGCCTGTTTGTTTTGGCGGCTCCTGGTCCATATATTTGCGCAGAAACTCAAGGGGGCGGATTCCCGCAATGGCTCATTGCAAAAAGAAATATTTGCATTAGGCATTCGGTAGTATCAGCGTTTCGATCATACGATTCACAATTTTCAACTTACTGTGCAGAGTGGTTCAACGCCATTTTACCTATTCTTGCTCGCCATGAAATCACTACTAACCCAAGGGGGTGTGTGTTGGCGGTACAGATTGAAAACGAAAGTTTTCAGCTATTAAAAGGAATCCCGCTTGGACTGGTAGATGATATGCGACATTTGGCCAAAGTTGCTCGGCAGGCTGGTGTTACGGTCCCATTATTTACTAATGATGGATGGGAGGAAGGATCATATGTTGCACAGCAAGACAATCGCACTTCATTTGGAAAACCTACTTTTGGGATAGATCTGTACGGATTCGACAAATATGTGGTATTTTGTCCAACATCAACTCCATCTGCCACGATAACAGGATCTGTCACAAACAATCCAGAAAATTGGGTCGAGTGGTCCACATTGGATGTTACCAATGCACTAGACATGACCGAAAAAACAGTCAGAAATTTTGGTGGTGGAGCAGCGGAATCACCACTATTTATCCCAGAACTTCAAGGCGGTTGGTTTAATCACTATACTGTAAAGCACACATATGATCATGTTTACAATTACTATGGCGAGACATATACACGGTTGATTTTTGATAGTGTGTTGACCCAGGGAGTGACTGCATTCAACTTTTACATGTTTTATGGTGGTACCAACTGGGGAACTATTGGCGACCCAGATGTTTATACATCGTATGATTATTCTGCATGCATTCGCGAGTTTGGTCATTTATCTGGTCGGGGTAGACAGCTGCGACTTGCCATTTCTTTTGCTAGATGCTTCAATAATCTGATTTCCCGCACGGAAGCTAAAAAAGACTCTGTGCGATTTAGTCGTATAAATATTGAATCGTCAGTATCGGGGTTTATTGCACAACAACGACAATGTGTTGGTCCAAACTGCGAAGTGTTTGTCTTTTTTCGCAACTTCACTAGTAATCGATCTCCAACCGCCACGGTTTCGGTAACAGTTTCTGAAAACGAGCCAATTATCCTTAATGTTTCTCTGATGTATAAATGCTCATTTATCGGTTTAGGAAACTATCAAGTTGCCAACACCGGAATCCATCTTCTGTTGGCAACAGTTCCAATTTATGCACGTATTCGCCCGAATATAGATACTGAAGTATGGATTATTCAATGCGATGATAAGATAAATGGACAACTGGCGTTTTTTGGAAATGTGACTGCAAATGGAACGCTCGCTCCTCAAACTTGCCAAAGCAAGCTGGCCACAATAATTTCATTTCAAAATTCGATGGGGTGGGCACAAATAACTGTTGTGGGTTCTAGTGCTGATAGCACGATCAATCATAAATCCCTCTATATTGTTGCGCTCACAGATCGAGATCTTTACACTTTTCAGCCTCATTTCCAGGACCATCATCAAAACAGCAAACTCTTTGTCACTGATCAAAATGATATGTTGCCATTAGCAGTAACCTGGGGTTCCTACAACACTCGACTTGATTTTATCAATCGCAAAATGGATCTTGTTCAAGAAAGTAAAGACAGTGGCGTGTTTTTAATTGCATCTTTCACGCTAAAGTCTTTTGATGGATTCCATAAACTTACAAATACTGAATCATATAATGGAACGCCGTTCATTTATCAATACCTTCATTCACCTGTTATGACTCGAGAGGCGTGCACTAGTTCACCAACAACCCAATTTATAAATGCCACGACTCGTCAGGTTGATTTCAACAGTGTTCCATGGCAGTTACTTGCAACAAAACTAGGAAATTCATCAAAACCTACAAAGAATATTATTGACTATGGTTTTACTAGTGGACATACTCTTTATCGCCTGGATGTAGTGATGTATCGTATTCCGCCAAACGGGTTATCTTTGAGTCTAAATTTTCGTCATCGCGGCACTGTGTATATTAATCAAGTGTTGATTGGCGGGCATCTAACTTACTCACTTGGTGTGTTTCGTCCGGGTTCCAAAAATGGTCCTGATGTTGATTTTGGTGCATGGAGATCTTACATTATTCCACCAAAGCTCTTGGTTCTTGGTATAAACTCAATTTATGTTTTGGTGGAATCGCTTGGCATGAATCGCCAACCATTTTTATTAAATGACATTCGTAGTCCAAGGGGACTCATTGGAGCGACGTTAAATGATGCAGTATCTCATTCGTCGTATTTTTCGCAAAGTATGGCATTTATAAGTTGGATTGGTGGTGGATGCCGTGCATCACAGTATGACATCAAGTGGCATATATCGGGCATTGACGTTCAAACTCTTCAAGATCCATTCAATCACTCGGGACTGGCTGATGAGGATTTAGACCGATCCAATGTTTACTACGAATGCGAGGTAGGATCAAAAAACTGCGACAAGCTTATTTTAGCCAAACACACTGCTGGTTCATCCGAAAACCATTCCATTACTACTGGAATATTTAAATCATCCACAATCCATATGGACGGGTTGGCTTGTGTATCATGGCCGTCCTGGTTTAATGTATCATTTGATTTGTCAGTGGCAATTCAGAAACTTTTTAATAGTTTTGGAGCTCGTATACCGCTTCGAATTCACGTAAATGGACCTGGAACTGCCTATATTTATATCAACTCTGTATTTATTGCACGCTATTATGGAAATGGTGATGGACCTCAAAAGAACTTTTATATTCCAGAGGGTTTGGTAAAGCATACTGGCAACTCTATTAAAATGTTGGTGTATTCCCAAGACGCTACACCTTGCAACATTGATTGTGGTCCGACAAATTGGGTCCAGATTGAAATACGATTGTGGAAAATCGATCAACAGTCAAAGACAAGTTCGTTGGCTACATCAAGTGGAAATATAGATGAAAATGGACAAGAGTTTATACTTGAAACAACAACGCTGGATATATAACAATGCCAGTTTTTTATTTTAAAATAAAGTTATTTATATTTCTGTAAAGAGTTGGAATCAGTAGATGAGAACTTTGAGATCATTAGCAGTAATCGATAATTTTAAAGCCGTATTCATGCAAAATGAAATATTTATCTTGCAATAATTGTTCCAGAATAGTTAAATGCTGTTGCTTTTTTACTACAAATTTGTCCAGTAAATTGGCACCAATCATTTCATGAGATTGGTTTAACGAGTCTTGATATTTCATTTTGTGTGAATACGATTGTAGACAAGTCTGGACCAAACTGCTGCACAAATGCAAGGTCTGGGGTATGCGGACACTACATTACTAGAAAACAAGGTTATTGTAATACAACAGCCTGTAGCGCATGATGGTTTTCTTGAGGACATGGCTATAGATAAAATTGATTCGTGTCCACTATACTCGGATGATGACGATGATTTTGAGCAATCCAGCTTGACAGTGCCCATTCCATCTCACAATAAAGGCTTCAAGCTTCTTCTTAAAATGGGTTGGAAGCAAGGCACAGGACTTGGTATTGGTGGCTCAGGTAGGTGCATTCATACATGTAGATCTGCTGGATAACTCGAGTTTTGAAGGATTGTGTCTGCAGGTTGTTAATTCTTTTTGAGCATTATGAATTCTAAGTCAGTTGATGTGTGACTGTAGGAAGATTGGAGCCAGTTCCTATTGGAAACAAGGGAGATACACTTGGATTAGGCAAGGCAGAACAGATGCAATTACTTCACTCGGCATCCACTTCCAGACACAAAATCTCGACAACCGAAAAGATTGCGACAGAAACAGAACAAGCTAAACTGGAACGAGAGGTAATTACTGGCAATCCATTGTTATATATTGGCATAAACAATGTTGATCCGTTAATAGGATTTCATAACCAGAATCAGTATTTATATTGTTGGTCATGATTTCTTATTGTCTTATACAAGTGACAGTTCTACATATCTCAATGTTTTATCTTTGGTTAATTTCCTTGCTTGGAATATCTACAATGTTCAATTCAAATCTGGCTACAACATCTGAAATGGATCGACTGCCTGTCATCTTTCTTGCTCATACTGAATACGGTGTTTTTTGAAAGGCCAAAGTTTTAAAAATGGAGCTTATCAAGGAAGAAATAAAGACTGCACAGTCTGCATTCTATTGTGCTTTATGTGACAAACAATACACCAAGATTAGCGAGTACGAGACGCATTTGTCATCATACGATCATAATCATCGCAAGGTTTGTCAGGTTGTTTGTCATAGATCTACATGCTCGATAATTTAACACTCGAATTCTTCAATTTAGCGATTCAAGGAGATGCAGGAATTATCGAAACGGAGTGGATTGCTTGGACAGCGCAAGACTAACAAAGAGGACAAAGAATCTATACGAGAACAAAGGGAAGTCAATCGACTACAACAAGCAATGATGCATCGAGCCGAATCCAACCCTTTAAAGCCAATACCTTGTGTGGACATGGATGCGAATCAGCCATGCGACTCAAAAAATAATATTATTCTTGATTCTAATCAGCATCAAGACACTGAACCTGTACAAAACCAATCCAAAAAACCAATAGCGTTTGGATTTGGTTCTAAAAAACCAGTTGGTAGTATCAAATTTTCACTCAATAAAAAATAGTTTATTCTAAACAGAGATTTGAATGCATTCAAAATGTGTTTAAAATATATTATCTGGAGTGAATTGCATCGACCTGCAGCACTAACCGACTGTGATTTGAATGAAATATAAATTTCAAGGCTTTGCCATCTATCCAAGCCTTCCAGATTGCCGATTTCGAGCCAACTCCAGTATTGAATTGGGTTGTATTTTGTATAATCAACATCACATTCAGTCCAGCTTTATAACCAGATTCACTAGACTGCGACAATGTCATTGCTTGCTACACCCGATACGACGCATCATCCTGCATCCCCTTTGATAGGCACTCCTGTTAGAGATAGCGCAAGTTCCAGCCCACGACCTTCTCAGCCTTCGCGAAAAGGCCGTCGTGACTTGCTAAAGGACTATTATGGTTTAGCTGAAAGTACAGTAACAGAAAAGAGTGCTGCGGTCTCCAGCACTACTAGTGCCCAGATTCAGAGTGATGCAACCTCGCCCATGTCTGTTGCTACAGAGTTGTTTCCAAAGAGAGCAGACCCAATTGATAATGGTATGTGAAATGGACTCGAAGTGTACGATCCAACACCAAGTTTAGCATGAAATAGTCAATGTTTGAAATCCACATTGCTATGAATCATCCATATCGAATGGAATATATAATATGTCGATAAATGCTATCCAGTACCAACATGTTTATTATGCCAACTCACTGCTATAGATTCCGAGGCTTACCATCCTGAGCTTGCATTAAACAAAATGCTCAAGGAAATGACGCTTCCAGAACTCATTAAAAAAGACAACCAGCTTGTGTCGGGTGAGTGGATCTGATTCAATAATGTACCTCTGGAAAAACTCGAATGGTTGTCTACTCTTCAAATCCAACAATGAAAACTCGTTTCGTGCTTAAATCTTGTATATTTGTCTAGAAATCAAGGACCTAGATGGAAGTATGAAAACCCTTGTATATGAAAATTATAGCAAATTTATTTCGGCCACAGATACTATTCGAAAGGTGAGTTTAATAAATGTGGTGATGTCTGTTTCCATTGCTGGCTCGAATCTACAAAGCTCTAGTAGTCTTGTATCGTGTTTTATTCATACGATATACCCAAATAGTTTAATTGGTTGACTGTACTAAACATTCTTGTTTACTTGAAAAGATGAAAGTCAATGCCGAAGAAATGGAAACACAGATCTCACTGTTGGAAAAAAGAATTGGTGCAATCACTGGATCCGCCGAAAATATTCATGCTACATTGGCACCACAAAGAGCCAAGATCCATCAACTAAGCGGAGTTCATAATCTGATTAAAAAGGTGTGTGATGATAAAATTGGTTTGTATCTTTTGACCGAGTTTATTAACAATAACCATGCTTTCTAATTTAAATGCAAATACGATGTTGATTCAACTCTTTGAATAGCTCAACTTTTTATTCGAGTTGCCAAATAAGTTGACTGAGTGTGTTAAAGCGAAACAATATTCTCAAGCAGTAGCTTACTATGCTAAAACAGGAAGACTCTTGACTCACTATAAGCACATGCAGATCTTTAGACAGATAGAAGAGGAATGCGCATTGATTATAGCTGATGTTGGACGTCGTGTCCGTGAAAAGTTTGAAGCCGACAAGGTAATTACTTTGGTGCTTGATTATATCTGAATGACCCATGATTCCATTTGCGACGGATGGATTGCCAGTATACTTTTGTGGATGAGTTGATTGATCGATACTAATTATATATTATTATTAGGCTAGTATACATCAAATAACAGAGAATGTTGGACTAATGATTGGATTGGGGTCGTCATTACCGCTGGACTTGGCCAAGGAATACATCTCAAGGTAGTTTGAACTGATCTTGTTTAAATTTGGCTTTGATTTTTCATTATTATATTGTTAAGCATGTTTATTACTATCAAAATCTTAGAGTATCTATTCAATTCAATAAGAAATTCAAGTTGGAATCTGCTCCTCTGATTGAACTTTCCAACTCCCAAATGGGACATGCATTGCCAACTGCTCGAACCACTTTGCAGGTCTCTGAATCTGCTTTGTCAAATCAGCCATCATCAGAAACCAATATTACAATTGGTCTCATCTCCAAGTTCAACACATGGTTTCTTGGTGAACTTTGTATATTTGTAGATAGCTTTGATGTTTATTTTCTGCGTCAGTATGAAACACCAGCAAATTTTCCTTTATCTAGTCAAACTAGAGATTCGTTAAATATTCGACAATCTGTATTAGCAGATAGTCGATCAGCGCCAATCAATGACCAATCAACTGCTTTGCTTAAAGCAAGTTTAAATATGGCTCAGATGTCTCAAGAAGACCGAGAAGAGGCTCGAAGGTTGCTTTTTCTTTTTATCGAGCAGACACAAAGCGCATATTTTAGTTTGGTTGAAACTCTATTGCAGCTTCCAAACGATATTTCGCGCGCATTGCCAACATTGTATGTTGAGATTCTTGCTACAATTCGCACTGACATTACCAAAATAGAGGCTATTAGTGAGCCTTCTTTAGCATTGCCTTTTGGAGCTGATGGACTCAAATCAACTCGAGTACTATCCTCATTATCAGCTAGTATGAACTCACGATTGGATGAAATGTCTATTTTTATTCTAAACAAAATCATTTTTGGAGTTTTTGGAAAAGTCAGGCAGGAGTTTTCTGGTACGTAACTTTTGATTTCAATCGTGGCTTTATTGTCAGTTAAAGCCTAAAGATTTTGTCAGTGCACTTGAATGGCTTTTAACTGCTATGTTTGAAATGTAAATTTGATGCACAATTAGTCCGATGGAAAGAGGTTCAGATTACTTCTCAAGTAGATGTTTTTACTACTGTGCGTTATATCACCAGCTGGATAAAGGAAACTTTGATTGCGCACGCATTGCCTATTTTGGAAAACTTTATTTTTCCAGAACCATCTCAGCAAGTTGGAAGCAAAGTGGATGTAATTGCCAAACAAATTCGAGATACCCTCCTGGTGTTTTGGACAGATTTAGGAAACGACATGCTTCGGGAAACTTCAGCCGATCTACGGTTTTCTGCAGAGCATGATGCCACTGTAGTGCCGTTATCAACGCTACAAACTTCAAAAACTGTTACTGAACCTATGCGTATTCTGATTTTATCAAGACTGGCATTGGAATGGTCAAAGGGATCGATTGAGTCTGTATTCTCTATGTATGCTGAAAGAATACTAATGGCTGGATCGCCGCACGATGTTGCGAATGATCGTAGTGGAGCATCGAGTCCATCCAAATCTTCTGTTCGTTCTCAAAAAAGTGATGTTAGCTCACCTACAATTACTTTAGATCAAGATCTTATGTCCAAAGCACATGAGATTGCTAGCACATATCGCCGCACCTCTCAGAGCCTACTACTGCGATATGTGCAGATTCATGTATGCGGTATCACAAACAGAATCAAAAAATACATGGACGATCTTTTACGTGGGGCTGTCGATGTTCCAATTCGCAGTGTTTCAAAGATATGGCTTGAGTTATCGATCGAGCTTCAAAACATTCAACGCGATGTTAAAAGCAGCATAGATGAAGAGTCTACAGGCGACTCGCGACGACGATCATGTAAGAATGGAATATATTTGTTTAATGGGGACTTTGGACGCTTTTTACTGATGACTGATTTTTTATAATTGTATTATTTTTGACACTTTAATTTTGTGGGTTACTGTGATTGAACCTATACCACCGCAACTTTACAGTGGAGACAACTAAAAGAGCTCGAACCAATTTTCCTGGGTTGAGAAATTCTGGATCTGCAATGATTTCCAATGGAGGATCATCAGCCAATACGTTAGCAAGTAGTGGTGGAAGCAATATCAGTCTTGGTATTTCTGGTCGGCCTACTGCCACATTACGATATGCTTCATCTATGGCTTCTACAGGCAGCACCAATGGTGCATATGGATTAGGATCTGGAGGAAATGGAAATAACTTAACACGCCCAACTACAATAGTACGGCATGCACCTTTTGCACAATTTTCTGCTGCTAGCAATGTGCCTGCTCGTACCCCAGAGCGATTTGAATCCTTGTTAAACGACATAGACAAGTTATTTGAAGAGCGCGTTGAGTATTTGCCATCTGTTATTGAGTTTAGTCGCAGCGCAGTGATGAGCGCTCTCGCTAAAATGATAATCAAGGTAGATTTTCTAAATGATTATATTTTATCTGCTGAAATTTGATTTGGTTTCAATCTGTGATGCACATCCAACTACCTTTTCATGTCATTTTGGAGTTGAGACGTGTTTATTTAATACATGGTTTTATATCATAGTGTCTAACTGAGCAAGTGAGGGTATCTGTTTTGCCCGGACCAGCATTTCAACAGATTCAAGTGGATGTTGCCTATTTACGCACTCAATACTGGTGTCATATCAAAGATGAGCGTCTGCTGACATCATTACTAGATACCTGTATTCATAATGCATCACAGCGATGTCTTGATCCAATTGTATTAGACTCTTTGGTATGTTTGTCCTATATGATTTGTGACAATGGGTGCTGTTGATTATAGTAGCTAATTTTTGTACACTTTGTACAGGTTATTGACAAGGTCATTAGTCTTTTCATTAAATAAATGGAGTGAATTATTGAATATTTTAATATCCAGCTGCTAGATTTGGTAGATCATATATCAAACTGTAATAATTTGACAGGTAGACATTCACCACAGCATATCTAAGCCAATGTTGATGGTTTGTAAGGCGTGTGCAGTATCCTGGCCGAACGCCAATTCTAGCAATATCAAAACACTTGATTATTTTCTTTTACTCTTGTTTTATCATTGAGTTTTATCTAAATACGACTGGTAGCTAAAATCACAAAATAAATAAAAGTGTTGATACTAGTTTATTGTAATTACAGCCGTATTCGCGTAAAATGAATCACTAAAGATATCGATCTCATGAAATGGTGAGTATCAGTATACTGGTCAAGATTGTGTTCTTTGAACTCTATAATTGGATAATATTTTTTCGGTGATTGGCATGGAAACAACAGTTGCATTCCCGATACTTCAATCCGTGTTCTCTTGAACTGGAGTGCAAACAAATGGGTTTTTAGGATACAACAAAGTGGAGTCTATAGAGTCTGAAAATACAACTCAATATTTGGATTGCAATGTATGGATCTAGTTTCGAATTTAGCGATTGTAGAATGTGTGGTTATGCTAAATCAGGAGAAAGAATCATTTGAGCATCGTATGATGGTCGCTGTGCACAAGGAATATTTGATCATTGTATATTCCAAAGCAAAACCAATACAAGTGTTTTTTTACGTGAATACAGCTGCAATGTTTGAATAGATGATTGAATTACACGTAGAGCAAGCTCGAGTCTACCATAAAGCAGTGATGATATGACTTGCAATGACAACATCTGGCATGCTTGTCAATTAAATTGGATTTGGTTTGCCTACAACTACTTGATATTGAGATAGGGGTGGAACCCAAAGGCGCCATCTAAATCTAGTGTCCGATTCTTACATCCACACCTGTTTAGCTAGTTGGACGATGTGTCCAAATTTCCCCACACGCGATGAGCAGCCACGCTTCAACTCCACCCCATGTGTGCATCCATCCTATTTATTAGCGTTAATGCCACTCCATGAAAAGTTTTTGGATCAATATTTTTAGTCAAGTAACAGTTTTCTTTGGGGTTACACATCATCTAGTGCAAGAGCATCTCGTACTATTAGAGCCAGTATTCGGGTACCTGGGATACTTTCACACCTGATTCAAAGCGACCAACAAGCTCAGTTGAATCTATTACGCTGATAAAGTATCTTGTTAGTAACTTGAAACCGATTGCAATGAGTGAAAGCGATTGGAGCGTGCAACCTAGTTTGAGCACAACTCACTCACAGCCTCCAAAACAGCAACTCCAGCTCAAAAGTCTGCAACATGATTTGGATCAAGACAAAGTAAAGCATCATCAGCCACAACATCAGTTTCTCCATCCAGCCATGGCCAATCCCAATACTTTGCTGCAATCTCCAGTATCCCCAAATCCTGTCTACCCTAATTCGGGAACATCTGGAAATTCGAATTCGAGTGCTCCACTTTCAGCTGGACCATCGCCACGAGTTTCTTCAAAAAATACTGATTTTCTCCATCAAGTGGACGCTAGCAACAATCAGCACCACATTGAACTTGAAAAACTATTTTCAGATACCTTTCATTCCGCCCATGTTGGACAGAGCGATGGCAATACTACCGACGCGACATTTACATCGACATTACTCACTCCACCATTATCGGCTCTTCAGCACGATACTATTCCAAAAAGCCTACTAAGTTATCTTAATATTCCTGTTTTTTCAAACACAGATCACAGCGGATCATCAAAGCCTCCCACTTCTGGACTGATGCTGTCTAATTCATATCAGCATCCAATTTTATCGGCCATTTCTATTACAAGTCCAGATCCAATGATGTTTCAAGCAGCTTCCAATGATGGCTATTTTGATCAGATCCTTGCTCATCACACTACAAAAGGGTCAGATTCAAACCCAATTTCCTTTGCATTTAAAGATCAACAGCCAGTGATGGAGCTACTAGATGACCCAATATATATGCATATGATGCAAAATGTTAATCCAACAGAAGTAGGAATAGGCGCTTTAGGAATGCATACAAACACAGACATTCTCTCACAACTAAATAATGACACGTTTCTCCGAGATTTGGAACACGCTACAATGCATGCTCAAGGACAAGACTCTATGCATAATTTGGTGCTTTCTGATATGCCTGGTGGACCCATGTCAGGAAGCTCTGATACTCAATTGCAACTCATGACTATAGGCCTTCCAAACCATCATATGCCAAAAAGTGCACCTCTTCCCCAGTACTCTGGCGCGCCTTTAGTTTCTCCTAAAATGATGTTTCATACATCTGGCATGGATGTATTTGCACCCCACTCTTTTATGCATCATGGTACACCGTCCATGCCATCCATTTCTTTACCACTTGGTAATTTCAACATGCCATCTTTAAATGATGACCCATACACACATGACATGAAGCATCAACAGGATTTAGGCAACATGCCTATTGCATCATCAAGCCATCATCAGAATACTCAAAACACCGCTTCAAACAGATCTCCCAAAGTTTCTCATAAAAAACCCAAGCAACACGAAATGTTTTTGTTGAAACAGACTTTAAATATACCTGACCAAATCATTGCATCTGGAACTAATGAAACCAATCATATCCAGCCAAAAACACAGAATCATTTAACAGTAGATGAACCACAGCGTGGAAAGTCTGGACCATTTATATGCACGCATCCTGGATGCAACAAGATATTTCCGTCAAACATCAAGCTTCGATCTCATGCTAAATCACATCGACCTAGAACATTTCGATGCGATTCATGTCACGCTTGCTTTAATCGTGTTCATGATTTAAAACGACATCAGCAAAGCGTTCATTCTGTTCACCGACCTTTCCAATGTTTGCGTTGTTGCAAAACATTTTCGCGATTGGTGAGTTGATAAAATGAGATTTTGGTTTATATACGTTTGCGCTAGTGTAACAGTGCGTCAATATCCTAATACCTTGCAAGTGAACCAGTGCTAACATGTATGATACTTTTTAATACAATTGCACTTGTAGGACGCGCTAAAAAGACATACAACACGAACTACAAGCTCTTGCTATGACGCACCTATTCAAATGGATGGAGAGCATGCAGCAGTACTTGAAGCTGCCATCTCTCAGCTGGCAAGTATTGGAGGTATGCAATTTCCAAACGTGGGAAGTAATGGTGTGATGAACGCTATGGATGCCATGACTGCAATCGATGCCATGGGTGGTACAGGTGTATTTGATTTGTCTACATCTGGCACGGCTCGAAATTCATCTATATTAAATTAGCGGCTATAACCAATGCTTTTGAGTTATTTCTTTTTATATTAGAATGATAAGCAACAGTCATAATTAAATATATCTTTGCATTTATTCACATAAAATAGAACACTAAATAGGTGTCAAAATACATGATAGTCTCATGTTTGATGGGTGCCAATACTATTGGACAACATTGTGTCCTTTTGAATTATTGTTTAGAAACGGTTTTTGGCTTTATCATTCAAGCATGTCCTTTTACGTATGAATATCTACTTTCTATAATATATTGTCATGAAATCACATCAAGCATTAATTTATGGTTTATCAACCTTGTAGTCATCAGCACTTGGACAATGAGATGCTGCAAGTGTACTTGTGGACTTTTACCCAACGCAAATGTCTCGACCAACAATGTCAATGACCTTGAAAACAATACTACTTACAAAACCCAACATTTGTAAGTGACAGACAGATCATCACAAGGAAATGTATTCAGGCTTTATTGGCAATATTCAAACAAATATCTGGATTGTAATGAGCGAATTTGATGATCGTACAGTGTATGGCTATGCAAAGGTAAAACTGCAAGATCTAAATACAGCAGTTCAACAAATGATGTGAGGACTGAGACACTATATTGTCGATTCTTGAACTCTGCAGAGAATGATTCAAGTATAATAAAGAATGAGGTTGTTCGCTGAGCAATTCCAACACCAAAAAACTGAGAATATTTATTAAAGCAATCAATTTGTGGTAAGAAAGCAACGGACATTTAACCATTGTTTATTTGAAGCAAAATAGAGGAAATCACTGCATGATAAATATATGAAATGTTCCATTTTATGTGGATATGGCTGTAATTCGAGTTGATTGCTGCGATGTTTTTAAAAGACTAACCATTTAATGCATAAACAGGTGCATCTTCTTCAACATCCACAAGGCCTAGTCCTTTCAAAGCATCGACTGTACTTACAGGAATCTCTACAGTTTATCAATGACAGCGGCATCCATGTTACAGAGTCAAATGTGATAAGATGACAAATAAGCATCAGCAACATCGTTGTGATATAGAATAAACTTGAGAAAAGTAGAGATGCGAATTATATTTACCAACTTTGATAATACCAGGAAGAGAGTCATATGTAGTTAAAACAACACCAGCTACGCTGTGGACAAACTCAACGACAGTGTTCAAGCCATCCTGGCCGACACCATCCTTTAAGCTGAGCAAGTAAGTTTTATAATCAAGAGATGAAGTGTATGCCTGTGCAGTGACCAAAGGGCTGATTAAGGCCAATCCAGCAAGTACAGCCAGCAGTAGACAAACAAGACGGTTGGTGGCAGAATAGAGATGCATATCAGCAAGACTAATTAGTGAATTGGAAAGTTTGTTGTATTGACGCAAAATGGAACATCAAGGGCGTATAATAAACAGCCAATTTTATGAAATAATTGGGCAGTATTATTGGTAAAGTTGAACAGTCTTTCTCCTGGTGATCAACATGTATGGCTGCATTTCCTGAAATGTGCAATCTTTATTTCAAAGAGACAGTCAATGCAGGACAAGTCCAACTCTACTCTACATGAACATGACTGTAGATTCTAGTCAAGTAAAATCACATGACATTCACGTGATTAGTTGTGTTACTTTCAGTTTTTGCCAACCAGAAACCGTTTTCAGAATCTTTTGCTGCCAATTCGTTTTTCCCTCACATTATCTGGTGCGTGTTCTGCTGTTTGCACATGAGCCGAGTTTGCTTTGATGGATGTGCTGACCTATTCTTGATGATCTTTTATTATTTTCGACTCTCAGCAACCAGCAGCAATCATGGCAGATACTCTTGTTCTTCGTGGAACACTTAAAGGTATGTGCTGCTTAATGAATCTAAAATCAAGTTTGTTGCTAATCTTCTTATAACTTTGTCTGACTATCTAATCACAACAGGCCACACTAATTGGGTTACTGCCATTGCAACTTCTCCCGAGTCTCCCGACACCATTCTCTCGGCCTCTCGTGGTATGTGTTCCTTTAACTCTGGATCAAAGAATTGAATTTGCAACTGCTGTTCAAGTTGTGAAGAATTCACATGAATGTCTTGTACAGCTAGGCGGGCCCAAGAGATAGAGTGCATCCATCCATCACGCATACATGTGTCAGACACTCATGCATGATGGATGGATGGATGTCTAGTCATGCATGAACATGCATATTTCTTGATTTGCCAGCTTTCCTTAATCTTGATGCAACAGCACTGCAGTTATTGGACTTTTCAACTGATCCTTACTGACTTGGATCCAGTTTTTTGTCAAACTCCATTTATATTCAAGTTGTTTGATTACTAAAACTTTGCTTTTATCTGGGCATTGATTATATCGATCTCACGGATTGTTGATGCTGCACCATAGACAAGACTGTTATTGTCTGGCGCTTGACTCGTGATGACTCCAACTACGGTGTTCCTTACCGCTCGCTCACTGGACACAACCACTTTGTATCTGATGTTGTGATTTCATCTGACGGCCAATTTGCTTTGTCTGCCTCATGGGGTGAGTTGGAGTATGCTAGTTTGTTTCAAAACTGTTTGTTTAAAAGGCTCATGGTAAATTCCGTGTATAGATAAGACTCTCCGTCTGTGGGATCTGAGCACTGGAAAGACCACTCGCCAGTTTGTTGGCCACACCAACGACGTTCTTTCAGTTTCATTCTCTCCTGACAATCGTCAGATTGTTTCTGGATCGCGTGACAAGTCCATCAAGCTGTGGAACACTCTTGGTGAGTGCAAGTACAACATCATTGAGGATGGTCACTCTGAGTGGGTCTCTTGCGTCAAATTCTCTCCCAATCCCTTGAACCCTGTTATTGTTTCCTCTGGATGGGACAAACTTGTCAAGGTAATACGATGGTTGTTGGAGATTTGTTGAATAGTAGTGTTTGTAGATGATTATTACCATATTTGCTACTTCAGAGGCATTACGCCAATGAGACTAAACTCACCCATAGAAAATGATACACCATTACTATTGTACCTGCTTATTTGATTGATTTTTGCAGATTATTTTGCTAATCAGATTGTACTTGACCGTGACTGTATGATTAGGTCTGGGATCTTAGCAAGGGAAAACTCAAGACAAACCACTACGGTCACACTGGCTATATTAACACTATTACAATTTCTCCTGATGGATCACTTTGTGCCTCGGGTGGTAAGGATGGTGTGACTATGCTGTGGGATCTTAACGATGGTAAACACTTGTACTCTCTCGAGGCTGGTGATATCATTAGCGCACTTGTGTTCTCTCCCAACCGATACTGGCTCTGTGCTGCCAGTGGCAGTGGTATTAAAATCTGGGATCTTGAGAGCAAGTCTGTTGTTGCTGATCTTAAGCCCGACTTTGCCCCTCAAGGCAAGAAGAGCACTGTTCCTCAATGCATCTCTCTTGCCTGGTCAGCCGATGGCCAGACTCTCTTTTCTGGACACACTGACAATGTCATTCGTGTGTGGCAAGTCACCCGCGCATAAACATCATGCAGTTTGGATTCTTGAAATGAACAGGTGTTTTTAGCATGAATAGCAATTGAATATTTATTTCATGAATGAGAATTTGGAGAGTTTGGACGTGAAGTTTTTTGGGTTTTTCTTTCTTTAGAAATCCTCTACAAAAGCAACATGTTTTGTGCAAGTGAGTTATGACAGACTGTCTGTATGAACAGCACAAGGATTCTCTTGAAATGAGATTTTGTTCCTTTTTCTGACTACGATTCTGCATTGAACCGACTTTAGTTTCTGGTGAAGCTCCGCGAGAGCCAGTAGTGTCCATCAAATCAGGTCTGCTGTTTGAAAAGAGTCTTATTTTAAAGCATATTGCAGACTGTGGTACTGATCCTGAAAACAACGAGCCTTTGACAGTCGATGATTTAATCTCTGTCAAGTCTGGTACGTTCTAGTGTTTGGATGTAATCATAATAACTGCTCAATCTAGAATTCCATGTTCAAGTATTGGTCTCGACCTACAGATCACTTGTTGAGTTTATAGTCCATACTCTGCTTTTGTATAACTTTTGTATTCCTAATCTGTACACTCAAATAGCTAGCAAGGTAATCAAACCAAGACCTCCTGTTGCCACATCTATCCCAACATTACTGCTTACTCTTCAAAACGAATGGGACTCGGTCATGCTCGAGACTCATCAGCTGAAACAGCACTACCACTCCACTCGTCTTGAGCTGGCAAATGCTCTATACGAATACGATGCTGCTAAACGTGTTATTGCCCGCTTGATCAAGGAAAGAGACGATGCTCGATCTACTCTCTCCCAGTTCAAAGCTAGTCATGGCACTTCTCAGTCAAACGGACATGCTGTTGCTTCCGATAATACTACTGCAGATGTAGACATGGCTCCTGTTACCGAATCTGCTTTACCTGAAGCTATGGTTCAAACAATCAACAAGACATCTGAAGAGTATGTATTATATACTACAAATTCCAAGATGTATTGGGTCGACTTTGTTGTCACACTGTCCAGTAAATACAGTGTGAATTATCCTATTTGGCATTTCATTTACATGAATACAACTGTAATGCTCTAAACTGCTACAATAGATTGCATAAATCGTTCAATGATATTCCATATATACTGGCCTTTTATTGACTTTATTTTCCATTTCTGATCTATTTTCACTCGGCAGACTGTCCCAAACTCGACGGAAGCGCAAAGCACCCGAAACTCTGGCTACAATCGAAGAGATTGCTTCCATGACTGAGATTGCTGAAAATACCTCTATACACACTGCTAAAGAGCCCACCAGTCTTTCTCTCGATTTGTTTACCGCTGATATTGACGGAAACAGTATTTCTTGGGCACTTTTGGCTGGAAAGGACGGCTCAGTGTATATCCTTGATGCTTCTAACAAGTGCGAATCGGAAATTTCACATGCTAAAGCTCACTCCAAACCAGTGACCTGCGCTGTATGGAGAGGTGCTTCTAAAAAGTCCTTTATCACCACGAGTTTTGATCATACAGTTAAACTATGGAATGTCGACCGTGTCAAAAACAGCTACAAGATTAAAAGCGCTATTGTGTTTGATGCACATAAAGATCGGGCTACTATGGTATCGGTTCATCCATCCGGAGAATTTGCTATTTCTGTAGGAATGGATTCCATCTGGGCTATTTTAGATCTAGATAGTGGCAAGATTGTTGCCTCTGTGTCCCATCCCGAAATTACTTCTGGTAAGTTATTCAAATAGGGTCTGAATTACAACTGCTGTTATGTTAATAGACTATAATACCTGCTTAAACTTTGTTATTTGCTTGATCTGTATAGGTTACACTACTGTCCAGTTTCATCCTGATGGATTTCTTCTTGGAACTGGAACAAATGACTCACTGATTCATCTTTGGGATACAAAGACGCTTACAAAGGCACACACATTCACTGGACATTTAGATGGCACTATTACTAGCATTGCCTTTTCTGAAAACGGATATTATCTTGCTTCAACCTCGGACAAGGAAACATGTGTGCGTTTTTGGGATCTTCGCAAACTAACAAACTTTTACACTTTGGAGTTGGGTCCTATTGAGGGTGTAACTGGTATAGCTCGTGTTCGCTTTGACCATAGCGGACAGTATGTTGGCATCTGTGTTGGCAATGAGCTCAGGTAATTTGATACTAATTTATGCATGCCATCACAAAAATTCAACCAAACTTTGCTTTTATCTTGTCTTGAATGCAATGTGAATTTCAAATGTTTGTGCTTTACCCACCATACACTAACTTTTTGCATTTGCTTTTTTATACTCATGGCTCTGTTGCTGATCAATGCTCTGTTTGAACTGCTATTTAGAATTCATCTTGTAAAGAAATGGGATCATGTAGCTACATTTACAAACAATGGTGCGTCACTAACCGACTTTGCCTTTGGCGTGGATGCAAAATATGTGGTAATGGTTGGACAAGAGCGAAAATTGAGCTTCTTTTCAAATGCAGAATAAATCGTCACTGATTAATATGGATTACCAAATGAAACTTTATCAGTTTGATATTTTACTACTTTTTACAAATATGGCGTTGATTGCTTTGATGTGTGGTATATATATTGAATGTAATGCTCAATTATATCCACACTCGTACTTGCTAGACTAACCACATGTCAAGGTATCAAGTAGATTGCTTTATGGATTTAAAAACAAGCTTTTTACAACCCGACTTTGATCATAGAATGTGCTTTTGGACAATAAAAATGCTGCGAATTTGTACTACAATTCGACTTTATCTTGCATTGCAAGAATACTTTTTAATTCACATTATCCATATGGCGTCTTCACAACTAAAATTATCTTCTGGGGATGCGTCTACGCTAAACCAGCCAGCAACAGCGCAAACTTTTTCAGAGCCTGGCACTCGAAACTCTACTACTTTTGGTGCTATGACCACTGGTACAAACCAAGTTTCTACGCCAGGCTCAAACGCGACGCAACTATTGATGAACGAGAATGGTGGGAATAGCCAGTTTATGTTATTTGATAATAAAAGGCCAAACTACCTGGATGTATTAAAAGAAAAACTTGAAAAGGCAAACAAGGTGAGTCAATTGGTTGCTTTTCAATATTCAGTCGGCTCTTTTTACAATGGCTTGGCAAATTCACGATACTTGTAAACGTAGACTTGTGTAGCCTATTGTTTTAAAAATCCTGCTGTATAATTAATCATGCAAACAACAATTGCAGTGACTAATGACTATGTTTTTAATCGGTAGACATCTATGATATACACTGTGATCATTACAGGCGAACTGGCCAAAAAATTGGATCGTGTAGAATTTTCATGTAAGTGTTTAGCATCTTGAAGCATATAACTAAAAAATAAATTGCAATCTATATTTAAAGATGGTCGTGTCCAACTTGCTACTTTTAAGCCATGTTTCTCTAAATTATACATGCTGGCTCTTACAAATGGATCAGCACTTATACTTGTAAATCTTTAAATGCATAGCGTATTATCAAAAGTTTTTTAAGCGACAGCAGTCGGAGAATGAGCTGATTACTGGAGTGCTGCTCATCTATCGCGAATCGTTTGCTCACGTTCTCGAGGTATGTGTCAATGGTAGTGATATCTATGTTTTCTAATTTAGTGATGACCCTACACTGTGATATTCTTATAGGCCAGTCAAAAAGTGGTGTATGCTTTTCTTCGAGACATTGGCAGTCAACCCACATTTGTGCCCAGAACTGACTTTACTGGCCTTAATACGGACTCGAAACCCCAAGCAGAAGATGTTAATATCGCAATGATGGTTAATACAAAAGTATTGTTGCTTTCAGACAATACATCGGAAAGATCGTATCCCTTTTGGGCTAGTAAAGTGATTGATAGCAAAGAGGATTCGCTTGAAGTAGATCCTTCCTTGTTTGCTGATGATGCCTTTCTAGACAAGATTGTAAGCCATTGAATTGACCGAGTTTATACTCGTATTGCGTGTTGAATGGCAAACTCAAGCTTGAATCCATTACATGTTTTTGGAATTCGCATCAATAGATCTCGGATACCTGCATCGGACTACTTTCAGTAGGCACTCAGCTTTCTAGTTTAAACAAGGTAAATTGAGTTTGATCCTGTTCAAATAGTATTGCAGTTGGATTGACCATTTATGTCATGTTCTGATATATGATTAGAGTGAGCTCAAACATGCGTTTGAAGAAATCAGCGAAAGATTCAAGGATTACTTGCCACATCAGAATATTTTGAATGCCATTACTGGCTGCTCAAATATCATTTCAGTAGATGGATGGCTCAAGGCATTTGATAGTCCCATGCAGTTGACTTTTGAAAGTGGTAAGTATGGCCAGTCAAATCTGCACCAGATTCGATTTGATCCTACATATTGGATTGTAAATAGTAGTTGGCTAATCTAGAAACTGAACAACTGTTTAATAATTAGAAATTGTATGGCCCGCACCCAAAGCACTTGTTTTTTACAGCCATATTCACGTAAAATGAAGCACTAATAAACGACCAGTCTTGTGGAATGATGGATCAGTTTACTGGATAGCATTGTTTTTTGAACTTGTAGCTGTATCGACCACATCAAAACAGCTGAATTCAATCCATGAATCTGGAGTCGAGTTTGAAGATTCTACAATGTACAACTACCAAGAGGACATGGAACAAGTTCAAACTATACTTTGTAAGCATCATATGATGCTTACACATTGAGCCGAGAATGTTTATTGAAACAGTCCATCAAAAACCACAACGAATATCCAGCCAGTTTATTCCAAAGCAAAATAGAAACTCCAAGATGAATACAATTGCATATCTTGCAAAGAGCCATGACAGACACAAGCATGACAACAAGCTTCAGTGTTCATGGCAACTGCACCCGTTTTACTGTGTAGATTAACAGCCATAAACAGTAAATTAGAACATCCAAATGACTTGAACATTAACAACTCTAGTTGAACACGTGGAGAATACCATTGATTCACTGGCAAATAATGTTATTTTGAGTTTTCAGATATTTACCGGAGTAACTCGACCTTCAAATTACTACTTGAATATTCGTTTCCATCAGATATAGCCATTAAAAACTTGCAATTGAAATCGCCTTTTTGAAACAATGCAGTCTAAACTTGAAGCTGACAAGAATGATTTGATGGAATCCAACATTGACTGGGCCATGGTCAATGGATTGATGATTCACCCGATTGACAAGAATAGCGGCGTTGCTTGTCCAATTCACATCCCCTTTGCATTGGTGCCTTCGCCATATCCACTCGAATCCTATCAATTGGCATATGAATTACAGCCTCTTGCCAACCTACTTGTCGACCAAGTCGCCAATGACAAGACTTTTATGGATAGTGTTTTTCAAGAGTATGTGATGGCCACATTCTATCCTGTTTAAAATTCAACGAGTTTCAAGATCCAATTAGGTCGATTAAATCTTGTTAATAATCTGAATGGTTTTTCACTTATTAGAGTTGCAAAAGTAGACGATTTTACCAAACGACTATACCAAGTGTATCTGGAAACGCTGCGCCAACCACATCATCAAACCATTAAACTCGGTATTCATCGCTCAGATTATTTACTACATATTGCGGCTGATGGTGTACCAAAGTTGCGACAGATTGAAATCAATACCATCTCTGCAGGACTACCCTCGCTTTCTTCTCTTGCTTCTCGACTTCACCGGTATGTTTTGTTTTATACCCAACGCTTACTATTTAGCAAAACCATTGCCAAGTCTGATTCTATTATACCAATGACTAAGCGTGTTTTTGATCGCATTATCAAACATTCATGGGTTGCTCATTAACGGTTTGATTCTTTAAAATTATACACCATCTATGGCCATTCATTTTTACAATACTACAGATTCAATCTTGATAGTCCTCTGCTCCCAGCAAAACTTCAGTTGGAGAAGTTTCCAAATGCAACCCTTCCAATGTCTGAATCGCTTTCTGGAGTGGCAAATGGTATCGGAGAGGCGTGGAAACTCTATAATCGTCCAAAGTAAGCCAAAAGTCCATGCAATAGGTTTAAAACACTAGACGATATTATTTCTAAAGCTGGTTTCTAGTTCAATTGTAGTCATGCTGGTACAACCAAACGAATTCAATATTTTTGATCAGAGATGGATCGAGTACACATTAAGAAACAAGTATGTGGTTTTATTTGATCATCATACTGCTTTGTAAACTATTTCTACTTTGGCCTACTAGCCATATTGATATCTACTTTGACTTGATTAAACATTGAATCAATCAACGATACTTTTAGTTATGGTGTTCGCCTGATGCGTAAAACCTTGACTGAAATGGATGCGCAATCTCGACTCGAGGGGTCTGAAAATCGTCTGTTTGTGTAAGCACTGCGTCTTTGATGTTCATTCATTTTGGTTCTCTTTCTCTGTTGACTACCCACTGGACTGACACTAGTTTAATACTTTACAGTGATAATGTAGAGGTTGCTGTTGTGTACTATCGAGCTGGATACACCCCACGCGATTACCCCAGTGAAAGAGTGGGTATATGCGCTATTCTACTGCATGTTTAGAATACAAATCTGATGGGTTTACAATTACATCCTTGATTCTAGGAATGGACTGCGCGTACTACAATAGAAATATCCAACGCCATAAAGTGTCCCAATATTGCTTACCATCTTGCTGGATCCAAAAAAATCCAGCAAATATTGGCGTTTCCAGGAGTACTTGAAAGGTAAGCAAAGTATTTATGTGGTGCTTTTGTTGAAAATAGATATACTTCATTGTTTAATCATATTCCGATATTGGTTTTTGTTATAGATTTCTTTTCAGAAAATCAGATGTTGAAAAGTTTAGATCGACTTTTGCTGGGCTATATCCTCTTGATGATAGCGAAGAAGGAAGACTTGCATATCAAATGGCAATTTCAAATCCTGAAAAGTTTGTACTGAAGCCGCAACGTGAGGGTGGAGGTACAGTAACAACATCCTTGACTATAAATATTGAAAGGGATATGCTATAATGATACTTTCACTGTTGTTCATGGTTTGAAAGTATTTACTGATGTTTATATATCACACTGTCAATTGTACTAATTTATTTATGCAACGGTGGTTTTAATTTTTGTAATTCAAAGGCAACAATATATACGGTTCTCAAATTTGTACGGTTCTCAAGTCCATGACAATTCAGGAGCGTAGTGCGTACATTCTTATGGATTTGATTGTGGCTCCACAGTTCAAGGCATCTGTTGTAAAAGAGCGGACATTGATTGAACGCGATGTAGTAAGCGAGTTGGGCATGTTTGGCGTTTGGCTTAGGTAAATCGAGATTTAACTTTGAACTTTTTGATTTGTCTGTACTTGTATATTGAAATTATTTTTGTTAATTTGCATTCGATTAACACCTATACCCATTATATTTGTATTGCAAGTGATGGCCAAATTGTATATCAAAACTCGACTATTGGTCATCTCATGCGTACAAAAAGTGCTTCAGTAAACGAGGGAGGTGTAGCCACTGGAAGTGCTGTAATTGATACACCTTTCCTTGTTTCAGGTCTTAAATATCAAGTCAAAGTTTGATTGTATCTGTTAAAGCGCAATAAACTAGTTTTAAATGGTCCAATGCCAACAACATGGTTTGCATTTTCATACCATATCATCACAAGTGTTTTTAAAAAAGTACAACACCATTATTGCTCGTGTGTTAAATGGCATTTGGTATAATACAATTGCTGATGGAGTTGAGCAATCAAATCACTATATTGCTTATGTATTATATCTACAAATAATATAACTGAATGCTTTGTATTACAAACCACTCGGTGTTCAGATACACAATGATAATGGTAGTACAACTCATGGCAGTTGTACAAACCAAATGTGATTAAAACCAATAATAATGTCAGACAAGATTGGATAATGAATTAGCGTGTAAATCATCAACATTGACCAAGATTGATTGAAATGGTGAGATTGAGTTGGATGGTGATGAACACAACAAATGTGTGTACAGAGTTGTATTGACAACATTGACAGTCAAACACAATACATGAATGTGGGTTCAGACTTGATGATCGTATAATGCATGATTACTAAGAGTGCACAAATTGTAGATTCAACATTATAGTCTGATTGTGTCATATGATGATCGTTGTGTTTATTGAACAATCAATGCAGTCAATGTGTTCGACATTGGTAATGTGAAACATACAAGGACCTATACGCAAGATGTACATAGTTAAGGTGATGACTATTGCCACCTTTTATGCAATAACTATATGGTAATTAGGGACTTTCTCAATTATGACGTCCAAGTCACAGATACGCATAACTGTCCTCTACATCCTTATAAAAGGATCGATACTTGCTCTGACTAATAAACAATACAATTAACTCATTGGTTCATTCCTTCACGCTTATCTTTGACTGTTGTGATATTCTTCCAGCTATGCACAACTCAAACACGTCGTCATATGTCCACGAGCAACACACTCTTCAAATGAATGAGTTTGCAGGAGATTCGCTTGATTCTGGTTGATATTTACGATATCGATGCAAAGTTACATTCCAGAATGAACGTGTATAATCTGATGTGGGCAATCGTTTGGTTTCATTGTTATCAGTCATTGACACCAGTTATTGCATTGATTGCAAATAGTAGTCCAAGTAATCATGCATAAACAAACACCGGATAGTCACTGATAAACTGATGGTATCCAATGTATACATGACACATTGTATAGTTCCATTTAATTGCCAGCAATGTGTGATTGGATTACTCGAGTCATCAAGCAGTTATCAAGCAGTCATCAATCAGTTTTCAAGAACAATCAAGTCATGTCCAATAAACTGTCTGATGTGCAGGTGTTTTGGCATTGGTCCGTTGGTCCATTAGTACGATTGTTGGTTGGCAATTCAGACTTGTAAATGACAATTGATTCTTGATTGTTGCATTGGTGTCCATATGTGACTCATTGTATACGGAACAGGACTGACAAGTGTGTCTGAATTGATGACAGATGATACAGCCTATCCAACAAAAAGTAATACATTGATCGTGTCTGCATAGAAATAAGCTTCATAACTCCCACTTCTGAATGTATGAGAATCAACTTTCAAACAACGGATACGTCCAATGACTCTTGCAAATGCATTGATAGAGTGTTGTTGAATAATTCGAGTTTTTACAAATCAGCATCACTGGAAATAGTTACTGTTGTCCAGACAGTCACTTGTCCAGACATTACAGTTGTAATAATCTCCTTGACTCGAATTACTTATAATATATCAAGTACAAAGAACTGACAATCAAAAACTCATCTCATTATAAACGCTTTCTTTTATTACAGTATCATTGACAAAGAAGCTCAAGTTAATTTATCAATCATAGAAGCAATATTTTCTCTGAGCATAATCTCGACATCCTCGGTTTCATCGTCTACATTAGGGTTTGATTCAACAGGGGAGACATTTTCACAATGAGGTTTGGCTCCAAGAGATTCAACCATTTCTTTCAAGCATTCCCAAACCTCTGATGCTTTTGGACGATTAGCGGGGGTTTCATTCAGCATAACCTTGAGTAGTTTGCAGAAATTTGTGCGCCAATCAAGGAAAAAGGGAGCGTTTGGGCAGGGAAACTTGTCTGTCAAGAATTCGTCCAAGTTCTTTGTGATATCCGTGTAGAAACCCGAGCTAATTTGATGCTTCAAACTTTTTTGACCAAAGAGAAGAAGTCCAAGCTCAACAAAGATGAGACCAAGAGAGAACAAATCACCCTTTCGACCGACTTTACCAGTAAACTGTTCTGGAGGAAAGTATTCACGAGTACCCTGAACCTTGACAGATTTGGAATCCTTTGCAAAGGCTTTTGATAATCCAAAATCACAAATAACTGGCATCATTCTGTCGTCCAACAAACACAACAAGACATTTTCTGGCTTCAAATCTTGATGTTTAATTTTCTTTTTGTGAAGTGCAGACAATCCTGAAGCCAAGCAAGCCATCCAATCAGTAATGAGAATCAATTTGTCTTTTGGCTGCAGCTTAACCCAGAATTCCATTTCACTTGAGCCATCCAAGAATGCACGTAAATCAAATTCACACCAGGGATACGTTATGAGACACGTTTGATTATCCTGCTTGTAGGCGCATCGAAGGCGAAGAAGGTGAGGATTTTCAGTTTCAGTAGCCAATCGAAGAATCTTGAGCTCCATCATAATCTTCTCAGTGTCGTAGCCATCTCGAATAGTCTTTCTAGCGAATGAATCGCTTCCTTCAAAGACTTTCTCAATCACTCCGTAACCTCCAGTTCGAAGCCTTGTTTGAGAATCAACCACAAACGGAACAGAATCATAGGGACCAAGAGTTTTGTATTCAAGGGGTTTGAAAGTGACTGCAAAGAAGGATGATTGAGCTTGTAAGAAATGATGGGCAAACTTGACTGAACATTTCAAATTATCAACAATATCTTTTTCAGAGAGAGGAAGGTCGGCATCAATTAGGTCAGCTCTGACAAAGTACACAATAGTGCTGTTCTCGATATTGGGGGATGACTTGATGATGTCAAAAGTTTTTTGTAAATACTTTATGACATAGTCACCAATAGAGAATGATGTATCGTGTGGCTGGTATGTGACTGTAAAGTCAACTCCAGGACAGGTGATAGAAAGGTCGATTGGATTCATTTGGTAAAAGAAAATGGCAGTCACGAAACCTTTTAATACCAAATTTTATTTACAGGTAGAACTTCGAGTAATTTAGTGGATAATTTTATCCAAGAAACCCGACATTATCTGTTGCTCTTTGTAAATCTCATTCAAATAAAACGGTATTATTCGGTGTTATTTATATACTACTCCGAGTTGTTCCAATGCAAGATTAAATGTTGATGGTGATATATTCTGATCGAGTGAGTCAGCCTTCCATTGCTCCACAATATGCTGGTTTGTGATATCGATCCACCACATGGGTTTGCAAAGTATACATTGCAGATACTGGATATATTGCATTTCGACAAGTGTGCGTGCATCTCCATGTGCATACCCAGCCATTCCAGATTTCATATAAATTTCGGCATTGTCGTTGTATGGCCAAATGCTCGAATTAGCAACATGAACCCGATGCTGGAAACACGTTTCAATGATCTGGCCAGCAACCCTTCTGCTTTTTCCATTGCAGTCAGTATTCAAATCTACAATATCCATTAGATTTTCAAACATCTCGCCTTGTTCCAACTCGGTACATATTGAACTGTCTGGATGATTGTCGGCAAAATCAACAAGTGTTTTGAGTAGTTTTACAATACTAGTGTCACCACTATCATAATCATACAAACATAGATATCTACGTGAATAAATAGTGATGAGTTGCTGCATAATTCCATATTCTCGAAACACCTTGATCATCTCGTCATTGTTTGTATATTTCTGAATCATGTCGTTGACATATTCAAACAGGTACAAAGGGTCACCCATATTGAGATTGCACATCGATATCGTCAATTGCTCAAAAACCAACGATCGTACAAGCGATACAGGAAAGTCGCGCATATTGGACGCAGCTGATCCAGCCATCTTGATTATGCGTGTTTTTAATGCAAAGTCGTTGCTGTATTTGATACACAAGTCGCTAAGCATTTGAATCAAACCCGACCTTATCAACTCGGTTGCAATTGCTTCACAATTTACATAGCTGGAAAAATTATGGATAATTTCAATACTTTGATCAATCACTTCTTGATCGACACTCCTGTATTCATGTCATGTCAATCCAACCATGTCAAATTTACCAATTGTGATGACTGGACACACATTCATGCATAACATCACATACCTGAGCGTATTGACTATTGCTGGAATGACACCGCATCCCGCTGCTTTTACTGGGTCATGACGATGGATCTTCCAATACATGGTTTTAAGATTTTCGATAAACCCAACAGCAACTGAACCACTGGATGATTCCAGTCGTGAAACAAGTCTTGACAACACGATGCCAAACTAATGATATTGTTCAATGTCAAGTATACAATCAGATCAACAAGACATGACACTGTCCAAACTGATCCAATATTGTATCATTGTAAACATACATTTCCATCATCAATATCATGACAAACTTGCAAGAACAGGTCAATTGCCAATGTGAGCACTTCTCGATCAGATTCGTGAACAATAATCTCGACCATTGGCTTGATGTCAAATCCATCCTCCTCACTCCAGCGTCTATGTTTGTACAACTTTTTACATGTTTTTATCGCCTATATGCATATTGATACCAGATGAGTTGAATGACAATCATTTGATCAATATCAATCATGACTTGCCATCATTTTGACTTGACGGTTTGATGATTGTATGAGTTGTGCAAGTTGGTTGTTTAGTCGTTGAGATATTTTGAACCGATAATCACTGTATAAAATACCCAAAAACACTGCAGTAAACTTCATTACTTCGATCTACACAACACATGTTGATTAGTTTAGTCATGAACAATCCATTATTGTTACAATATATGAATACCTGTAAACTGGGTCGATTATACTCCAAATACTTGGTTATGATATCTTCCAATCCAATACTCTGTAAGTGCTGCAGTACATATGTATATCATGCCATTTCAAACCAACACAAAATCAGCAATGGTTTGAACTCATCAATAATACAATGACTACTAAACTTACTGTAGTCCTGTTGTTTCAACTCCTGTAGCAATGCAAGCAGTCTGACCCATACTTCATCAGCCTTGTATAGTTGAGTATCTGTTGTTAATAGTTCCAAATCTTCCAGGTGTTTGATCAACTCTTTCATAACATCATCCAACTGCATGTTTGATAAAATTAGTAAAGTTGAATTTTGATGACAATTTCATTCATGCGAATGTCCAACAATTGCCAAGAATTGTTCATGTTTGGATTGTTGTAAAACACACAAACGAGTTGTTCCATTTTAGTATTGTTTTGATCAGTTTGTTGTAACAAAATTGGATTGTTATCAAACATGCATTTAGAAATACTGTAAATTAATATTCTGAATGTGATCGTTGTAGATTTGGTTCAATAAACAAGTTAGTTTACTACAACACATGGTAATGGATTACTAAACATCATCATAAATCGGATGAAATGGACTGGAATGGAATGATATCAATGACAATCGCATTACAAACAGTGTGTGGTGATTAAACCATCGAGTATTTTCAAATACAAACTTGGATGAAAAGTCTTGTCACAATACTGATCAACTGTATTACTGTTTACACTGTGGTATTATTGATGTATTGGAATATTTGGTGTTCAGATACACAATGATAATGGTAGTACAACTCATGGCAGTTGTACAAACCAAACGTGATTAAAACCAATAATAATGTCAGACAAGATTGGATAATGAATTAGCGTGTAAATCATCAACATTGACCAAGATTGATTGAAATGGTGAGATTGAGTTGGATGGTGATAAATACAACAAATGTGTGTACAGAGTTGTATTGACAATATTGACAGTCAAACACAATACATGAATGTGGGTTCAAACTTGGTGATCGTACAATGTATGATTACTAAGAGTGCACAAATTGTAGATTCAACACTATAGTATGATTGTGTGTCATATGATGATGGTTGTGTTGATTCAAGAATCGACAGTGTTTATCCAACCAATACAGCAAATATCACCACTCAACTCAACGGGTGATCGTTTAATGGCATGTTATTGGACTGACAATCCCAAAAGTCAATTTAAACAATATTTGTAATATAAAGTTTGGATTACAATGTACATTCAAGGTTTCATTCCTGTATTCAAATGATTAAATAACTGCAGCCATATCATTCAGTCATACAAATATGTACAAATATGTACAAATCAAACAATCACAATTAAACTACACACTTTGGTAGTATACATGAAACATTGATACCAGTTTCTTGACCGTCAATTACTGCTAAATGTGTCCATAGTTGTCACACACTGTTTATTCGAGATGTGCAATCTTGGACAAAAGACTTGGTGTACAATAGTGGATGACCTGGAATGATTGGTTGCTTACCGTGCCAGATTCATGCTCTGACTCGAATGAACACAATTGATGAGATTCACCCATAATCACTGCTATATTTTGTCCAAGATTGTAAAAATGAATCAATGTCATTAAAACTGAAACTGAATAAATAGTACTTGAAAGTTGCAATGATTTGGTTGATTTTTGTGTAGTACATGCCAACATCTAGTCAGCGTTCATTTATTGCAATCGATAACTTGCTGAATTCGATAAAATCAATACTTGAACTCATGTTTTACACCTTCTACATTTATGACTGATAAATAGTAAAATGTAAATACTAGCCAGGTTTTTAAAACTTGATTCTTGCACGAGCCGACTCGTTCAACTTTCCACCCCATTCTGACACCAATGATTCAAGTTCATCATAGCTTGCAATGCGTTTGCTGTAGCGCTATTCAATGACCTTGTTTGCTAAATCCGTTTGCTCATGATTGGTACCACAGAATATCTGTTTGATCGAGATTTTCAATGCAGAATTGGCATCAATGGCCATAGAACAACCTGGATGACCAGAGAGTGAACCATGAAAACACAGAGAATCTGATGCAGAAACAAAATACGTTGAATCTGGAACAGGGCTAATGTTAATCTGTGAATATATGCTCATCAGACCAAAAACAGAGTCCAACTTGAACTTGTTTAAACATGCTGGCGGATTCGGTAATTTTGATCGGAAAGTGGTCAGATCCGAGTTTGTAATATCAGAACCAAGTCGTTTTCGTTGATCCAAAACTATGATATAGCCAGAGTCTTGTTCTGCGCATTTCAGAATAAAGTATATATCCACTCCTGGTCCATTCTCACCATTGAGCACAATTTGCAATGTCTCGCCGCCAACCCAGTCAACGGAATAATAGCTGGTGTCTTTCCGAGTGATCATTCGTGGCATATCAGGTCCATATTGCTCGTTTGATCGAAAAACTTTGGCGATTCTGATGTGAACTTGAGTATTGAAAATACCTGAATCAAATCGCGATCCACACAGTATATCAGACAGAGAAAGTATCGATATTCCCAATACAAGAAACGAGTTGATTCTGATACAGTAGAAACTAGCACCAAAATACTCCCATGATGACCAACGAGTCATGTTGGAAAGTGGATATTCAACGTCAAGCGACAAACCATTCAACGATGATAGGAGTGCTGTTTCAAATTGGTTTAGACCGACGCTTTCATTCAATGACCTCTTCAAAGCCTGAACAATGATATGGAACGGTACAATCACTTGACCATCATCTTGAATTTGACACATCCCGTGTCTAACCATTTGATTCCAAGTAAGGTTTCTTGAATAAGGTAGCGATGATTCAGAAAACGGACAGTCTAGTAGATATGTAACAGGAGTGTTTGTAAAAGAAATCGCCAGTAGCTTCAAAATATCAGCGAGTGACAATTGATGATGCTGCGAATTTGAAAGCGCAGTCATTCTTGCCTCCTGAAAATTGTGTTCGTTTAGATCAGCCAGTTTCATGAATACAACTTCTTCTGCAAACTTAGTCAGTAGTCTTGGCACTCCGCTTAGATGAAAGACATTTCGAGCAAAGGCTTCGCTGACCACGAATCCACAGTGTGTATTCGAAATAAAAGGACCAATAGCCTCCATTGATTCCATGTGAGTTAGAAACCGGGTTGGTATTCTCTCAATATTAGGATGTGATGTTCGAGCAATACGAATCATGTTCAGGTCAGCTCCCGCCAGCATACAGAAAAATGTAAGCCTTGACGTTGTAGAACAATAGGAAGAATCACACAAGATATCCAGCAGAGAACCCAATTCATCTTGACAGAGTTTTCGATATTTATCGACTCCAACAAATAAAAGTATGTTATCTTGAGTTTTCTGACTCCAATAAAGCTCAATGGTCGATAAAGCTAATTGCATTGTGAACCTTTTTCTGTTCTTTGGTGACTTTTCACGCATCCAAACATCGAACTTGTATTGCGCCTTGAAAAACGAATGGAGTACTCTCCAGGCAAATGAACATTTGATTCCAAGGAGTTTGTCAATCTCGCCATATGAATTCCCGTCATTTCCAAAAGAAACGATTGCCAAAAGTCTTTTGCCTTGAATCCCTGTCATGTCTAAAACTGTGGTAGAGCACTCTGTCATAAGTCGAGTTCTTCCCAATCCCGGCATACCAGTACAAACAGGAATACGTCTTGAATTCCGATCAATATTGCTGCGATGTCGATAGGTGGCCATAAAGCATGATGCAATGTGTTGGAGCGATTTCTCTCGACCAACCAGTGGAAATACAACTTTTTGATTGGGATTGGTTTGCTGCTGAGATAGAATTTGTTTGTCAGCCAAATCAACTGTAGAACTATTATTTGACCCAGAAAGCCATTCCAAGAGACCAGTGGCAGTCATGGGAATTTGGTTTGGATTGGAAAACATTGTATCATCCGCATCACTCTCCACATCACTCTTTGACTTGATAATGAGTGGACTAGAACCAACAGTTCCGTTTGTTTTGAGAACAGTAATGGGTTCCCAGGAGTTGTAAGTCATTTCCACTCCATCCACCACAAAATGGAGAGTGAGGGGACCATAATCTGCTGGGATACCAGCAAGCCTTCTAGTTGGTTCGACAGCAATAGCTGCAACCAGGTCAGAAATATCAGGCTCTTTTCCTTCAGGTACATGCAAGTATTGAGTAAATACTGACACTGGAGAGTTGTTCTTGTATTGAATATAAAATTTGGTCATTTTTGAGTTTGTTGAAGAAAAGAAAAGAAAAAAGAACAAAACGTGATTTTGTCTCACATTCAAAATTTAAGTGAGACAAATTCAACTCAATTGTTACCGAGTGTTGACATTCATTGTGATGTCAATCATTGTTAATCAATTGTTGGATTGGTAAATGTGTTACAAAACATGCTGAATCTGACAAGTGGATAATAATTGTTCCAATCAACACATGGATTGAATTGACTGAAACATTGTCATTGATTGCAGTCACTGTTGGCCAATACACTATAATATACTCGATCATCAGTCGAGTCTGCATATATCAACTAGTTGCGACATGTCATAATCAATGTGGATTGTATTGCTCACCAATCGATCATGTAGTCAATACAATCACCAACATATCGATGCGTGTTGACTTGCGGTTACAACTCGTCAATTGCATCCAATGTTACAGGTGATGCACATCTGATTACTGCAAATCAACAACTTGTCAATCATATCATAGTGTGCATTGTCAACGGACCATGCAATTACAAATCAATGTATACGTGATCAACATTTGATATTTGATGGTGATGAGCCAACCATGATTGATTGTATCATACAACTAATACAGTTGCATTGTCTGGTATTGATGATCGACCCATTCATGTCAAACAGTAACTAATGTGTGTATATCGAGTTTGTGTTGCATGGACACATCAAGGTGTTTGATAACGAGTCCAACATGATGATACAAACCCAACATTATATGAATATCCAAGTTGATGAATCAAGTCAAGGTTTACAAAGTGTCGATATGTCAGGTCAATCAAACAAGTCAGTCAACCATTATATGGTGACTAGTGATGACACGGTTTGAATATCAACGAGTTAGATAGTCGACAATATGGGTGATTGTGATTTGGTCAAACCGCAACACTCGCATATCACTGAGTTGGTTTGATGTGTGTGATGTATGCAGTGATCGTATACTGGTTGATTGGTGCAATATGATCATGTCACATACTATTATATTGGTGAAAATGTGTTGTTGAACAGATGAGATCCAGAGTGTTTGCAACATAAATGGAGTGGATGGACAATATTGCTTGTGTATCGTCATGTGGTGATATTATCTGGAATATGCTATATAGCGGCATCATAGTGCAACAATATACTCTGATCGTTGATCCTGATATCAGGGTTTCAGATCAATACTGCGGATCATAGCATAAAGGGAGATCCCTTTAAAGCCAAATTGGCATTGATTGCAATAAGCCAGTGATAACCCAGACAACACAAATCCCTTAGGACGGTCATTCAAGGAATATGCTTTTAATATTATCAATCTAGTAATGAGTACAAATACGACATCAAATCGACCTGTTGAATGACACTCATCTACAACTTGCTCAACCAAACCAATACAATGAAACTATCAATTGCCGTACTGTCATCGATCCTTGCTGTCTGCTCAGTCACAGTCGCCAATCCAGTTGATCCCAGTTCGACCACAAGCACTGAGGCTAGTACTTATACAATGAGTGCTGAGGCTAGCACTTCGACAGCCTCTACAAGCGGAGCTTCAGCCGGTGGATCTGACTATTCAAGCTCATATGATGAATTTGAAAAATACTGTTATTCATTTAGTCTTGATCAAGCGATGTTGATCAAAAGACTTGCAAAAGCTGAGGCTCAATTCCCCAAACTATCCAAGAAAACCAATGATAAACGTCATCAGCATGCTGCTCAAAAAAAAGTGGTTGATGAGTTGCAGGATATACTCGATGGCTTATATGGAGCTATGCATTGGGGGTTGGAGATTGCCGAGCTTGCCGAGCTTGAAGCTGAACTTCTAAAACAGCGTGAAATTCTTGAAAAAATTGAAGAGGAGTTGAACGTATGCTCTATCAACTTTGCGAATAAGATTGACGAAGGTAACTATTTGCAGAAGAAACTTAAAAAACAACCTTTGATCGGATCATCATCAATTTCTGGTGATGGCTTCCTAGACCTGAGATCAGTTTCTGGATATAATGATTGTTATCATTATTTCTACAATCGTTTTTTGCAATGATTGTTATAATCTGGATATGGTACAACTTTTCAAGATTATGATGTTTGGCAACAAACTCTTCAACCAAACCCATCACATTGTTGCAGCTCAATGAACTATCAACAGTCTCATCTAGAATATACTACAATGCAGCGTGTATTGCATGGTGGTTTAATTGTCATGTGTCATGCATTCAATGTCATTCATTCAATAAACATCGTGTATTGTCAAACAATAGTGTATTATATTAATGGCTTGATCATATTGCACCAATCAACTACTATGTGCTGTCATGACTGATCATTTGGTGTGCTACACATATTGGATGCATGCAAATACATGACTGTCAACTCCTTGTTGTTGAAATGGGTTCAGATCACCATCAGCTCACTCACTCGTTGCACCAATGCGATTGCATGATCAATCTGACACCAACCAAACCACACTCGAATATATATGTTCCAGTCATGTGCATGGTGTATCGATTGTCAACTCACAATGTCAACTCCAACACATTCCATCATGATTATGGTCACATCACACCATGCTGATGTATGTCGATCGGTACCACATTGCAACCAGTTATCATCCAATGACTGCAATGCAATACCGTGCATGTATTGTGACTGATACGTTGTGCACCATCAGCAAGTGTGCAACTGTCACTCGATATATCGACTCTGATATGCAACAACATGCTGTGTTTACCATGATCAGGTTTTTGATCAATCTTGGACTCACAATACATGATTTGTCATGTTGGATCGTGTGGATGTGTCATGGACTGCAATTTAGTTGCAGATACACATATGTTTGACATTGACTGATGCATACTGTGCAACGACTGATCAGTGCGGGTGTAATTGCACACTTGGTGGTATTGTGCATTATGGTTGTTTGACAATGGATGGATGCTGGATTAGTCAGTTATATGCAACCCATTTGAATCGATCTACTTGAACAAACATTCGATGTAACTGACACCAATGTGTATGCATGGCTGTTGGATCAATCGAGTTTCTGATGGTAGCGTAACATTGGTAACAAACACAACCCTTATACCATCACAGGAACAATCATACAACAGTTGACCAATACACTTGTAACACCACCAGCATATGCTCGTATGGATATGGTTTGTTCACATGAGTTCATTTCATGTCTTGGCATTCGTTTAAATAAAACTTGTTCAAAAGTAAATCATGACCATAGCAGGGTTACGATTGTAATAGTACACCAAAGTCGTATCCTGCAGCCATTAACAATGTATTACAATCAAACGTTGCATAGAAACCTTCACTTTGATCATGGTTTGGAACTGTAAACTGCCTGTTTGGTTTATGTTAATGTACAGATTCTACAAATGGTATGCCAAAAATCATGCCAAAATCAAAATCACCAAACAGTATCGTTAGATCAGCCGAGTGATGTCATGTATTCAATCGAGATGGATTGCAGTTCAACAAACTGGTTGCAGTGTACAAGACACGAACAATAAATGATTCTGTCATCCAAATCAGCACTAAACAATCTACCGATACTTTGAATAAACATCAATAAAAACATACTCTTGTGTGGTTGAATGAAATGTACACATCAAATACTTGATCCACATTGATGGTGACAATTACGCATTTTTTTGACTTTATTCTCACTTGGTCCCTATTGTTCGTATTGTTCCTACTATCCCTATGTCGTTAGCCGTAAGGGTTTTGAAAGACACAATGTTGCCCTTTAGACTTGGTGGAAACTGGCATCGGAAATACTGAGACTGATTGCTTGTTGTGTGCTTGAACTCCCTTATCTGGTGTTCCATCTTACACGAGTACAGTTGTAAAAATAGCCTTTAGTTTTGGCCCTTTAATCAATCCATGTTGTATAAATATCAAAACAAACTGCCAAAACTATCCAGTATTTCGACACTATCGGAATAAATTGCTGCTCGTCTGTATTGTTCATCTGGATAGTTTACAATGAAACAAGCTGTGATTTTTGTGATTTCGCTGCTGGCAGCCATGTCGTCGGCTATAGTCGTATTGACTTCTGAAAGTCCAGCTCCAACATTCGAACCATCACCATCAACATCAGGTTCAACATCAGGCTCAACATCAACTCCAGACCCAGACCCATTATTTCAGTCTCATAGTGATACTCATACCAACAGTCTGTTTTTGCACTACAATACACTTTTGGAACAATACAATTTGAAAGCTGCTGAATGCGAAGTTTTAAAACAGGATTGCGAAAAACTCGGCAACATCGCACAGGCACAAACGCTTACACATACTCTGACTCTAGATAAATGCACTCGTGATAGAGACTCGTCAAAAAAAATGCGATTAAAGGCCATCTCCAACTGTATGAAAGAAAATTTAAAAAAGGCTGAAGATGTATATATTAAATCTCTCGTGAAAAAAATCCATATATGTGATGAAGCTAGTCAACTCAAATCAAAAGTAAGCGAGGTCAAGATTCAGAACCAAATCCTGCTATCTAATAATCAACAATAGCTTGATTAAATATCAAACTGCTATCAATCTGCATACAATTGAAACAATAAAGTTTGGGATCATGATATATGCATATTGTTTGTAGGTGCACATTATACAACAGTGAATGCAATGGATTGTCATTGGCTGTTGTTTTGAACCCTCTTGTCAACAAATGCAACTGCTTATGACATGCAATAGATTTGAATAATATACCAACAAAAAATCAACATAAACTGGTTTATCGAGTATGTTGTATACAACAATTGCTTTTATACATGTTTGATATGGATCATTCAGCTGGGACCATTGCATTGTTAATAATCGACTACAGACTCATGGATGTGTATTTTAAGCTAGTTTGTATCATAATTATGACAGGATGTGTGATGAGATGATGCAGTGGACATATATACAACGTGTATTACAGTAAAAACATGGACTGATTGTTTGAACATGTATGGAGCAGAGCTGTTGTAACATCCAAACAACTATACTAAACATGTTGAAAAGCATCAAATGGCAGTAGGTTGATCACCAAAAAGCAATACTACAAGTCTGAAATGCAACATGATGACTATTTATCAACGTAATATTGATTGTCTGGTATTTACACTGAAATCAATATCAAGTGGGTTCCAATTACGATTTTACTGATCATGATGGATAATGATGGCAAATGTTTGGCAAGTCAAAGATATGGACATGTGAATGTGGATGCTAATCACCATTGAATCAAACCACTGCATGTTTTGTTGCACAGTAAATACTATATTGAACAAGTCCAAGTCCAAATCCAAGTGTGTGTAATGCTACTGAGGCTGATAATGAGTTACACTTGTGATTGAAACCTGATTGGTATTGCATGTCATGTGCCAATACGACATGTCAAGCAATATCATATCGACACAATACACACATGTATGTCAGCATCATCAATATGTACAACTATGCAATATACAATCAACTGTATTGTATTGGAAATACAAGTGTCAATGTACAATATGATACCATGTCAACCAAGACAGTGAAATGATCAGATATAATGCATGTAAATCCAAATTTATTGTAAATTAAATCAGAAATACAATTGAATCGGTTGAAACCAGTCCAGATTAACATTCAAATCAAACGGATGATTCATCATCTGATTCATCTGAATCGTTAGGATTAGGCGAATCCAAAAATGATTTGAGCTCATTCTTAGATTTGGGAGTGTCATATACACGAGAAGATTTGGGACTTCCCCACAAACCAAAAAGTCGAGAATTGGATCTGGAAGTCCTTTGTGTGCTGGACAAAGCTGCCTGTGTACTGGATGATGTTTGAATGGGCTGAACTGAAACTGTAGACGTTTTGCTTGATGATGATGGACTTTTATGATGTTTTGATTTGTTCTGGGTTCCACTAGTAGAGGCTTGCTCGGATCCCGGCTGTTTGTTTAGTCGGAGAATAAGAGATTGGTAGATACCTTCAATAAAACTGGGATTTGATTCCAGAAATTCGATTCGAGAATGCAGTGATGTTGTACTCGGACTATTTTTGAACAGGCGCTTTGCAAGTTTTTCTCTGGTTGAATCAAGCAGTAGATCAGCGTGATAAAGATCCTCATCGAGTTTCTGAAGCTTTTCTTGAAGGCTGAATAATTTTTCGTCCTCTTCATCAATCTTCTGTCCAATTATTTCTCTTTTTTCTTGATACACTGGATCATTCCTGTTCGGATATTCCATGAACAGCTCGTAATTCTCTCCAAGCAGGCGTTTTATCAATTCTTTTTGATTGAGCTCTTCAGATTTGGCCGAGTCACACGCTTTCTTTGCCTCTTGATATTCTTGATCCGTTTGTAGGTATCCTTCAAACAACTCCATATCATCCTTTGAAAATTTACTAAGATCAACTAAAGATGTAGCTTCTTCATAAGAAAATACAGGATCCTCGAATACAGTACTTGTAATTTCAGTGGGTTGAGCTGTTGAAGTGCTAGCTTCAGCACTTGTAGTTGCGCTGGGATTGACTGGAGTGGCTGTAGTAACCGAGCAAGCAAACAGGATTGATGCCAATACTGTGACTGCGAGTTTCATTGTATTGGTTTGGTTGAGCAGGTTGTATATGGTTACTGAACAAGTAATATTCGATCGTATTTATATCGGCTGTTAGAAGGGTAATATTAAAAGCATGTTGGGTGACCGCTTTAGAGATTGGCTTTATTATCAGGGTTGATGGTGATTTGACATCAATATCCAACTTTGAAGGGATATCCATTTATATGGCGATCTGCAATCTTGATCAAACTATTGTTTGACTATGCATTCGAGTATCGTATGGCTGATTATGCAGTTTTACACCCTTATCCACCCTAAAAAGGGTCAGTGAGCTGAAATATGAACAAATGCATGTTTAAACAAGACTATATGCAACTGAATGTCAGCTCAGTTGTTGGATGGTCATCAATATGTGTTGTGGTTGATATGATTCAAACATGTTGTGGTTTAGTGATGCTCTGCATTCAACTCGACACGATCAATCATCACTACACATTGTCCAGTAATTCAATCAATCAACTGAATCAATACAATGCAGTTCATGTTGCAACCACAACATCACATTGATGATCAATGACTTGCAACTGTTGTGTTGGCATTGCATGTTGGGTATTACTATATCAATATCGATTGTCACTATATAGTTGTATCAACCACACATCATGATCATATATCATGGTTGATTCGTATTCTGGATTGATGCACTCATTTCATTCCATTGTATTCCATTCCATCACTCGAACACAAACATCGTATGACTTGTTGATTGCTAATACCCATATTGATCGAATACACACTACATGACACATGTCAGGTTAGCGTATACATTCCACTATATATGACATCATGTTGCTGATACCACGCATTGTGATTCAACAGTCAATCTGTATTCGAGTTCGACTACAATTGATCGTGTCAATCATAATATACACGACCAATTGTAGTCGAGTTGATCCAACTGAGTAGAGTCCGAGTCATCATGTTCATATCAAACCATTGTAAACCATGACAAGTCTATTGCACAACTCCACTCGTGTTGATTACAACATGCTATTCAGAAATGTATCATATTGTCCTGTAATGACTGTACATGATTGTACATGGTTGTTTGAAACCAGTAGCTACGTTGATTGATATCCACAATATGATCCAGTAGTCGTCCAGATTATGTGTTGTATTTGGTGTGTTGGGTGATGATATCAACCTGTAGTCAAGGTTTGACTATCTGGACATGTCGGTGACTTTTTACCAACTGTGTGCAACTCGATGTCCAATATCGAGTCATGTCATTGGTCAATTGATTGGTTCAATTCATCAGTGGGTTTGCTGGATTCATGTGGTGTGCAGCACTTTCAAGAGTATGTTGAATCTGTTGCAGTATTGGAACTTTGTAAACGGATCAACATACTAACCTGACCATGATTGTGGTGGTTATTGCAGTCGAGTCGTAAAGCTTATTCTGGCAATCATTGATG